TTTCAGGCGGCCTTTTCAAACAGCTCTTACACTGAAAGGGCATTATCATAATTGTATTATTCCAACCTCATAATATGAAAAATATATATAAAACACAGGAAAATCATGTTTTTGACTGCACTGGGCCTTTAAGAGTTTTGCGTTGCCGGAAATGTTTACTGTTGTTGTGGGCAAATCAACTCCCTGTGCGTAGTCTGCAGTGGACAGATTGGCCCAGCTACTCTAGTTTTGGCACCAGCTCTGTTATGAGCATGTTGTTAGAGTGCTGTTATTTTTTCTTAGTTGAGTAGCTCATAAAATGCAGTACTCGTATACGGAAGCTGATCGTACCCACACTCTACTCTGTACATCATTCAGTAGTGTAGCTTGTGTCAGTAACAAATATATAATACATTCTATCCACATATTTGGACATTGAGTTAGCAGTAGCACAAAATAATATAACCAGTGGTTTTAGGTTATATAAAATCATGTTATTAGGAATAAGTCGAGCAAATGCTCAGGGCCCATACAGTATGTATCAAGCATACATTTCTAGGATCAGTTTTGCCTTTTTGATCGCAATGAATGAGATTGCATAGACGGGGGGACCTGATCCTCGATCAGCACTCCTACTCCGAGGAACTTGATACATACGGCCCCAGGGATCGGAAGTTCAAACCTGATTTTCATGTGGAGACGGAAGAAAATAGACTATTATCCTCCTGGGACATTTCTGCCTCTAGGGTCCCGGGGCTTGGAGAACTCTGGAGAGGATAGGGCAGGGACATGCTCAATACCAAAGGAGGCAGGAACATCAGAGCTGCCTAGGAGAGCTGACGGGAAGCTGGTGTGGTTGGAATGTTTGCCTGTGGGTCTAGAGAGGTCTGGGATTATTGGAGGAGCTTTAGGAGCAGTGGAGCAGCAGCATTGTGAGTGAGCATGAGAGGCTGTTTGGCCAACCCAGGGAGAACAGAGCAGAGCAGCCAGAGGAGAGGGAGAGGGTCAGCATTAGAGAACAAAAGCCTGGAACTGTTGATCTAGGACAGAATATGAACAGGGTACTATCTACACAGGGGCTGGAGTATTGTGTGGTATTATGTGTCTATCGTAGGAAGTGCTAGTGGACTATGGTATGGATGAGTTTAGTGTTCTGTGTTATGCTTTGTGGATGACAGAAATTGAATAGGCTTTATTATGAACACTCGTCCTCTGTGTAGTTGAAGGGGTTGTTATTGTAGTGCTTTGATAATGAACATCTAAGAGAATGGGGTCGAACTAGGAAACGTTGGTAATATGATTGGTTTTCTGTTATATCTGAGGGTTGGGAGGAGGAAGGTGGTTGTTACATGACAAGGAGGTTTTACAAAAGTGTGTTACGCATAGTAATGATACGGCAACAACAGAGTTTTTGGCACAGGGGAGATGGACTGAGAAAGAGTAAGAGAGAGAGGAATAGAGAGGAATAGAGGGTGAGAGAGGGAGGGAGGGAGGGAGGGAGGGAGGGAGGGAGGGAGGGAGGGAGGGAGGGAGGGGAGGGAGAAAGATAGAAGGAGAAAAGTAGAAGGAGGAGAGAGACACTTTAATAATAGAAACCGTTTAGAGCAAAAATGGTTGTATTTTTTTATTGTGTTCTTTTTAGCAGCTAAATGAGGCAGTGTATGCGTCCTGGTTTGATTTGTCTGCCTGGACCCATGTCCATTTATTGAGATTGAGAGTGTTCCCTGGGCGCAGTAATGAACCATTTTATGATTCATTATCCCATTGCTGATTCCTTCTGCCAAGTCTGCAAACTTTCTAATTAGCTTAGGTCAAACATTCACACAGTTTTCTTCTAATTATCAATGCTTATTACAGAACGGACACCGCAACAGAAAAAGCCACAGAGGAATAAATTGATGTGGGTGGTGCTGTTGCATCGTGGAGAAAAAAATTATTTATTCTCGTGGTTAGTGAATGTTGGAGAAACGTTGAGGGAACAAACGGCAGGGAGGGATTTGCTGAATAATTGCTGGGAAAGAGCTCAGGGTAATACAATCTCACAGGGAATCACAGAGAAACAGGAAGATGAGAGTTAAATAAAAGCCACCAAAAGAATCCCATCACGCACTTAACTCCTGGGTCTGTCTTTAGTTTCAGAGAAGTCTCACAGCTAGATAATTTAATGGTTATTGCACCAGGGCTGTAGATATAAAAGTTTTGCAGACACAGCTGCTATACAGATGTAGGATCTTAATTTTAGGCAGTTTACTACGGCAGGAAAATAATTCTGCAGCAACAGGAAATGTGGATTATTATTAATGGACATTTTTTTAGGAGAAAATCAAGTCTGAAATTTCAATGTGGAAATTACAAACTTCAGAAGCCTTTTTAAACCTAAAATACACTACAAGTTTTAAATGTCCTGCATTGCAGGAAAGTTCTCCTCCAACAGAGTGGTCAAATTAAGATCCTACATCTGTACAATACATTAGTACAATACATTCATATTTTTAGTTGCCTTTCATTTAAGAGATAACCGGTTAGACACACATACTGCTATATTGACATTGCTGTCGTCATATTAACCGAATAATAAAGAAAAAAACGGAGCATTTAAGAACAGAATAAAGTTTAAATCCCCCACATGCAGAGCTTTCTTTCCAGTGGCAGGCTGTGTTGTTGCCTTTCTATTGTACACATCAGCAGTGAGCAATGTGCCTATTACAATAGAATGGGGAGCAGTGACTAATTGTCTGTGCAGATGAAAGAGTGGGTGAAGTGAAGCTTTGGTGGTTGGACTGAATGGAGGGATTAATCCTCCTCTCCTGTCCCTATCTCCCTCTCTCTCTCCCAACTAATGAGAGAGAGAGATAGAAAGAGAGCGCGAGAGAGAGAGAGAGAGAGAGAGAGAGAGAGAGAGAGAGAGAGAGAGAGAAAGAGAGAGAACAAACAAGCCAACCAACATCAATGCCCAAACCACCAGCTAAAAGCACTTGTTCCCTGTCTTTGAATATTAGCCCCTGCTCTGCCAAGGTGGCTGTGGCGTGGACACCCCTCTGGAAGGCTTTAGGCAAACATGATGGAACACATGCTATGTCATGGAGACACAGAAAGAGCAAGAGACACAGTCACAGAGACTAGGAGGCACAGAACAGAATTCGGGGAAATACTCTACAGTAGATAGAGAGAAAATCTGTGGGGTATTAGTAGAGGGTTTAAAACAGAGGGAGAGATTGGTATCGGAGGGGTTTCAGTAGAATGAATCAGGCTCTGAAGCACTGCCATATTCAATAAGGGATTCTGAGAGATCTATAGTCTGCTGGCGTTGCCCAGGTACACTACCACAAAAGTATTCTCTTTTAGAGACACTCAGCCATTAGAACTAAAGAAGAAGAGAATGGATGAAGGTTTGGAGAACTGATCTAGATAGTCATTCACTCTATACTAAGGACATCAACTATATAGTAGATACAATTAGTGGACCTTATTGTAACTTTTAGAGGAATACCACTATTTATTTATATGGGTAATGGGGTAATTAATTTACATTATAACAGTACAGGTTATTGAAAAGATGGTACAAGTCATTTAGGCTAAAAAGGATAGTAAAAGACAGTAAAATGACATCTAAAAGTCTATGTGCTGGTGTGCAGGCTGCACAGCCCACAGTAGGCTCATCCTGTGGCAGAAATAGACATGCTCTCTCTGTCACTCAGCTCACGCTGTGCTGGAGATCAACTCACTCCTCCTCAACATCAAGTCATATTTACGGAGTGAGAGACTGAGAAAGAAAAGCAAAAGTGATTTGTAAAAAGAAATGACTGTATGAGGAAAAAGGCAGAAGGGATTTAAAATTATGTTTTTCACTCTGAGGGAGAAGACAGCTGAAATAATTTATTTTTCTACCGTTCCTCTTGATTTGATTCGCTCTGTCTTCCGCCCCCTGCTCCCCCCAGTATCCCCCTCCCTCCCCCTCCACTAAAGTGTGTGCCCAGTGAAGGGGCACTATCATTTACCAACACGCTAATGAGAACAGTCAGCACACCAGACTCCACTTCCCTCACCACCAAGCTCACAAAATATATTTCATTTGTTTATTATTGACTGCATCACTTTAATTAGAAAAAGTATTTGGGCGAAGGAGGGTTTAGATTTCACCAGTCTCTCATTCCGTATTCATGATTCTTAGGAGACGTTCTGGGTTTGATTTCCTCTTCACAGTTCAAGGCGGTTCGGGAGCAGGACAGGAATTCAATCAGAAATACTGTGTTTTCAAACATTTGATCCACTATGAACACAGTTTAATTCATGTACCTCATATTCATGTATATTAGTTGTGGTATTACTAGGTTGTTAGTGTTACTACATGTTATTTTAATAAGATTCAGCATTACTTCAGTTGGTTATGGGTATTTTTGTAAATACATTCCATTTAAGAAATCCTCATTTTGAGAACAAAGGTGTTTTAGGAAACTTCATCCAGTTTTTCTGAGCTATAGCATTAGCATATGTTTTGGGAAGTGTACTTTTAAATTGTATTTGTGTCTGTCAATCTTTTTCTTCTTCTCTCTCCAAAACTTGGAGATAAACATACATTCCTTTAGAGTGCCCAGACCTTGTTTTACAAAGTCTTTGTAGATGTGTGAGGTGGTTCCAGTTCCAGCGATTTGTTTTTCATCTGCAGCATGAAAGGTTTGGAAGTTCAGGGTTTTAAGCACCGAGCCAGACCAGAGGAGAGGAGACAGCCTTGGAGAGAGAGAGAGAGAGAGAGAGATAGAGAGAGAGAGAGGAAGAGAGAGAGAAGGAGAGAGATAGATGGATGCTAAGGAGAAGGATGTGGGGCGTGACATTTTTAGCCTTCTTTGACTTCTGCAGGCTATGTCATTATTGGAGTCCAAAAAATAACCTGCGTCTGCCAGTGTAAAAAAAGACGACTACCCCTGTGTTGTGTGTGTTAAAAATAAATGAGTACTGTATGTGTTTGTTAAAAGGACCTCCTTTACTAGTGTATGGGGAATTGAGGTTCAATTACCACCACCATGCAGCTGGTTCCTGGCCACTCATCAGAGGAACGGCATAAAGATCTTTATGACGATGATGACGATGATAATGGTTATTGCAAAGTTCTTGTCCATTAATAGCTTGAGTTCTATCATCCCAATTGGATTTTTTATGAGGGATCGCTTTTATTCCCCCCATGATATATTACACCAGACGTGTGTGTGTGTGTGTGTGTGTGTGTGTGTGTGTGTGCATGCATCTATTAGCCTACTGTAATACTGGATTAATATTAGGCAGAAGGCAAAGATCAATTTTTGGTGGCACCGTGAATAATGTGTGTGTGTGTGTAACGAGGGGGGTGAAGGGGGGGTCCGTTGTGTGTGTGAGGGATGGTCTCACACAGGGATGCTCCATAGAGCCCACTCATATCATTGTTTCCCTACTTGGTGTGCAGTCTTGCTCCATAAAGGGGCAAAGCCAAGGGTGCTCGAAACATCAGGCGAGCGGCGGGCTGATGAATCACCTTTTAAAGATATCAAAGATAGGCCTGTTTTACGTGAAGGATGAGCCCAACACAACGCTCAGGGGCCCTGTCCAACTCCGTGAGCACATTTTTCACCGGGGAAATGTATATTTTTATCAACTGTCCAGAAAAGTCATGGCGCGTCCTAACTGGATAAATCAAACAGAATGTGTTTGCTTGCATTCCTTTATCTGCGATACGCTCGAGTGTGTGTGTGTGTGGCCTGCACTGTGGTCGGCTGACATTACAATAGAGGTGGCTCACATCTGCATAATACTCCCGGCCCGTGTCTTCTGGGTTGGGACCTGACTGGATGTCTTTTAGCCAAGGGTACTCAGACAGTAGGTAGTGTTTACCCACACACTCTGGGGTGCTATAGCTATTCTGCCCTACAGAGGCAAAACGCAGTAATTACGTGTTTTGTTTTACTGCATAATATGACTTCAAAGTATTTTTCTGTCTAGACAGACAGCAATTTCTGATACTCCATTATATATTCTGATCAACTGGCTTGTTCTTATGTCAGGAAATGAAATACCACATTAATCAGATGATATACCTAGCCATTACAACAGATTCGTAGTTACTGCGTTTTGCCTTTGTAGGCCAGTATTGTCTTGTGGTGGCCCTATTAAGCTATTTCAATAGTGAATATGCTTTTGGTGTCAATTTGATTTCTTTGCCAAAAGCCAGTGGTTATTCAGTACTTTACTGTTGAGGTTCATACATCATGTCAATACCATATTAGATGATGCTGTTGCTCTCCTTGGCTGGTGGTAGATGTTTAGCGGTGCTCTCAGGTCGTCTCCTTGCCCTTGGCCTGTCTAGGACAGAGCTGTCATTCCAGGGCCAGTGCCTCTCTACTTTAGATAATATCTCTGCCTGATACCAGGACATAGAAACAGGGCACCATCAGCCAGTAGCAGCAGCCCACTGAGATGGCCCATGTTTACCGTAAAGCCTGACATATTTTTTGAAGAAATGGTAGTGCACAGTTCAGCAGAGTCTGTTTTGTCATGGTGTATTTCACAGTGGAAGGAAATAGCTGTATATTGTTGAGCCCTAGGACCAGCTTGCCTCTTTCAGGTCTCTCAGGAGGAAACTCTCTCTCTCTCGCTCTCTCTCAATTCAATTCAATTCAATTTAAGGGCTTTATTGGCATGGGAAACGTATGTTAACATTGCCAAAGCAAGTGAAGTAGATTTACATTTACATTTACATCATTTAGCAAACGCTCTTATCCAGAGCGACTTACAAATTGGTGCATTCAACTTATGATAGCAAGTGGGACAACCACTTTTTTTCTTCTTTTTTTTATGGGGGGGTTGGGGGAGGGGGGGGGGTAGAAGGATTTCTTTATACTATTCCAGGTATTCCTTAAAGAGGTAGGGTTTCAAGTGTCTCCGGAAGGTGGTCAGTGACTCTGCTGTCCTGGTGTCGTGGGGGAGCTTGTTCCACCATTGGGGTGCCAGAGAAGCAAATAGCTTTGACTGGGCTGAGCGGAAATTGTGCTTCTGTAGAGGTAGGGGAGCTAGCAGGCCAGAGGTGGATGAACGTAGTGCCCTCGTTTGGGTGTAGGGTCTGATCAGAGCCTGAAGGTAAGGAGGTGCCGTTCCCCTCACAGCTCCGTAGGCAAGCACCATGGTCTTGTAGTAGATGCGAGCGTCAACTGGAAGCCAGTGGAGTGTGCGGAGGAGCAGGGTGACATGAGAGAACTTGGGAAGGTCGAACACCAGACGGGCTGCGGCGTTCTGGATAAGTTGTAGGGGTTTAATGGCACAGGCAGGGAGCCCAGCCAACAGCGAGTTGCAGTAATCCAGACGGGAGATGACAAGTGCCTGGATTAGGACCTGTGCCGCTTTCTGTGTAAGGTAGGGTCGTACTCTGCGAATGTTGTAGAGCATGAACCTGCAGGATCGGGTCACCGCTTTGATATTAGCAGAGAACGACAGGGTGTTGTCCAGGGTCACGCCAAGGCTCTTTGCCCTCTGGGAGGAGGACACAATGGAGTTGTCAACCGTGATGGCGAGATCATGGAGCGGGCAGTCCTTCCCAGGGAGGAAGAGCAGCTCCGTCTTGCCGAGGTTCAGCTTGAGGTGGTGATCCGACATCCACACTGATATGTCTGCCAGACATGCAGAGATGCGATTCGCCACCTGGTTATCAGAAGGGGGAAAGGAGAAAATTAATTGTGTGTCGTCTGCGTAGCAATGATAGGAGAGACCATGTGAGGATATGACAGAGCCAAGTGACTTGGTGTATAGAGAGAATAGGAGAGGGCCTAGAACTGAGCCCTGGGGGACACCAGTGGTGAGAGCACGTGGTGCGGAGACAGATTCTCGCCACGCCACCTGGTAGGAGCGACCTGTCAGGTAGGATGCAATCCAAGAGTGAGCAGCGCCGGAGATGCCCAACTCGGAGAGGGTGGAGAAGGAGGATCTGATGGTTCACAGTATCAAAGGCAGTGAATAGGTCTAGAAGGATAAGAGCAGAGGAGAGAGAGTTAGCTTTAGCGGTGCGGTGCGGAGAGCCTCCGTGACACAGAGACGAGCAGTCTCAGTTGAATAACCAGTCTTGAAACCTGACTGGTTTGGATCAAGAAGGTCATTCTGAGAGAGATAGCAGGAGAGTTGGCTAGAGACGGCACGCTCAAGAGTTTTGGAGAGAAAAGAAAGAAGGGATACTGGTCTGTAGTTGTTGACATCGGAGGGATTGAGTGTAGGTTTTTTGAGGAGGGGTGCAACTCTCGCTCTCTTGAAGACGGAAGGGACATGGCCAGCGGTCAAGGATGAGTTGATGAGCGAGGTGAGGTGAGGTAGGGAGAAGGGTCTCCGGAAATGGTCTGGAGAAGAGAGGAGCGGATAGGGTCAAGCGGACAGGTTGTTGGGCGGCCGGCCGTCACAAGTCACAAGATTTCATCTGGAGTGAGAGGGGAGAAAGAAGTCAAAGCATAGGGTAGGGCAGTGTGAGCAGGACCAGCGGTGTCATTTTACTTAATAAATGAGGATCAGATGTCGTCAACCTTCTTTTCAAAATGGTTGACGAAGTCATCCACAGAGAGGGAGGAGGGAGGGGGAGGAGGAGGAGGAGGATTCAGCAGGGAGGAGAAGGTGGCAAAGAGCTTCCTAGGGTTAGAGGCAGAGCCTTGAAATTTAGAGTGGTAGAAAGTGGCTTTAGCAGCGGAAACAGAGGAAGAGAATGTAGATAGTAAACAAAAGTGAAATAAACAATAAATATTAACAGTAAACATTACACTCAGAAGTTCCTAAATAATAAAGACATTTCAAATGTCATATTATGTATATATACAGTGTTGTACATTGTGCAAATAGTTAAAGTACAAATGGGAAAATAAATAAACATAAATATGGGTTGTATTTACAATGGTGTTTGTTCTTCACTGGTTCTCTCTCTCTCTCTCTCTCTCTCTCTCTCTCTCTCTCTCTCTTTCTCTCTCTCTCTCTCTCTCTCTCTCGCTCTCTCTCTCTCTCTCTCTCTCTGTTTGTTCCTCTATTAATCTGTAACATTCTCTCCATCCTGCTCTTCTCCTTTCATTCTTCTTTTTTGTGATTATATCTATGAATTTAGTGGAAATCATGTTGAGGAGCTCCTCTTTTCATTTTTTTTCTTTTTCTTTTAGGGGGTAGATCAGTTTAATATTGCAGATAGATTGTAACTTCCATCAATGTAATTGTCTGCATCACTTCCAATCCCCCATGTTTATATATATATATATACAGTGAGGGAAAAAAGTATTTGTACGCATTTTGTACGTTTGCCCACTGACAAAGAAATTATCAGTCTATAATTTTAATGGCAGTTTTATTTGAACAGTGAGAGACAGAATAACAACAACAAAATCCAGAAAAACGCATGTCAAAAATGTTATGAATTGATTTGCATTTTAATGAGGGAAATAAGTATTTCACCCCCTCTCAATCAGAAAGATTTCTGGCTCCCAGGTGTCTTTTATACAGGTAACGAGCTGAGATTAGGAGCACACTCTTAAAGGGAGTGCTCCTAATCTCAGTTTGTTACCTGTATAAAAGACACCTGTCCACAGAAGCAATCAATCAATCAGATTCCAAACTCTCCACCATGGCCAAGACCAAAGAGCTCTCCAAGGATGTCAGGGACAAGATTGTAGACCTACACAAGGCTGGAATGGGCTACAAGACCATCGCCAAACAGCTTGATGAGAAGGTGACAACAGTTTTGTGCAGGTCTACAATTTTATCCCTGATTTCCTTACACAGCTCTCTGGTCTTGGCCATTGTGGAGAGGTTGGAGTCTGTTTGATTGAGTGTGTGGACAGGTGTCTTTTATACAGGTAACGAGTTCAAACAGGTGCAGTTAATACAGGTAATGAGTGGAGAACAGGAGTGCTTCTTAAAGAAAAACTAACAGGTCTGTGAGAGCCGGAATTCTTACTGGTTGGTAGGTGATCAAATACTTATGTCATGCAATAAAATGCAAATTAATTACTAATTACTCCTGTTTTCCACTCACTACCTGTATTAACTGCACCTGTTTGAACTCGTTACCTGTATAAAAGACACCTGTCCACACACTCAATCAAACAGACTCCAACCTCTCCACAATGGCCAAGACCAGAGAGCTGTGTAAGGAAATCAGGGATAAAATTGTAGACCTGCACAAGGCTGGGATGGGCTACAGGACAATAGGCAAGCAGCTTGGTGAGAAGGCAACAACTGTTGGCGCAATTATTAGAAAATGGAAGAAGTTCAAGATGACGGTCAATCACCCTCGGTCTGGGGCTCCATGCAAGATCTCACCTCGTGGGGCATTAATGATCATGAGGAAGGTGAGGGATCAGCCCAGAACTACACGGCAGGACCTGGTCAATGACCTGAAGAGAGCTGGGACCACAGTCTCAAAGAAAACCATTAGTAACACACTACGCCGTCATGGATTAAAATCCTGCAGCGCACGCAAGGTCCCCCTGCTCAAGCCAGTGCATGTCCAGGCCCGTCTGAAGTTTGCCAATGACCATCTGGATGATCCAGAGGAGGAATGGGAGAAGGTCATGTGGTCTGATAAGCCAAAAATAGAGCTTTTTGGTCTAAACTCCACTCGCCGTGTTTGGAGGAAGAAGAAGGATGGGTACAACCCCAAGAACACCATCACAACTGTGAAGCATGGAGGTGGAAACATCATTCTTTGGGGATGCTTTTCTGCAAAGGGGACAGGACGACTGCACCGTATTGAGGGGAGGATGGATGGGGCCATGTATCACGAGATCTTGGCCAACAACCTCCTTCCCTCAGTAAGAGCATTGAAGATGGGTCGTGGCTGGGTCTTCCAGCATGACAACGACCCGAAACACACAGCCAGGGCAACTAAGGAGTGGCTCCGTAAGAAGCATCTCAATGTCCTGGAGTGGCCTAGCCAGTCTCCAGACCTGAACCCAATAGAAAATCTTTGGAGGGAGCTGAAAGTCCGTATTGCCCAGCGACAGCCCCGAAACCTGAAGGATCTGGAGAAGCTCTGTATGGAGGAGTGGGCCAAAATCCCTGCTGCAGTGTGTGCAAACCTGGTCAAGACCTACAGGAAACGTATGATCTCTGTAATTGCAAACAAAGGTTTCTGTACCAAATATTAAATTCTGCTTTTCTGGTGTATCAAATACTTATGTCATGCAGTAAAATGCAAATTAATTACTTCAAAATCATACAATGTGATTTTCTGGATTTTTGTCTCTCACAGTTGAAGTGTACCTATGATAAAAATTACATGCTTTGTAAGTAGGAAAACCTGCAAAATCGGCAGTGTATCAAATACTTGTTCTCCCCACTGTATAAACCCCCAGTCATACTTTATCAAATGCCTTTTCGAAGTCTGCTATGAATAGCAGGCCTGGTTTCCCAGATTTTCCATAGTGTTCTATTGTTTCCAGTACTTGCCTTATATTATCTCCAATGTATCTTCCATGTAAAAAACCTGTCTGATTAGAATTGATAATGTCCGACAATACCTTTTTAATTCTATGCGCTATACATTTTGCTAGAATTTTTGCATCACAACACTGAAGTGTAAGGGGCCTCCAGTTTTTTAAATGGACTGGATCTTTATATTTTCCACTTGTATCCTGTTTCAGTAATAATGAAATCAGACCTTCTTTTTGAGTGTCTGATAATCTAGCATTTACATAGGAGTGGTTAAAACATGCTAATAATGGTCCTCTTAGTATATCAAAAAAGGTTTGATATACCTCGACTGGTATGCCATCCAACCCTGGAGTTTCCCCGGACTTAAAGTCTTTAATTGCATCCAGAAGTTCCTCCTCTGTAATTTCACCTTCACATGAGTCTTTCTGTATGGCTGTTAATTTTACATTATCAATAGAAAAAAATCTCTACATTTAGCTTCAGTTAGAGGAGATGGAGGCGACTGAAACGAAAACATATGCTTAAAGTACTTTGTTTCCTCCTTCAAAATATCATTGGGTGACTCCGTCAATTGTAACCAGTTTCATTCAATTATTTTTGGTAGCATTCCTATGTTGAAGATTAAAAAATAATTTGGTGCATTTTTCTCCATATTCCATCCAGTTTGCTTTATTTTTATAATATATTACACTTGATCTTTCTTGAATAAGTTTCTCCATTTATTTTTGTTTTACTCTAATTTATTCTGAGCCTCTATGTTACAGTTTTTATTGCCATCTATCTGTTCTGTTAGACCTTCTATTTCCTTTGTTAGTATAAACTCTTTTGACCTAAATTGCTTTTGTTTTCGAGATGAGTACTGAATTGCATGGCCTCTAAAGGCACATTAAAGGCGTCCCATACAATAAGGGGATTTGCTGTACCTATGTTATGTCGGAAAAAATCAGCTATAAATTCCTTTGTCCTAGTTAAAAATAAATAATCATCCAATAGGCTTTGATTACATTTCCAATATCCTCGCCCACGTGGAAATTCAGTAAGAGTAATGTATATGCCAATTATATGATGGTCCGACCACATTCTGTCCCCTATCAACACTTTTCAAACTTTTGGTGCCAACGAGAATGACATAAGAAAGAAGTCAAGACGACTAGCTTGATTGAGTCTCCGCCATGTATATCTCACTAGATCAGGATATTTAAGCCTCCATATATCTACTAGTTCTAATGTATCCATGACATTCACGATTTCCTTAAGAGCATGAGGGTGATTGTTTGTGGTATGATTTGCTTTACGGTCCATTGAGCTATTTAAAACAGTATTATAATCCCCCACCATAATAATATATTGTCTTGAATTGCTTGCAGGGTTGATCATTTATTATATATATTGTCAAAAAAGTGTGGATCATCATTATTTGGTCCGTAAAGGTTAATGAGCCATATCTGTTTATGGTCCAATAACATATTTAAAATAATCCATCTACCTTGCGTATCTATTTGGACAATTTGCACATTCGGATTGAAATTACTATTAATTAATATCATCACCCCTTTTGAGTTTCTTTGCCCATGGGAGAAGTATATTCCCCCCCCCCCCCCCCCCCCCCCCCAATAAATTATCAGTCTATAATTTTAATGGTAGGTTTATTTGAACAGTGAGAGACAGTATAACAACAAAACATGTCTAGGCCACTCCAGGACCTTAATGTGCTTCTTCTTGAGCCACTCCTTTGTTGCCTTGGCCGTGTGTTTTGGGTCATTGTCATGCTGGAATACCCATCTACGACCCATTTTCAATGCCCTGGCTGAGGAAAGGAGGTTCTCACCCAAGATTTGACGGTACATGGCCCCGTCCATCGTCCCTTTGATGCAGTGAGGTTGTCCTGTCCCCTTAGCAGAAAAACACCCCCAAAGCATAATGTTTCCACCTCCATGTTTGACGGTGGGGATGGTGTTCTTGGGGTCATAGGCAGCATTCCTCTTCCTCCAAACACGGCGAGTTGAGTTGATGCCAAAGAGCTCCATTTTGGTCTCATCTGACCACAACACTTTCACCCAGTTCACCTCTGAATCATTCAGATGTTCATTGGAAAACTTCAGACGGGCATGTATATGTGCTTTCTTGAGCAGGGGGACCTTGCGGGCGCTGCAGGATTTCAGTCCTTCACGGCGTAGTGTGTTACCAATTGTTTTCTTGGTGACTATGGTCCCAGCTGCCTTGAGATCATTGACAAGATCCTCCCGTGTAGTTCTGGGCTGATTCCTCACCGTTCTCATGATCATTGCAACTCCACAAGGTGAGATCTTGCATGGAGCCCCAGGCTGACGGAGATTGACAGTTCTTTTGTGTTTCTTCCATTTGCGAATAATCGCACCAACTGTTGTCACCTTCTCACCAAGCTGCTTGGCGATGGTCTTGTAGCCCATTCCAGCCTTGTGTAGGTCTTCAATCTTGTCCCTGACATCCTTGGAGAGCTCTTTGGTCTTGGCCATGGTGGAGAGTTTGGAATCTGATTGATTGATTGCTTCTGTGGACAGGTGTCTTTTATACAGGTAACAAACTGAGATTAGGAGCACTCCCTTAAAGAGTGTGCTCCTAATCTCAGCTCGTTACCTGTATAAAAGACACCTGGGAGCCAGAAGTCTTTCTGATTGAGAGGGGGTGAAATACCTATTTCCCTCATTAAAATGCAAATCAATTTATAACATTTTTGACATGCGTTTTTCTGGATTTTGTTGTTGTTATTCTGTCTCTCACTGTTCAAATAAAACTGCCATTAAAATTGTAGACTGATCATTTCTTTGTCAGTGGGCAAACGTACAAAATCAGCAGGGGATCAAATACTTTTTTCCCTCACTGTATCTAGTAAGGCTTCTTTCAGAAAGTTGTTCTCCTTTTTAAGTTCCTTAACGTCCGTTTCCATCCTAGTGATTGTCCCTTTTAGTTTTTTTGTATCGCTCTCCATTATCGCAACTTTTCCGTCACTCATTTCCAGACTCGCCTTCAACTCTTTTACATCATTACTGACCAACTCCAGTATGCCCAGTTTGTCATTTATCGACTTTAACAGGTCGCTTTCCACACTTACCAGTCCGAGTGGTGAAAAGCATAAATAATCTGTATCAGTCGAGGAGTCTAGTTTTCTCTTGGAGATTGATTCTCCTCGTTCACCCTCTGTCATGTTTGGCTGTTGCGTGTTGTTGTAATATTTGTCGATGCATTTCTCTAGCCTTATAATTTGTTTTGTGTTATTATCCAGATTGAATGTTATTACCCTCGAATATATGAATTGTTAATATTTAGTCTAACTTCCTGATATTGAATATTATGTTTTTATCTTGAGGTGAATTTTACCGCTTTGTGTTCAATACGCCATCTTGTTTCCGCTTGGTGGTCTCTCTTGGTGACAAGAGCAATTTGGCTCTCATATGTTCCTACCCTCCAGTCACTGGTTACTGCTGGTGTTTGTGTGTGCATTTGCACGTGTGTGTAATGTATGCGTGTGCTTGCGTGCATGTGTGTGTTTGTGTGGTACAAAGCAAGAGACGGCAGGGCTTTCACTAACAGCTAGCTTGTTTGAATTTTTAAGAGGTTCTATACAAAACATCCTCAGTTTAACTATCAAACTTTGACTTTGACTATAATAGTTTCTGGGCAATTCAACAACGGAATGTTTCATTTTTAAACAAAAGAGTGTGAATACTAATGTTTGAATTAGTGCTACAGTAAATGAAGCATGAGAGTGGTGTTTAGAGGCCGGCGGGGCGGGGGCGGGGGTGGGGGTGGGGGCAGGTCGGGCCTCTTCTCTCCTCTCTCTCTCTAACCTGACAGCTCATCAGCGACTCGGCGCAGTAATTGAAAATCATGGGGAAAGTGGATAATGATCGTTTATTTGTGTGAAATTCAAACGAGAAGGGGAGAAAAGCTGGACTTGGAAGGTTCGGGGACTTATCTGGCTGTGGTTGGCTGAGTAATTAAATCAGAAAAGCCAGTGAAGTTCTCCTCAGCTCAGCGTCTCGTCCTGTTTCTCCTTTAATCAGGCGCCCATTAAACCTCTGATTGCGCGCCCCATCTTCTGACTCCAGCTCAGCTATTAAACAGGAACTGAAAGCCGTTCTCTGTGGCAGCAGCTCAAGGGTGGGGGAAGGTGGTGGAGGGTGCGTTGGCGGGGTGGATGGCATTCGAGCATGTACAGGATGCAAGGTGAGAGAGAAATAGCAGGGCATGTATGATGTTAATGGAAGGGGAGAGAGGGGGAGAGCGATATGCAGGTGGGGGAATATATTGATATCACTATGCGTAACATTCAGCATATTTTCCAGTTCTGGTTGAATGGGTGATGAATACACTACATGGCCAAATGCTCGCCGAACATCTCATTCCAAAATCATGGGCATTAATATGGAGTTGGTTCCCCCTTTGCTGCTATAACAGCTTCAACTCTTCTGCGAAGGCTTTCCACTAGATGTTGAAACATTGCTGCAGGGACTTGCTTGTGTACTGCAAAATCTGTTTTTTTCTGTCTAAACAGACAGCAATCTCTGATAGCCCATTATATATTCTGATCAACTGGCTTATTATTGTGTCAGGAAACTAAATACCACATTAATCAGACTTGCTTCCATTCAGCCACAAGAGCATTAGTGAGTTTGGGCAGTGATGTTGGGCGATTAGGCCTGGCTCGCAGTCAGTGTTCCAATTCATCCCAAAGGTGTTCGATGGGGTTGAGGTCAGGGCTCTGTGCAGGCCAGTCAAGTTCTTCCACACCGATCTCGACAAACCATTTCTGTATGGACCTCGCTTTGTGCACGGGGGCATTGTCATGCTGAAACAGGAAAGGGCCTTCCCTAACTGTTGCCACATAGTTGGAAGCACAGAATCGTCTAGAATTTCATTGTATGCTGTAGCGTTAAGATTTCCCTTCACTGGAACTAAGGGGCCTAACCTGAACCATGAAAAACAGCCCCATACCATTATTCCTCCTCCACCAAACTTTACTCTTGGCAATATGCATTCGGGCAGGTAGCGTTCTCTTGGCTTCCGTCAAACCCAGATTCGTCTGTCGGACTGACAGATGGTGAAGCGTGATTCATCACTCCAGAGAACGTGTTTCCACTGTTCCAGAGTCCAATGGCGGCAAGCTTTACACCACTCCAGCCGATGCTTTGTGTGCAGCTGCTCGGCCGTGGAAACCCATTTCATGAAGCTCCCCACGAACAGTTCTTGTGCTGACGTTGCTTCCAGAGGCAGTTTGGAACTTGGTAGTGAGTTGTTGCAACCGAGGACCGACGATTGTTACGTGCTACGCACTTCAGCACTTGGCGGTCCCGTTCTGTGAGCTTGTGTGGCCTACCACTTTGCGCTGAGCTGTTGTTGCTCGTAGACGTTTCCACTTCACAATAATAGCATTTACAGTTGACCCGGGGCAGACCTAACAGGGCAGACATTTGATGAACATCCTATGACAGTGCCACGTTGAAAGTCACTGAGCTCTTCAATACGGGGCATTCTACTGCCAATGTTTGTCTATGGAGATTGCATGGCGGTGTGCTCGATTTTCAACACCTGTCAGCAACGGGTGTGGCTGAAATAGCCGAATCCACTAATTTGAAGGGGTGTCCACATACTTTTGTATATATAGTGTACCTCCCTGAAAGCCCATAAATCCCTTTCATAAAGTACTACTGACCTGTGAGATATAGCTGTGACCTTAAATTACACACACACACACACACACACACACACACACACACACACACACACACACACAAACACAAACAATCACACCCCAGAAGACACACTCACACACACACGCACACACACACACACACACACACACACACGCACGTACTGACAGTCAAGCTGTTTTTATGATCTCTGTGGGGAAATGGCAGCAGTATAAATAGCACCATTGTTTTCCCTCTATTCAAATGCAGCATCGTCCAAACTGCTGCCTCCACATATTCAGTGACACATGACCTCGACCAATGTCAGGTGTGATTCCTCCACTGCTCTCCACCGTATACAAATCATCCAGATTACAGTGATCTCTGCTACACACTGCTGATGACCACCTCCGGATCTGGGACAGCTGACTGCATATATACATTTTTATGGAGTCAGACCACACTGTCAGAGTGGACAAGGTTATTCAGCCGGAAGAGATATTGTATTGTTTTACATTTACATTATCTTGACCTGGACACACAGTATAAGGGTCATTCCACGAAATGAGTGCCTTTTTCCGTCCCTTTGATATTTTAAGTAGACATTTTTGAATTTTTGAATTTTAAAAGCCTGTTATATTAAATGATCAAATCAAATTGTATTTGCCACATGCACCGAATACAGCAGGTGTAGACATTACAGTGAAATGCTTACAAGCCCTTAACCAACAATGCAGTTGAAGAAAAAAAAATTAATAGAAAAAATTAATTAACCGGGGGCAACGGTTAGTCGAGGTAATTGAGGTAATATGTACATGTGGGTAGAGTTAAAGTGACTATGCATAAATTGTAAATAGAGTAGCAGCAGTGTAAAAGAGGGGGTTGGGGTGGGGTGGGGGGGCAATGCAAATAGTCCGGATAGCCATGATTAGCTGTTCAGGAGTCTTATGGCTTGGGGGTAGAAGCTGTTAAGAAGCCTTTTGGACCTAGACTTGGCGCTCCGGTACCGCTTGCCGTGCGGTAGCAGAGAGAACAGTCTATAACTAGGGTGGCTGGAGTCTGATAATTTTGAGGGCCTTCCTCTGACACCACCTGGTATAGAGGTCCTGGATTGCAGGAAGCTTGGCCGCAGTGATGTACTGGGCCGTACGCACTACCCTCTCTAGTGCCTTGCGGTCAGAGGCCGAGCAGTTGCCGTAAAAGGCGGTGATGCAACCAGTCAGGATGCTCTCGATGGTGCAGCTGTAGAACTTTTTGAGGATCTGAGGACCCATGCCAAATCTTTTCAGTCTCCTGAGGGGGAATAAGCTTTGTTGTGCACTCTTCATGGCTGTCTTGGTGTGTTTGGACCATGATAGTTTGTTGGTGATGTGGACACCAAGGAACTTGAAGCTCTCAACCTGTTCCACTACAGCCCCGTCGATGAGAATGGGGGTGTTCTCAGTCCTCTTTTTTTTCCTGTAGTCCACATCATCTGATGTGCCCTTTAAGAAAATTCAATACATTTTAAAAGAAAACTTGCTAAAGTGCCAAAAGTCACCATTTTGACATGTTCCTCTAAGCATCTCTGTTACTTCTAGGAAGATTTTACTTCTAGGAAGATTTTAACCCAATTAACCCAAAGTTTTCACCATCATTGTAAAGCCCTATTTATTTTGTTGCTTTGACAAAGTTATTTCCGAAGATTATTATTTATTTCATGTGATTAGTGATTCATTTTAAGGTAATAAATAACCCTATTCCTCATTTTAAGGTCAACCCTGTTACGTGAACTGAACTCTTGTTTTAATATTGTGAAACTATTCCTTTTTAAATATATATTTTTAAAGAAACATTGAACATTTAATAGTCAAATCATAGTGTCAAAACAGGTGAGTTGGTTCTACCCTTTTTGGCCATATTCTGGTCTTTTGGAAAACTGAGCGGGTCGAGCATAACACGTTAACCATGTTACCCATAGATAGACAGGCTAAAAATGTTTTAACAATTTCATTTTTCTTGTGAATCTTGCATTCAATTGCCCTCCCTGTTGCACACAACAAGCTTCTAATCCCCCTGTCACAAGGGGATTGATGGCTGATTTAAGATGAAGTCGTCAATCCTGTTACGGTCAACCCTGTTATGGTCAACCCTGTTACTTATTTGGCACTTCATTTTTTTATTTAACCTCTTGAGATGGGAAAACATGTTTTTTTATAAAGTTGAACATGTGCTCTTTTTTTCTTCACCAAGATACACTATTCAAAAGACACCTAATTGATGGAACGACCAATAAGGATGTGATCTATTCTACCCCCAATGATAGAGTGGTCATTACCATGTAGATTGTGCTGTACTGTACCTCCGTGGCTGTGCTGATACTGTCTCCTCGCATCCCCTCCCCTACCCTCTCCTCCTGCCCTGCAGCCCCAGTCATCCTGAATGAGTTGAACTGGACTCAGGCTCTGGAGAGGGTGTTTATTGATAACCGCCGGGAGGACAGCTCTCTGCGCTGGCAGGTGTTCGGCAGCGCCACAGGGGTCACAAGATACTACCCAGGTAATTCCTATACCATTATTAATAAGGATATTATCAACTTTGACTATACATATTGTATGGACATAGAGGTAAAAGAGATCAAGTTGCAAAATGATGTTTTCTATTCCTCCTTTTTCAAGCCACTCCATGGAGAGCACCCAATAAGATTGACCTGTATGATGTACGCAGACGACCATGGTGAGTACATGTTCTGTTTTCTTCCTCTTTCATACGATAGAGAGGCCCTACAGGTTTTCCATACAGCTGTTCTCCCACCAGGGGGTTAGCCTAAGGCCAGTTACACGTGATTAATTTACTATTTATTTGCCTAGAGAATCCTGCTTTATTCTGGGATATTTTATTCAACCTAAGGACAATCATATTAGGGAAGCATATATTTGTTTAATATGAAAGGTTCAAATAGTATTTTCTGCTCCCAATACACTTGCAACATCTCAATTAATGCAACCAGTCAGGATAAAGACATTTTATTGTCCCTGGTGCACATTCTATAGAATGCGGCATATTCTCATTTCAAATATTAAAGCCCCACATATCTTACATCTTTGTTAGAACCTTCTCCATGTCTTGTATTGCGAAATCCAATGTAACCAGTCCTATATTGTGTTCTTGCAAGCTTTGGTCTACTATAGATCTTAGTTGTCCCTCTACCCCCCCAAGCTTAATAGAATTGTTTGCTCCTTTGTTTCAGGCCATTGAGGTTAAAGCATTATCTAACCCCTATTTATCTTAGTGAGTTACCACAGAGAATAAATTCTCTTCAACTACAAGGACCGCAGCCAAGTGGCAAATAGCATTGCTGTGTTGTATTAAGTGTTCACCTGCCATTTGGTTTGTGAATCCCTGCTGTGTGTCAGATCATAGCCAGGGCCAGGGACTCAGAGCATGCCAGTTTGAAGTTTTCGACAGCACCGGGTGTGTGAGGCCAAACAGCCCCCCTTCCCCTACACCCTCACAACTCCATCCCTCCATCCTGCCTCTACCTGTCACTGTCACTTCAGCTCTGTTTAAGAGCTGCCTGTTGCCTGGTTGCAGATTAAAGCACACTGGACATAATCATGACAGCCACATTGATTAGAGTTGATGTTGGTTTCCATCCCTGGCTGTCTGTCTGTGTCCAGCTCCAGCATAGTTTGGTTGGCTGTTCCAGGCCAGGCCAGGGGTTGGCCTGAGGTGATGGATGGGCAGGAGGGCAAAGCACTGAGACAAACAGCAAACTCCCACTGTATAGGATTAAAATACTGACAGTATACTCCAGATTGATCTGTCAGGTAAATAAGCAATGTATTTATACCAATATAAACAACCTAGAGTTTGCTTTATTACACACTCCCATAAACATACTGTTGCATATACAGTGAGGGAAAAAAGTATTTGATCCCCTGCTGATTTTGTAAGTTTGCCCACTGACAAAGAAATGATCAGTCTATAATTTTAATGGTAGGTTTATTTGAACAGTGAGAGACAGAACAACAACAAAAAAATCCAGAAAAACGCATGTCAAAAATTTTGTAAATTGATTTGCATTTTAATGAGGGAAATAAGTATTTGACCCCCTCTCAATCAGAAAGTTTCTGGCTCCCAGGTGTCTTTTATACAGGTAACGAGCTGAGATTAGGAGCACACTTTTAAAGGGAGTGCTCCTAATCTCAGCTTGTTACCTTTATAAAAGACACCTGTCCACAGAAGCAATCAATCACTCAGATTCCAAACTCTCCACCATGACCAAGACCAAAGAGCTCTCCAAGGATGTCAGGGACAAGATTGTAGACCTACACAAGGCTGGAATGGGCTACAAGACCATCGCCAAGCAGCTTGGTGAGAAGGTGACAACAGTTGGTGCGATTATTCGCAAATGGAAGAAACACAAAAGAACTGTCAATCTCCCTCGGCCTGGGGCTCCATGCAAGATCTCACCTCGTGGAGTTGCAATGATCATGAGAACGGTGAGGAATCAGCCCAGAACTACACGGGAGGATCTTGTCAATGATCTCAAGGCAGCTGGGACCATAGTCACCAAGAAAACAATTGGTAACACACTACGCCGTGAAGGACTGAAATCCTGCAGCGCCCGCAAGGTCCCCCTGCTCAAGAAAGCATATACAGGCCCGTCTGAAGTTTGCCAATGAACATCTGAATGATTCAGAGGAGAACTGGGTGAAAGTGTTGTGGTCAGATGAGACCAAAATGGAGCTCTTTGGCATCAACTCAACTCGCTGTGTTTGGAGGAGGAGGAATGCTGCCTATGACCCCAAGAACACCATCCCCACCGTCAAACATGGAGGTGGAAACATTATGCTTTGGGGGTGTTTTTCTGCTAAGGGGACAGGACAACCTCACCGCATCAAAGGGACGATGGACGGGGCCATGTACTGTCAAATCTTGGGTGAGAACCTCCTTCCCTCAGCCAGGGCATTGAAAATGGGTCGTGGATGGCTATTCCAGCATGACAATGACCCAAAACACACGGCCAAGGCAACAAAGGAGTGGCTCAAGAAGATGCACATTAAGGTCCTGGAGTGGCCTAGCCAGTCTCCAGACCTTAATCCCATAGAAAATCTGTGGAGGGAGCTGAAGGTTCGAGCTGCCAAAAGTCAGCCTTGAAACCTTAATGACTTAGAGAAGATCTGCAAAGAGGAGTGGAACAAAATCTCTCCTGAGATGTGTGCAAACCTGGTGGCCAACTACAAGAAACGTCTGACCTCTGTGATTGCCAACAAGGGTTTAGCCACCAAGTACTAAGTAATGTTTTGCAGAGGGGTCAAATACTTATTTCCCTCATTAAAATGCAAATAAATTAATAAAAATGTTGACATGCGTTGTTCTGGATTTTTTGTTTGTTATTCTGTCTCTCACTGTTCAAATAAACATACCATTAAAATTATAGACTGATCATTTCTTTGTCAGTGGGAAAACATACGAAATCAGCAGGGGATCAAATAGTTTTTTCCCTCACTGTACAGCAGTGGAGGCTCCTCAGAGGAGGAAGGGGAGGACCATCCTCCTCAGGGAATTTCATAAAAAAATAAAAATTGTAAAACATTGAAAAAGTTATCCTTTTTAGATAAAACTATAGTAAATATATTCACGTCACCAAATAATTGATTAAAACACTGTTTTGCAATGAAGGTCTACAGTAGCCTCAAATACAAAACCTAGGAGGCTCTTGGTTCTCACCCCCCTCCATAGACTTACACAGTAATTATGACAACTTCTGGAGGACGTCCTCCAACCTATCAGAGCTCTTACAGCATGAACTGACATGTTGTCCACCCAATCAAAGGATCAGAGAATTAATCTAGTACTGAAAGCATAAGCTACAGCTACCTAGCACTGCAGTGCATAAAATGTGGTGAGTAGTTGACTCAAAGAGAGAGAAAGACAATAGTTGAACAGTTTTCAACAAATGCATTTCTTCAAAAATGAAGGAGAAGCAAGAGAGAGAGATTTCGTCATTTTTTTTCACTTTCAGGTTCACTTACTTAGCTAGCAAATGCAGCTGGCTAGTTACTCAAACACCTGGCTCAAACAAAGGGATGCTATGTTAGCTAGCTGGCTATGACTATCCAACACAACACTGGAACTCTTCCAAGTCAAGGTAAGCTTTTGGTTTGATTAATTTATTGACACCGGGGCCCGCCGGTGTAACTGCTTACTGACTATACACTGTAACGTTACTGCATGATTGTAGCGGGTTTACTAACGCATTAGTTCTATTAGCTATGTTGACTAGGACGTTACTTTAGCTAATATGGGGACAACGATGTAGGCTGTGTGTAGCGGTTATGGCATGGTTTGGCTTGGAACGTTTTTTTCGCCTACAGCTGATGTGTTGTTCATTGAAGTCCACAAAAGAAGGGAAAAGGTGAGAGGAGGAGAGTGCAAAGAGGCGAGAAGGAATACAACGTGGCTGCTATGAAAGTGAACTGTGTTTATGCGTGATCAGGGGTGTATTCATTCCGCCGATTCTGTTGAAAATAAAATCTTAAACGGAAGCAAACAGGGATAAACATACCTGAATTTGTCGAATATAAACTCTTGTTTGCAGCTGTTGGACTAATGATTACACCCTAGATAAGCTAGATGCAGGCAAGCGTTTGCAAGGCGGTATTGAATGTGTCACTGTCTGTCCATCGTGTCACCTGTCTGTCCTCTAAAAATTTCTCTCTACGACCGTGTGCCCTACATTGTCATCTTTCATTCATAGGCTATGTTGTAGCAACCTCATGATTGGGTATAGGGACCATTTGAGTATCATGTATAGCCAAACCTAGCTATGTTACAATGAACTGGTTATGGAATATACAATGACATCAGCCAATATGCGGTAAATAGAAAATAAGCCATGCTCATGAAAAAAAATGGTCCTCCCTCATCATAAACGTCACTGACCGCCACTGATATACAGATATATGTTTTGCAGCAGTACACGCATGGGCCTACTCATATAAAACCAAGAAGTACTGATTCTGCTCAGAAGGTTAGAGTTGCCGTTAAAGATGTGTGAGAAGCCTGTGTTTAGCTGAACTCCAGTTTGTTTCCCAGCGTATCAGACTGAGGAAGTAATGAGGCTCTTCCTGACAGACTAATGAAGTTAACTCTCTGGGAGAAAGTGTCCCTGCAATGCCCCTGCTCTGGCAGACATGGGCTTTCAACACAATACCTGTACAACACTGTGCACCTCCACATGAACAAGACTTTTCCAATTATTGGGTTGTTTGTGTTAACAATGTGCTACAGTACGCCACTGACAAGTTAAAAGGAGAATCATGTCTGTGTTTTCCTTTAGTGCCTTTGCTTCCAACAACTACACTGAGTGTAGAAAACATTAGGAACACATTCCTAATACTGAGTTGCACCCCCTTTTGCCCTCAGGAAAGCCTCAATTTGTCGGGGCATGGACTCTAAAAGGTGTCGAAAGCATTCCACAGGGATGCTGGCCCATGTTGACTCCAATGCTTCCCACAGTTGTGTCAAGTTGGCTGGATGTCCTTTGGGTGGTGGACCATTGTTGATACACACAGGAAACTGTTGAGCCTGAAAAACCCAGCAGTGTTGCAGTTCTTGACACATTCAAACCGGTGCGCCTGGCACCTACTACCATACCCCTTTCAAAGGCACTTAAATATTTTGTCGTGCACATTCACCATCTGAATGGCACACATACACAATCCACGTCTCAAGGCTTAAAAATCATTCTTTAACCTGTCTCCTCCACTTCATCTACACTGATTGAAATGAATTTAACAGGTGACATCAATAAGGGATCATAACTTTCACCTGGAATCACCTGGTCAGTCTATGTCATGGAAAGAGCAGGTGTTCCTAATATTTTGTACACTCAGTGTATACGACAACCCATTTTAATTCCCTCACACATGAGAAGAGTCTTCCTTGAGGCGGAGAGGAACGTGGAATTGAAGAGAGAGAGGGAGAGATAGAGATGGAGAGAGAGCTGAGAGGAAGAAAGGGAGTCTGGAGACAGAAGGTGGGACAGGGGTAGACAGGGGTGGATGCTTTCAACTGAAGAGCACCGTGTCACCCCCTGGTCCTCCATGTTTGTCACTGTCATTGTTCCCATGCTTCTCTTCTCTGCCTGTTGGTCTCCGACTTTCCGTCAGTCCTCTCTGAAAGCTCCTGTGGCCTGTTGCCTAGCAACCTATGCCCATGCTGTGTTGAGTGGCGGGGCCGTGGCAGGGAGTGCCATGATGTGTCAGGTCATGCTTGTATGGTTATGGTCTAACACGCTGTCTTTGGTTGTGACACACTCTGGAGGGGTCAGCCAATCGCAGGGGGCTAAAAGACCACCCACTGGGTTAGGTAAGCCAATCACGTGTGTGTTAGGTGACAGCAATAGATAAATAGACCTTTAAAGGGGAATGGGGGTAACTCACATGCATATGTTTTCACCTAACATGTGAATTGCAGTTGCACATGTGACATTTGCGGTTTCACATGTGAAAAACATTCTCTTGTGAATATGTCTTGCTTACATGTGAAAATCAATCATGTGAAAATCTAATTTGCAGTTTCACATGTCAGAAAACTCCACATGTGAAAATCTCACTTCCACATGTGGAATTGCAAGTTCACGTGTGGTGATGAAATACTGTTATTCCCCTCACATGTGAAAACGTTGTGTTAACATGTTGCAGTAGCTATGTTTCCACATATGGAATTCAGTGGCGGTCAGTGCCGGGTTTTTTTTCATGAGCATGGCCTTATTTCTATTACAGCATATTGGATGACTGTCATCCATATTCCATTCACCCAGTTCAATGTAACAGCGATAGGTTTAGGCTACTACATGATACTCTAATTTTCGCTATACCCATCATGAGGTTGCTACAACCTAGCCTATGAATGACAGTTTACAATGTAGGTGCAAACAGGTCGAGAGACAAATTTGAGGTGACAGACAGTGACACATTCAATACCGCCTTGCACACTCTTGCCTGCATCTAGCTGATATAGGGTGTAATCATTAGTCCAACAGTTGAAAACGAGAGTTTCTATTGGACGAATTCAGGTATGTTTATCCCCGTTTTCTTCTGTTTGCTTCCAAATGTTTTTTGTGTGATGAATACACCCCTGATCACGAATAAACACAGTGCACTTTCATAGCAGCCAAGTTGTATTCCTTCTCACATCTATGCGCTCTACTCCTTTCACCTCTTCCCTTCGCTTGTGGACTTCAATGCTCAACACATTAGCTGTATGTGACCAGGCGAAAAAACCTTTCCAAGCCAAACCGCTACACACAGCCTACATCGTTGTCACCATATTAGCTAAAGTAACGTCATAGTCAGCATAGCTAATAGAACTAAGGCGTTAGTAAACCCGCTACAATCATGCAGTAACATTACAGTGCACAGTCAGTAAGCAGTTACACCGGGGGCCCCGGTGGCAATAAATTAGTAAATCCAAAAGCTTACCTTGACTTGGAAGAGTTCCAGTGTTGTGTAGCTAACATAGCATCCCTCTGTTTGATTAGGGTGTTTCAGTAGGCTAAACTAGCTAGCTGCATTTGCTAGCTAAGTAAGTGAAACTGAAGGTGAAAAAAAATGTTGAAATCTCTCTCTCTATTTCTCTCTTGCTTCTCCTTCATTTTGGAATAAATGTATTTGTTCAAAACTGTTCAACTACTGTCTTTCTCTCTCTTTGAGTCAACTACTCACCACATTTTATGCACTGCAGTGCTAGCTAGCTGTAGCTTATGCTTCCAGTACTAGATTCATTCTCTGATCCTTTGATTGGGTGGACAACATGTCACTTCATGCTGCAAGAGCTCTAATAGGTTGGAGGACGTCCTCCGGAAGTTGTCATAATTACTGTGAAGTCTATGCAAGGGGGTGAGAACCATGAGCCTCCTAGGTTTTGTATTGAAGTCAATGTACCCAGAGGAGGACAGAAGCTAGCTGTCCTCCGGCTACACAATGGTGCTACCCTACAGAGTGCTGTTGAGGCTACAGTAGAACTTCTTTGCAAAACAGTGTGTTTTAATCAATTATTTGGTGACGTGATTATATTTAGTATAGTTGTATCTAAAAAGGCTAACTTTTTAAATGTTTTACAATAAAAAAATATAATGAAATTCACTGAGGAGGATGGTCCTCCCTCTTCCTCCTCTGAGGAGCCTCCACTGATGGAATTGTAAATTCTTTAATGCCATTCTGTAAAAAGGTAACTTGGCCTACCTGAATATAATAATTCAAGTGCGTTAAAAATGATAATTTCTTATTTCTGAGCCATCAATTTGGAGTGTTTCTGCTGCAGGCACACACCTCTCTTCTTCATATATTGGTCAGTGACCGTTGGAAGAAACCCAGTGAAAAGAACAGAGAAGCAAGCGCTCTGTGTCTCCTTATTTATCCTGTTTTACATGTTAAAATTAGCACTGTCAGAGTTAATCAGTTAACTCAAGTTAATACACTGCAAACATCCAAAATTCATAATCTGTACAGATAAAAACAACAATGTGATGTCAAAACAAGTTGACTTTAAAGTTAAAGAAAGTGTGTTTATCAATTTACCTGATTTTTCTAACCATTACTTTGGACAAAATCAAGAGGTCAAGTTTCTTGCAATGCTTTTTGTGTAAAAATTCTTATATTACATCTAAATGTGAGCAATTTATATATCTTTTTTAAATGTGATAAAACAAATATATTTTGACAGCCCTAGTTGACCTTAAAATGTGAAAATGCACATGTCAGTTGTAGCGGACATGAGTCAGTCATGGGTGTACATGGTCACATGGTGAGGTAGCCCCACCTGAGTCAGTCATGGGTGTACATGGTCACATGGTGAGGTAGCCCCACCTGAGTCAGTCATGGGTGTACATGGTCACATGATGAGGTAGCCCTACCTGAGTCAGTCATGTGTGCACATGGTCACATGATGAGGTAGCCCTACCTGCGACTTCAAAAGTAGTGTTGGCCCTCTTGGTCTAATGGTCAAGACGTTGGCGTCTTGTTACAATAGCATACATGTGAAACTTATAATATCACTTGAAATGTTGGGAAACCACATGTGTCTGAGTCGTGAAAACTCCATGTGAAACTTCACACATGTCCAAAAACCACCTGTCTGACTCGTGAAAATTTCACATGTGAATAAAACATGGAACGTGATTTTTTTTTCTCTCATACATGTCCAAAAAACACGTGTTCTTTTCACATGTGATTTTTTTCATGTGTGTTTTTTTGTAAGGGATAACCCTGACACTGACACTGACTCTGAAATGTGATTTACAGGAGGAAATAAAAGGATGGCTTGTGTGCACAGTGTGTGGCCTAAAATACCTCCACCTTTTACGGGAATGAGTTTAGGGCTGGTTGACCTGTCCTTTAGATGTCCTGGCTGGGGTCGTCCTGTGTGTGTGTGTGTGTGTGTGTGTGTGTGTGTGTGTGTGTGTGTGTGTGTGTGTGTGTGTGTGTGTGTGTGTGTGTGTGTGTGTGTGTGTGTGTGTGTGTGTAAAGTATGTAAAGTGTGTATAGTGTGTAAAGTGTGTATGGTAGGTATGGTGTGTAAAGTGTGTATGGTAGGTATGGTGTGTAAAGTGCATAAAGTGTGTAATCCTTTGAGGAAATTGGGGAAAAGAAGATGATGAGGATGCATAGCTCGGTGCCTCCACAGATCGGCTCCCTCCATCTGTCTGTCTGCTGTGCTCCCCCACTAACGGCCTCAGGAAAATTAATGGTCCAGTCAACACACTTAATTGTCTCCAATTGCTCTGACATTAATTATTAACATTTGTCCATTATATTGTCTGTTCAGGTTATCAAAGGAAGTCAAGGAAGAGAGGGGGAGTGAGAGAGGTGGAGAGAGAGAGAGAGCGGAGAGAGGGGGGGAGTGAGAAGAGAGAGAGGAAGAGAGAGAATCGATATCGATCGTCTAGAGAGAGAGACGCGCGCTATAGAGAGCGATCCGCTCATTATAGCGCTATCTTCGCTCTCTCGTCTCCTCTATCTCTCTCTCCTCTCTCTCTCTCGTCTCGATGCTCTCTCTACTATCTCTAGGAGAGAGACAGGCATGTTAGCCAAGCGTTGCAGAGATCCCATTACCTTCCAGGTTTAGTACAGCATGCAGGGCCATAACAGATATTGATTTCTCCGAAAAGTCAATCTACCTTCTCAGTAAATATTATGGCTTCTGGTCATTCCCAGCCAGGAGATGAGCCTCCCAAAATGCCTTGGCCAAAAAGCCTGGAGTCCCTGTGCTTGCCTCTCTTCCTGCCTGCCTCTCCCACCCCCCCCATCATTCCTCCTGTATGGAGTGGGTTAGTCAAAGGGAAGGCTATGTAGTGTAAAGAGATAACCATGACTGTGGAATCATAGTCTGAATGTTTGACCTTCTCTTGTTCCATTGGAAATAGTGACCTTGGGCCCATAAAGCATGCAACTTAAGTAAGTAAGTAATTCAACCCCAAATCTGTAAATCCATCAGAGTATAGTAGAAAACTTCATAGCTACTGTTTGAATGTTGGAATTCAAATGTTGTCTTTCCGTTTATACATTTACCATAACATATAAATTATTTATAATATTTCGTACTATGGGCCTAACCTGAAATATGGAAATGTTGCTCTTGGTATCAACCCCCTCAAATAATCAGCCAAAAGTAAAATAAATAAAAGGCAGACAACATCTCTTTCTCCTGCAGGCTTTCTGGGCCACATCCTCCTATATTTTTTATCTTAATTTAATCTTCATTCGACAGCCACATCCACAGGAGCACTAAGAGAGCAGGAGTCCATAAAATAATAAGCCCATCATCACAACACACACCCTGTTAATATTCACACACTCACAGGATGTGCATACGAAACACTGCAACTCATAGATAGGTATATACATCTACTCTATACATACAGTGCAATATACACTGAGTGTACCAAAACATTAGGAACACCTGCTCATTCCATAACATAGACAGGGTGAGTCCAGGTGAAAGCTATGATTCCTTATTGATGTCACTTGTTAAATCCACTTAAATCAGTGTAGATGAAGGGGAGGAGACAGGTTAAAGAAGGATGTTTAAGCCTTAAGACAATTGAGACGTGGATTGTGTATGTGTGTCATTCAGAGGGTGAATGGGCAAGACAAAATATTTAAGTACCTTTGAACAGGATATGGTAGTAGGTGCCAGGCGCACCGGTTTGAGTGTGTCAAGAACTGCAACGCTGCTGGGTTTTTAACGCTCAACAGTTTCCTGTGTGTATCAAAAATGGTCCACCACCCAATGGACATCCAGCCAACTTGACACAACTGTGGGAAGCATTAGAGTCAACATGGGCCAGCATCCCTGTGGAACGCTTTCGACACATTGTAGAGTCAATGCCCTGACGAATTGAGCCTGTTTTGAGTGCACTAGGGGGTGAATAAAGAATAAGATTAACCTGGGCCATTTTAGTGTTTTATCATTGTGTATTATCTGAAATGTACGTAGATAATTCCCCTGATTCAAATGTAATGCACCCCACTCAGGGAAACGGGTCAGGGTACATAAACACAATCTTCTGAGAGTGTTAGCCCCCAGCACAGTTAATGTATTGATTTACAGCGCCGCTCCGTGATAAAACTATTTCATGAATTCCAATGAGACTCTTTTACCAGACTGCCACGAAGGGACAGAAATACAATCACTACCACGCAGAATATGTCATTGTATTCTACTGGTTGTTTAATGTGTTCCTTTTAAGATGTTGTTGTTTTTTTGTGTGGCAATTGTACAGCTTTAACCTGTTCTCATTTAGTGCTGTGCCTCTGCCTTGAGACCTGCCACTCAAACAAATCATTTTGACTGTTTTATGTTATCATGACAGCATGTTTACGCTGTTTATACTAGTGTATGAAGAGTGTTTACTTTGATTTGCCGATTAGCCTACAAGCATTGCTTGAAACATTGGTCAAAACAGCTACCTCTGAAGTGCACTCATACACATATTCCTCATTGTGTGCAGACTTAGGATGCACAGTGGCTGTCATTAAGGAATGTGGTGTTATTAAATTATGTAGAGTAATTTCCATTAAATAATAGAGAGAGAGAGAGAGAGAGAGCGAGAGAGAGAGAGAGGTTCTGCGTGAAGGTGTGTGGCAGTGGCATGGCGGAATAGCTGGTGAATTGTGTTGTTGGGGCGGTGGGAGGGACGGGCAGGGATGGGCGAGTGCTCAGTTCAGCACCAGCCAGGTCCATCTGCTCATCACCTGGCCCTGGCACGCAGGAGACTGGGTAATGACAGGGAAAGAATGGCATCAGCGGGCAGGAGCCGAGAGGTAATTACAGAATGGAACCCATGCAGAAACAACACATCTGGATCCATGAGGCAAATATGGAGGATCAGATGTAGCAGCCATATCACTATAAGCTTTAATCCATGATGTTTTATCTGTCCTACCATGGAACTATACATCAGCCTGGAGATTGAAAAATCCTGCTCACCCCACTCGACTCCACTCTTCTCTTCCCCCCTCGCTAGCTTGAAAAATAAATACAATTCACTTTTAGGAATGGAGAGAGAGAGCGAGAGAGAGAGAGAGAGAGAGAGAGAGAGAGAGAGAGAGAGAGAGAGAGAGAGAGAGAGAGAGAGAGAGAGAGAGAGAGAGAGAGAGAGAGAGAGAGAGAGAGAGAGCGTACCACAGTCAGATGCAGCATGACAATCTGTGGAAAGATCATCCGTGGCAGCACAATAACTTCTGTCGCAAGTGATCCCCACCCCACTCCACTCCACCCCCGCGTCACACACTCAGCTTCTATTCATCTTCTGTTAAACTCCTCTTAAACCTCGTTGCAGCTGATCAATGCTGCCTCTCTCTTTAGACAAACCCCCAAGATAAATAGTCTCTCTAGAAGTGACATTGTTTTCCCCCTGAGACATATGGGGAGCTAATGATAGCTTAGCATTTGACTGTGAGATGTGAGTGTGGGGCAACTGAGGTTGAACCAGTAATGGAAGTCGGCTGTGCCCTGTCATTAACATTTAGGCCATGAATAACTTCAGCCATATTAAAGCACTAGAGCCAACTGAGAGAATGAGATGAGTTAGAGGATTTAATGAAATCCTCCTGCCATTGGTGCTACTCAGGTCTGAGGCCTTCACCAAAGGGCCCTTCCTTGAATATCTGGGCTGAGCTTTCTCTGGTCCGTGGTGCATTCTGACTGGGTTTGGTGCTGCATCGATGAACACTTTCACAACTCTATCTAGCCACAGAATGAAGTCATCACTTCGTGCAGTCTAACTCTCTCTCCTTCCCTCTCCCCATGCACTCTCTTTCTCAAATTAAGATTTCCGTAATTAAATTGATAAAAGTCATGCCAATACACTTCATGGTTCCAGACCTGATTTCGATTCCACACAGTGGTGGAGAGCTGTGGAAGTTCTACCTTTGATGTGGTGTTCTCTGTTATGAAAAATAATTGGATTCCCCCCTCCCCCACTAACTTCTGCCCATTCTGGGCATGCTCAGTTAATCGATCTCTTGAGTGTCTGCGGCGACAGTGCTGGTGGCTGGCCTGCCTGTGTTCTGTCCTGGGGTTTCAGGAGAGTGAGGCCCTGGTTGTGTTTGAAGCTGGGATTCGGGGCCACATCGGTGCTGAGGGACAGCAGTGGAACAGAGGTCAGGGGTCACTATGCAGGTTGGAGTGGTGGCGTGGTGCCTGCCAGTGAAGTGATGGGCTGGGGCTTGTGGGAGCAGCAACAGTGAGGCCTACCAGGGCTCAGTTCCTCTCTACCTCCGTATCGGCTTGGCCCGGCATAAGAAAAGCACCTAACTGTCTCACAGGCGGCTGGCCTGCCTCCACACACAGCAGAAAGAGACCACTGATGATCGGTCTACTCTGCTTTGCTCGCTCCTCAGAATGCCAAACGAACTAAACGCTAGCATTTTAACCCCCCGCAAAACTGACCTGGAGAAGGTCTATAACGTTACATCAATCTCTGCTCCATTTGCGTCAGGTGTAATGTGATTTTAATTGCAGTTGGAAGGGAATGAGTGCATTCTAATTTGCCTGTATATGTCAGCCTCTATCAGCAGTGGACAGATGTTTGTGTTTGTGGCTTTTCCAGGACAACAAAGTGTCTAGCATCCCTGGTTCAGTTTGCTGCTGTGTTTCTGCTCTCCCACAGACCCGCCCTGCACCATCATGACTTGCACCATCATGACTGACACACACCAACCCATAGCTGCCCTATTCTAGGAGTAGCTTTGCAACTGTAGCATAATGGTGTTAAGCAGCTTGTGTCTGGAGCTGACAAAGGGACCGGCAGAGTAAAGAATGTGTTTGACGCTGCACTGGTGCGTCATCGAGGGACTAGAGCATCAGCACTAGCTCTTATTGTACGGACAGACATTGCTTAGCTCAGACTCCCCTAAACACAGGTCAGCTCGGCTCAGCCTGCTTAGAAACATGACTGAAATCTGTTTAGCTCAGACTAAAACTAAATATAAAACCACTAAGTCAAACTCTGCATAAAGACAACTCAGATACACATACAGGTTGTTCAACAAAGCTTTGACGCCATGCACACATAGCTTTACCTATACTGTAAGTTAACCTTAGCTAAGCCGGGACTCCATTCAAGCTTGCCTCAACCAGTCTCAACAAAGCTTAGAATGCATTTAGACACAGCTCTTGCAAGCTTATACTCCATTTCAGTATTTAAATATGCTCTCACCTGGTTGCTACGTATGAACATAGCCCAGTTTATTGTAACCTGGGATCCCGATCAAATCTAGCAGTTCAGTTATACGCAGTGAAGACTAATGCAATTTGTTAAACCCATCTTTCTTTTTTGAATAGGTACATTCAAGGGGCATCATCTCCCAAGGACATGATCATCATTGTGGATGTGTGAGTAGATGCTGTCTTTCTTTCTTCGTCAATCTTTCCTTCTCCCTCTCTCCTCCCTCCTGTCCTCTCTCAGCAGCAACAGTAAAGGTCTCTAGTGCCACCTGTTGGTTTACCCAGATCAAAGGAGAATCTAGATTTCCGTCTCGATCGTGTTTATTTATTTTCACAGACCTCTTGCTATTATACGCATGTCTTAGCGGTACAATATGAAGATTATCGTTCTGAATGCATGCTGAAATAAACTGTGATTGGGTCATGGGAGGATTGAGAGGATAGATTAAGACTGTTTGTGTGCCCTATGCCAGATCCCCAACCTATAAATACTCATCACAGTATAAACAAGCAAAGGGATCGTCACTGTATAACCTCCTATGGATATACCATACTATCTGGATGGAACTGTTTAGGTTGAACTGTATGGCTCAATGCTCTGGTGTGTTCTGTTGTGTCTGTAGGAGTGGCAGTGTCAGTGGACTCACTCTGAAGCTGATGAAGACCTCTGTGATACAGATGCTAGACACTCTGTCAGATGATGACTATGTGAATGTAGCTAGGGTGAGTATCCTCGCTGATAAGGCGATGATTAGAACAGGGTTCTGCATTACTGTGACTCCATCAGGCCCCAATGTCAGTAAATTGCAGCTGAAGGTCTGGTTGCACATCAATATCCAATGACAATGTTACAACACGGTTAACACCTCCAATACAACATAAATATAATATATTGGTATGGCCATGAGAAAACGTATAGGTTCCTATCACATAGTCACATGTGGTTGCATAGTTATGCTGTAAAAAGTACTTTCCTACATGATTATAGTCCCACAATGTTGCAACCCCTAGTCTATGTGTGATTGTCCCAGCCTCTATTTCCCCCACAGTCTCCCTGCCTTGCAAACCTAGGTTTTTCATGAGCCTGCAAACACATGCACCCACGCACGCACACACACACACACACACACACACTGATGGGGTACCCTGTTTGGAGACTTGGGTGGGTAATCCTCCATAATCCAGTGCTCTTAGTCAGTGTATGGCTTTAAATCCCAGCTCTAAGAGGCAGAAATGAGCGTGGTAATCTGGGTGGGAACGAGACTGATTTCCACCCCTATAAAGAAAAGAAGAGCTCTGGAAGTAGGAAGGAACATCAACGGTTGTGCTTGGTGTGTGTGTACCTATCTGTTTGTCTATATTTTAGTGTATGTAGACACCAACAGCAATTCATGTTGTTAATACAATGATTATTCAAAGATTGTGCATTTGAATAGTCAAATATTCCCATTATTATGCATTGTAGTTACAAACACAACAACTGTTGATATCGTAACCTCTGACACAACAGTTACATTTACCAGATGCTCTTATCCAGAGTGATTTACAGGAGCAATTAGGGTTAAGTGCCTTGCTCAAAGACTCATCGACGGTTTTTTCACCTAGTCAGCTTGTCGATTAGAACCAGCGACCTTTCGGTTACTGGCCCAACGCTCTTAACCACTAGGCTACCTGCTGCCCAAAAATACAGTATAACCTTCAACAGAAGCATTACATTAGGCATGGAATTGTATTGAATGTGTTATTGTCATTTTGTTAGGAGATCATAATCTGTGACAAAATATTCTTAATGTTATTTTGAATACTATATTTCATGTAATTTTTCTCTTTTTGACCAATATAAATATCAAACTACACAAACACAAGGAAATGTCAGCTTTTCATGCACCAAATGTCTTTACCTATTTCATGCTATCATTCTGTCATCAAAATGTCAACTGATTTTAAAGTTGACCTTCAAGAAGAAAGGCCATTAAAAAGCTGACATTAAAGACATTGCTGTTCAACGCTAATCACACATAGACACTACCTTTCTGTCTGTCACACACACACACACACACACACACACACACACACACACACACACACACACAGTCACAAACACGCACGCACACAAACAGAGTCCAGGACTCATTTAAATTTTGCGGAGGAGATGAGATCTAGATGACATTACCTTGGCTGGGTGTCTGTTCTTGGTTTGCATTGGAATTCCAGGTGCACCTGTTCTTTGTGTGGAACACTGTAATTATCTATGTTTATTGCCAGAGTGGCACAGAGCAACCCACAGCTGCACATGTCCCACTCCTTATCCTGTCACACACACACACACACACACACACACACACACACAAACACACACACACACACACACACACACACACACACACACACACACACACACACACACACACACACACACACACACACACACACACACACACACACACACACACACACACACACACACACACACTACAGATGGAGTGGCCCTCAATGCCAGCGAGCGAGCAGCGTGGTCACACCCAGACACATTAAATTGACAATTATTCATTATTGTCTGTCTTCTCTCCCTCTCCCAGTTTAACGAGAAGGCCGAAGCCGTGGTCCCCTGCTTTAAGACCTTGGTCCAGGCCACCATGAGAAACAAGAAGATCTTCAAGGAGTCCATCATGCACATGCAAGCCAAAGGAACCACTGACTACAAGTCTGGCTTCCAGTTCGCCTTCGAACAGCTACTCAATGTAAGACTAAGAGCCAGCAGTCAGCCTCACGCTCTGGGGTTTATTTCAGGGTGGTAGGTTAGGTTAGGTCTTCCACGAAATGTCCATGGTATAAGACATGCTAATTAGCATACTGACATCCCAATTGACATCGGAATTGATATAGGAATTGACCCAGCCACACTTTAGACAATCAGAGGATTATGCCTCTTCTAAATGGAGCCCAAAGGGGCCACTAGTCAGTCAGCCGGTCTGATTAAGAACCGCCACTGCAGTGGCATGATGATGATGGTGGCGCTTAGGGCTAGCCAGCGCCAGTGGTCCCTGTCTGTGTATGCAGCAGAGAGGCAACCAGGCAGGCAGGGTTGGTCTGTCCCTCCATTTGCTGCTGCCGCTGTCTGTCTGTCTGTCTACACAGGTGCTGCCTCAGCTTAGCTCCATATGCTCCTGTATATTTTAGGAGGCTGCCGACCTAATGGGCTCTGATGGGATGATTGATGAGAGGAGCCCAGAAGAGATCAGCCACCGACACTTTATATTCCCCTGGTGGGCCGGGAGGCACGGAGCCAAGGGCCCAGCCCAGCCCAGCCTGTTCCCTCCAGCAGAATGAGAAATAAAAGCTTTTTAATCGCTGTCTGCCGCAGCCGCACTCCCTATGATTGGTGGCATAAGCACAATAAACATTTGTAATTGTGGTAATATTATTTATCTTTATTAGAATCTAGTCAGAGTGACGTGCCGCTGGCCTGCATATCAATTTTAACGGTCAGATCAAATCAAATCAAATCAAAAAAAGATAGGCAGACTGGTGGAGGAGAGGGATGAAAGAGAAAATGGGGGCTATGCTTAGAACCCAATCCATATCACAGTAGAATGCCACTGGCCACTGAACACATTTACCAATCTGCATGCACGGGATATGTTACCCTACACACACAGATATGTACTTTTCAATCAAAGATATGTGGATTTATTGTGTACTGGACATGCAGGTTAGCTAGCATATTAGAAAATAGAATCTACAGCTGTTCGAAGGCGAACTGGAAGCCAGGCTTGTCCTTTCCTCAAGCACTCTTCTCTCCTGTGAAGAACCAAGCCGCCATTTTCAGTGATTTCCTGGAAGGAGAGGCTATACTTCATCATGTCTTCATCATGTCTTCATCATGTCTTCATCATGTTTTGATCATGTTTTTATCATGTCTTCATCATGTCTTCATCATGTCTTCATCATGTTTTCATCATGTCTTCATCATGTCTTCATCATGTCTTTATCATGTCATCTGATGTCCTCTTCCTTTCCTTGACGGTCTCTTCCCCCTCTCTCACTAATCACTCTCTCTCTCGGTATCTCTCTCTGTATCTCTCTCTATCCCTCTTTCTCTCTCTCCCTCTCCATCTCCCTCTTCTTCTCTCTCTGTTCCACAGGATACCGGCGCCCCGAGGGCGGGCTGCAATAAGATGATAATGATGTTTACAGATGGAGGGGAGGACCGTGCACAGGACATCTTTGAGAAGTACAACTGGCCTAACAAAACCGTGAGTCCGTCCCCAAAAAACAATCTATTCATCAATCCTAGTCTGCCAATGAATCAGTCCATGCATGTCCATGAGATGATAAACCAGCCTTCTCTCTCATCCCCTATCCTTATGAAAGGAATACCATGTTTCTCAACAGCAGGTGTCATTCTTTTGGTGAGAATCTTAATGATTCCAACAAATCCATCCTTGGACATAGATCCAGACTGTGGGTGTCTGTTTCCTCTTTTCTTCCACATTGGCATTGATTTCCATCCCTGTCATCTCTCTCTCTCTCTCTCTCTGTCTCTCTCTCTCTCTCTCTCTCTCTCTCTCTCTCTCTCTCTCTCTCTCTCTCTCTCTCTCTCTCTCTCTGTCTCTCTCTCTTTCTCTCTCTGTTTCTCTGTCTCTTTTCTTGTCTTGCTGCAGGTGTTAACAGCTCTGACCTGCTGACTAATTAGCCACTTTATCATCAGAGCCCATGAAATTACAGCCAACACATGCACACACTCCCTCTCTTTCTCTTTCTGTCTTTTTTTCTCACTCTCCTACCGTTTTTCTTCTTCTTCCTCACTTGAAATGCTTCTGCCGTTATACTTTCTCGCTGTGCGAGAAGAATGTTCCATTTTTCTCTCTCCGTTGACTATCCCCTCTTCTCTCAGATTCGAGTATTTACCTTTTCCGTCGGGCAGCACAACTATGATGTCACACCTTTGCAGTGGATAGCTTGTGCCAATAAAGGTGAGTAGAGGGTGTGCCTATAAACTGTAATTACATGGAGAGACTTTACATGTACACTCATAGATAGAGGTGAACAGAAGCTCCTTCTGTGTGCTCTCAACATTCCCCAAGTCCAGCAAAGAAAAAACAGAAAATATGTGATTATAATGATATAACAAACTCCAATCAAACTGCCCAACTGTCCCCAAACCAGATGACCAAGCAATCCTCCTTTCCTCCTTGCCCATCGGCCCTCATGACCTTTTTTTATTTATTTTTATTTAACCTTTATTTAACTAGGCAAGTCAGTTATGAACAAATTCTTATTTACAATGACGGCCTACACCAGCCAAACCCGGATGACGCTGGGCCAATTGTGGGCTGCCCTATGGGACTCCCAATCACGGCCGGTTGTGATACAGCCTGGAATCGAACCAGGGGGTCTGTAGTGACGCCTCAAGCACTGGGATGCAGTGTCTTAGACCGCTGTGCCGTTTTACTCAGCCCACTCTGCACTATAACAAATGCCGAATTCCTCTTTTCTGTTCTCTCGGTTTAACTCTTTTTTTACTCTTTCTGGAAGAAAAATATATTTCTCTCTCCTCGCTCTCTCCCTCTTTATCCCCTCTCTTGTTGGATTTCTCACTGTCTCAACATTTCTCTTATACACTTTCCCTTCTTCCTGTTACAAGCAGCATGCCTCCTATAGAAGGCTGATTAATTAATTTCCTGTGGAGCCTTCAGAGTGCTTCAGAAGTGCCTCCCTCCCCACAAGTTGTAATTAATTATCGTGTAGAGCCTGGCTGTGTGGTGATAACGATGGCTACCATCTCTCAGTCAGGCAGGCGGCATGGGGGAAATCCAGGATTACGCCTCTTTGCCAGCGTGCCACTCACTCTAATCATTAGCATGGCTCCAAAGCCAATGCCAACCTAAGACAATGGTTATTGACGTCCTCTCCTCTCTGGAGCTGTCCTTTTACATATAGTCGTACAGCACTGTGCTTATTGCTCTTCTTTGGTATACAGAGACACCCTATAATGACATGTAGAGCAGAACCTTCTCACCCGGAACACACACTTACACACACATGGATCCCCCTCACAAACACCTTACACACCCAACTCCCAGTCGACTAGCCTCCCTGTTGTCTCACTTGGCTTGTGCTGCAATCCCCCTCTTAAGTGGAACCTAACTCCTGCTCTGACTCTCTCTCTATGGGCCCAACCGCTCTCCTCTCTCCTGTGGCTGAAGACCGGTAGACCTCTAGTCAATGCTCTTTCCTTTCTATGTCTGTTTCTTTCGTCTCCTTTTGTCGTTCTCTACAACTGAACGTGTCACACTCCCTGGCAGGCAGCCAAAGACAAAGCAAACGAAGAAACTACTGTTCTAAAGATATATTATACCATCCTTGCTGTAAATTTACAAGGATGCTGTAATGTTTTACAGTAAGGAAAATAGTACTGATCATAGTTTGTGTGCGTGCATGTACTTATGTGGATCCTACCATGATTACAGCATTATCCTCCCGAGTGGCGCAGCGGTCTAAGGCACTGCATCTCAGTGCTTGAGGTGTCACTACAGACCCCCTGGTTCGATTCCAGGCTGTATCACAACCGGCCGTGATTGGGAGTCCCATAGGGCGGCGCACAATTGGCCCAGCGTCGTCCGGGTTTGGCTGATGTAGGCCGTCATTGTAAATAAGAATTTGTTCTTAACTGACTTGCCTAGTTAAATAAAGGTAAAATATACCATTTAAAAAATCCTGCCGCCATCTTAATAATACTGTAATTTTGCAAAGATGCTGTAAGATATTTCACAGTACTATTTTCCTTAGTGTAAAACATTACAGCATCCCTGTACATTTACAGCAAGAATGCTATAATATATCTTTACAGTAAGGAAAATAGTACTGTAAAATATATTACAGCATCTATGCTGTAAAGCAAAATGACAGTATTAAGCTGGCAACTCTGGTGCCAGTATAATGCCTTAAAGTTACAGGGAAAATGTTTACAGTGTGTACATATGAGATTGCGAGAACGCAATTTATTAAAAACGACAGCCGTTCTTGCCTCTTAACATTCCAAGTATGTTGTCTCCATTTCGCAGCTCTTTGTATAAACACTCTGCTTTAATAACTTGGGGAGCGGCAGCAGTTATTGACCCAGAGAGAGAGTGGCTCTCCTCTCCTCCATCACTAATCAGCAGCCCTGCTCTGCTCCGCTGTGCTCTGCCTGGGGCTCAGCAGCAGCATCCTCAATGAGACCCTCAAACACATTTACATCCTGCAGTACAATGATGATAAGACTGGAGGTCAATGGCCAATGGTCCCCATCCTGTTTCCCCATAGCACCCTAATGCCAATCAATCACACAGTACACACACGCACGCACACACACACACACACACACACACACACACAGCTATGTACAGCAAATGACATAATGGCCAACACATGTAATGGGGTACTAAATGGAATTTCCCCATAGAGAACAATCAGTATTCTGCTGAGGAGTCATTTTGAAATAATAGCACTACGTGTGATCTACTAGCTTGAGATGATTGTACTTCGCTGGGTTGTTGTGTTACTTCACCTATGTTCTTTAAGATGCGACAAATGTTACCTTTACAATACACATTACAATAGAGCAGTTACATGTTGTTGGTTATCATTGTGGATCGACTGAACCAATTCTCTCACTTTGATCTTCAGGATTCTACTACGAGATTCCATCCATTGGCGCCATCAGAATTAACACACAGGTCAGATATCCTTCAGTGTTTGTAATATGTGTGCATACGTGCTCATATCCATATGTGAATATTTACACTTGTGTGAATCCTAAACACATAAGGATGCTGTATCTTCGTTTAGGTTGTGTTCTCTAGTTAACTTTGAGTTCATTACTCTCTTTGAAGAAAATTGTGCAGATTGTAGATAATGCCTTGAAATATACCATTACAAAAGGACACGAGGAAGCTCGGAAAGAGAAAAAGTAACAGGGAAAGATAGAGTGATAAAAGCACTGCAGGTCTTAGTTAGCGCAGACCTGCTGTGCTGCCTAATCCACCCCTTCTCTAGTCCCCCCACTGCACTACCACACACACACGCACACACACACGCGCACACGTGCACACACACCTCTGGCTCCTCTGCCCCACACACCCGTGGCCCCTCCACCCTCCTCTGCCCACCTCCACTCTGCTCCAGGCATTACCTGGTCCCATAGCCCCTTGGGATAACCTCATTCCAGCTGTAGAAATTGAGTGAGTTGCTGGGGGGTTCTATGCACCCCGTCCTCCCTGCCTACCCCTCCTCTTCCCCCAGCACCACAGAGCGATCAGGGGCCCTGAATAGACTGTCAGCTGTTCCATTAACTCTGGCATAATTATATTCTGAGAACTGCCACTTATTCTAATAGGTTTCCTACAGCAGGTGTGCAACAGGACTGGTTTATGTAGGAGCATTAGACACACCTGGGCTGCACTATACATTTTATAATTCCCCATCATATAATGTCACATTATAACAGGTTATAGAGCAGTCTTGGTATACATTACAGTACCATAGGGATTGATGCAGGAAAATAGAATTTCCTTTTACTTAATTTATTCAGCTCCAGTACTATTGAACCAACAGTATGTATATCTACAAGTTAGACTGTGTCAGGTTCTTGGTGACCTCACATCGGATTTGGTGTTATCAATATTTTCCCCTTACTTATCCCTGCCCTAGGTGAGATGTGAAAGTTGACGCAGCCTATATTTGACTGTGTACAGTGGCTTGCGAAAGTATTCACCCCCCTCCTATTTTGTTGCCTTACAACCTGGAATTAAAATGGATTATTGGGGGGTTTGTATCATTTGATTTACACAACATGCCTACCAAACCAACAAACAAGAAATAAGACAAAAAAACAGAAAACTTGAACGTGCAGCAATTTTTGCAGCAATTACAGGTGCAAGTCTCTTGGGGTATATCTCTATTTGCTTGGCACATCTAGCCACTGGGATTTTTGCCCATTCTTCAAGGCAAAACTGCTCCAGCTCCTTCAAGTTGGATGGGTTCCGCTGGTGTACAGCAATCTTTAAGTCATACCACAGATTCTCAATTGGATTGAGGTCTGGGCTTTGACTAGGCCATTCCAAGACATTTAAATGTTTCCCCTTAAACCACTCGAGTGTTGCTTTAGCAGTATGCTTAGGGTCATTGTCCTGCTAGAAGGTGAACCTCCGTCCCAGTCTCAAATCTCTGGAAGACTGAAACAGGTTTCCCTCAAGAATTTCCCTGTATTTAGCGCCATCCATCATTCCTTCAATTCTGACCAGTTTCCCAGTCCCTGCCGGTGAAAAACATCCCCACAGCATGATGCTGCCACCACCATGCTTCACTGTGGGGATGGTGTTCTCGGGGTGATGAGAGGTGTTGGGTTTGTGCCAGACATTTTCCTTGATGGCCAAAAAGCTCAATTTTAGTCTCATCTGACCAGAGTACCTTTGGAGAGTCTCCCACATGCCTTTTGGCGAACAACAAATGTGTTTGCTTATTTTTTTCTTTAAGCAATGGCTTATTTCTGGCCACTCTTCCGTAAAGCCCAGCTCTGTGGAGTGTGTGGCTTAAAGTGGTCCTATGGACAGATACTCCAATCTCCGCTGTGGAGCTTTGCAGCTCCTTCAGGGTTATCTTTGGTCTCTTTGTTGCCTCTGATTAATGCCCTCCTTGCCTGGTCCGTGAGTTTTGGTGGGCGGCCCTCTCTTGGCAGGTTTGTTGTGGTGCCATATTCTTTTTTTATAACCCAGCCCTGATCTGTACTTCTCCATAACTTTGTCCCTGACCTGTTTGGAGAGCTCCTTGGTCTTCATGGTGCCGCTTGCTTGTTGGTGCACCTTGCTTAGTCATGTTGCAGGCTCTGGGGACTTTCAGAACAGGTGTATATATACTGAGATCATGTGACACATAGATTGCACACAGGTGGACTTTATTTAACTAATTATGAGACTTCTGAAGGTAATTGGTTGCACCAGATCTTATTTAGGGGCTTCATAGCAAAGGGGGTGAATACATATGCACGCACCACTTTTCCGTTATTTATTTTTTCAAATTTTTTTAAACAACTAATTTTTTTCTTTTCACTTCACCAATTTGGACTATTTTGGGTATGTCCATTACATGAAATCCAAATAAAAATCAATTTAAATAACAGTTTGTAATGCAACAAAATAGGAAAAACGCCAAGGGGGATGAATGCTTTTGCAAGACACTGTAGTTGCACAAACAGACAGGATGCTACTTGGTTGGCCTGTTGGAGGCATGTAAAGTAGTCCCTGGTCGTAGCAACACATTAACCCACATAGCCATTAGCGTGGACCCTTGGACCCTGGTCTCTACCTATGTGTGGCTCTGGTTCCCTTGGACCTCCTCAGCCTTTTTGCTGGCTGACTTTTATATTCGCTAGATTGTTCTAGTCAGTCGGAAAATGTTTCCTACATTCCGTGAAAAGGTCTGCCTGTCATCATCTTGATGAAATATCTCCCTGTGGCCCGTTAAACGGGAGTTTTACTGAGCTAATAATAGAATTGGTGACGCCTGTCAGCACCCCAGTGTTCAGCCCATGAATAACAAACGGTCAAAGACACAAAACTAGAACAACACTGTGTTCACACAGTGCGACACTGCTTGTGTGTATAGCATGTATACATCGACGGTTATGGTTAAGTTCTGAGTGCTATAATGGAATATTCCATCATGTAAAGGGGGCATTATTTACTGACTGTGTGAATAAGACCACTTTTACATAGCCACTTGTCACATTCTGTAACTCCCTATTTTGTTAGTGTGATCAGATTTAACTACCAAATCTGTATTGAATTTGAATGGAATCTCCCTAAATTCCTAACCCACAATTGAGATGAATTGGAGTCGGTGAAGGAGTCACCATAGCCTGTTGTTTTCCCATGATCAATTTGAACAGAAACAGCAGGGACTCACTAAGACTTTGCACTGACAGAATCAAACTCCCAAGGTCAGAAGGTTTTCCTCTCAGAGTTAGGTGATGTGATCCCTGTCACGGGGTCCCTCAATCGCGTCCCAATAACAGCATCCCCTTCCATGGATCAATTAAACATCTTTGTCATTTTGAATCTATACAACGACCCTACGGAGAGAAGAATTTGATGAACGTGATGAATCACTCGTGAGTTTAACCCTTAACCGTTGTTTTCAAACACAGAGGCGTTTTCACACTGCCGTGTTGGACATAGAGAGCCAGTGGGAGATTGGCCTGTTTGTGCCACGTGCCCCCGGCACTCCTATTGTGTTTTTAATAGCTGATTCATAATGATGAATAACGGCACTGAATGGCTGAAGACAGTCTTTACTACTCCTTAGCGCTCGGCTGCTTCTACTGTTGGCCCACTGGTTAATATGACGAGGAGAAGACTTGTCAGGGTCTTATAGTTTTACGTTGAATAAGGGTGACATGCTCTTACAGCTCACTGTTTTAACAACCCCCGCTGTAAGACAAGCACTATAAAGCAATAGATGCTGTATGTGTGTGTGTGTGTGTGTGTGTGTGTTCTCCTCTATGTCTCAGGAGTACCTGGATGTGCTGGGTCGGCCCATGGTGCTGGCAGGGCCCAAGGCCAAGCTGGTCCAATGGACTAACGTCTATCAGGATGCTCTGGTAAGACAGACTGATGACTAGCAACACAATTGTTGTGTTACATTACATTTCTGTTTTAATACTAAGACCATTTTAATGCAGTTTACCCTGTACTAGCCACACTTCAAAGCCCTTTAGAATTAGTAGCTTGAGTCATAACATAGCTATGTCTTAGATGACAAAACATTATATAGACGCTAACATGACCTTGTGAAGTCCCATATATTAAGATGTTGATTTTCCTATGTTGTTTGTGTGTTCAGGGTCTGGGTCTTGTCATCACTGGGACCATGCCAGTCTTCAACCTCACCGCTGATGCAAACTCTCAGGTAAACATTAGCAGCAGCAGGAACCAGAATTAGGGTTTACACTGATTAACAAATTAATAGACTTGTTATTGCACAGTTCATCTTCAAAAGGTCTCAGGGCGATTATAAAAGTCTCTCTATCATCTGTGGCTTTTTGAAGACCACCATTAACAGATCCCAATACATAAACAGATATTGCATCAGTACTAACTTAGAAATAGATTTCCCATTTGAGCAACCGAATTTGCACCATTGTAAAACAACGAATCCTGACTACACAATAGTCCCTTTCTTTCTCTGTAACTCCCTAATGATGGCCATCAGTCATGTCTAATGGCACCCTCCCATCCTGGTGCAGCGACCAAACGACCGCAGGGCAACACTGACCCCCTGAGGTTGCAACAGGCCCAGCAGCTCTGTTGTATCCTTACACTCATGTCCGATTCACACTGTAGGGCCAACACAGACCAGCTTGACTTGGCAACTATGGTGGATGCATAACCAGTCCAGTACAGCTCGGCTTGCCTCGGTTCCAACCCATCTTTGCTATATAGTGACTTTTATTTTTCTTTACTTTTTTTTACCCAAAGTTCATACTATTATCACATATGACCGCCAAGCACTTCTGGACTTCAACTCCGACTCAGTTGTTCCACTGTTCATACCGGACCCTATTCCTTTGTTCCATGGGCTACCAAAACGGCGCAGGTGTAGACGCGGGAGACGAGGTGTAGTCCTGGTGAAATTGAGGTGAAGAGAAAACCGAATGGTGCTCCCCTCTGTTCTATTGGCAATTGTCCAGTCACTCGAGAATAAGATGGATGAGCTTCGATCAAGAGTCTCCTTTAAAAGCTGCAATATTACGTCTTACTGAACCGTGGCTGGATGATGAAGTTATGCACGTAGTACTCAGTGGATTCTCCATTCAACGGCAGGATTGTACAGAGGCTTCGGAGAAGTCTAAAGTAGGTAGAGTGTGTTTTTTTCATAAATAACAACTGTTGTGCTGCTTCAAGTGTGAAGGAAATCTCAAGCTTTTGTTCATGGTAAGAGAGTGCTCATCCGTAATTATTACGACTGTCTTCATCCCACCCCAAGCCAGCGCCACTCTGGCACTCAACAAACTGTATGGGGCCATAAACAAACAAGAAACCGCTCAACCAGAGGCAGTGTTTCTGGTGGGCGGAGACTTTAACACCGTAAGACTTAAAACCGTCCTACCGCACTTCTACCAACACGTATCCTGCGCCACTAGGGCTGCTAAAACTTTAGACAAGGCCCTCCCTCGTTCTACCTTCGGCAGATCTGACCATGACTCTATTCTCCTGCTTCCTGTTTACAAACAAAAGCTCAAATAGGAAGTACCGTTGATGCGCTCAATACGGAAGTGGTCGGATGAAGCAGATGCGACGCTAAAATACTTTTTTGCTAGTACAGACTGGGATATGTTCCGGGATTTATCCGATAGCATTGTTTACCACAACAGTCACAGGCTTAATCAATAAGTGCATAGACAATGTCTTCCCCACAGTGACTATAAGAACGTATCCAAACCAAAAACCATGGATAACAGGCAATATCCGCGCTGGACTAAAAGGCTAGAGCTACCGCTTACAAGAAACGGGACACGGACATGGATGCATACAAGAAAACCCGCTACGACCTACTACGAAAAATCAAGCATGCAAAAGGACAATATAGGAGGAAGGTAGAATCCTATTAAACCGGCTCCGACGCCCGTCATATGTGGCAGGGCTTGCAGACGATAATGGATTACAAAGGGAAACCCAGCGATGAGTTGCCCAGTGATGCTGAACTCCCAAATGAGCTAAATGCCTTTTATGCACGCTTCGAGGAATATAACACTGTGCCTTGCGTGAAAGATCCTGTTTTTCAGGATGACTGTGTGATTTCGCTCTCCGTGGCCGATGTGAGCCAAACGTTTTAACAGGTTAACATCACAAGGCCTTGTTCTCAAAGCATGCACAGACCAGCTGGCAAGTGTCTTCAAAGACATGTTCAATGTATCCTTCCCCCAGTTTGTAATCCCAACATGTTTCAAGTTGACCACCATTGTCCCTGTTCCCAAGGGCTCCAAGGTAACCTGCCTAAATTACTGTAATTATGAAGTGCTTTGAAAGGCTGGTGAATGACACACATCAACACCATCATCCCAGACACACTAGACCCACACCAATTCGCATACCGCCTGAACAAATCCACAGATGACGCAATTTCAATTGCACTTCACACTGCCCTCTCCAACCTGGACAAGAGGGGAAATAACTATGTGAGAATGCTGTTCATAGACTACAGCTCAGCATTCAACACCATAGTTCCCTCCATGCTCATCACCAAGCTAGGGACCCTGGGACTGAACCCCTCCCTCTGCAACTGGATCCTGGACATCCTGACTGGACGGCCCCAGGTGGGCCCTCGGCTCCCTGCCATCCAGGACCTCTATATCAGGCGGTGTCAGACTGCTAAATAGCCAATGAATGGTACCCAAACTATCTGCACTGACTCTATCTTGCACTGACCCTACGCACACTTACATTTACATTTACATTTTAGTCATTTAGCAGACGCTCTTATCCAGAGCGACTTACAGGAGCAATTAGGGTTAAGTGCCTTGCTCAAGGGCACATTTACGTCATTTAGCAGACGCTCTTATCCAGAACGACTCACCAATTGGTGCGTTCACCCTATAGCCAGTGGGATAACCACTTTACCATTTTTTTTTTTGGGGGGGGGGGGGGGGGGGGGGGTAGAAGGATTACTTTATCCTATCCCAGGTAATCCTTAAAGAGGTGGGGTTTCAAATGTCTCCGGAAGGTGGTGAGTGACTCCGCTGTCCTGGCGTCGTGAGGGAGCTTGTTCCACCATTGGGGTGCCAGAGCAGCGAACAGTTTTGACTGGGCTGAGCGGGAGCTATGCTTCCGCAGAGGAAGGGGAGCCAGCAGGCCAGAGGTGGATGAATGCAATGCCCTCGTTTGGGTGTAGGGACTGATCAGAGCCCGAAGGTACAGAGGTGCCGTTCCCCTCACTGCTCCATAGGCAAGCACCATTGTCTTGTAGCGGATGCGAGCTTCAACTGGAAGCCAGTGGAGTGTGCGGAGGAGGGGGGGTGACGTGAGAGAACTTGGGAAGGTTGAACACCAGACGGGCTGCGGCATTCTGGATGAGTTGTAGGGGTTTAATGGCACAGGCAGGGAGGCCAGCCAACAGCGAGTTGCAGTAGTCCAGATGGGAGATGACAAGTGCCTGGATTAGGACCTGTGCCGCTTCCTGTGTAAGGCAGGGTCGTACTCTCCGAATGTTGTAGAGCATGAACCTGCAGGAGCGGGTCACCGCCTTGATGTTGGCGGAGAACGACAGGGTGTTGTCCAGGGTCACGCCTAGGCTCTTCGCACTCTGGGAGGAGGACACAGCGGAGTTGTCAACCGTGATGGCGAGATCATGGAACGGGCAGTCCTTCCCCGGGAGGAAGAGCAGCTCCGTCTTGCCAGGGTTCAGCTTGAGGTGGTGATCCGTCATCCATACTGATATGTCTGCCAGACATGCAGAGATGCGATTCGCCACCTGGTTATCAGAAGGGGGAAAGGAGAAGATTAGTTGTGTATCGTCAGCGTAGCAATGATAGGAGAGGCCATGTGAGGATATGACAGAGCCAAGTGACTTGGTGTATAGGGAGAAAAGGAGAGGGCCTAGAACTGAGCCCTGGGGGACACCAGTGGTGAGAGCACGTGGTGCGGAGACAGCTTCTCGCCACGCCACTTGGTAGGAGCGACCGGTCAGGTAGGACGCAATCCAGGAGTGAGCCGCGCCGGAGATGCCCAGCTCGGAGAGGGTGGAGAGGAGGATCTGATGGTTCACAGTATCAAAGGCAGCAGACAGGTCTAGAAGGACAAGAGCAGAGGAGAGAGAGTTAGCTTTAGCAGTGCGGAGAGCCTCCGTGACACAGAGAAGAGCAGTCTCAGTTGAATGACCAGTCCTGAAACCTGACTGGTTTGGATCAAGAAGGTCATTCTGAGAGAGATAGCAAGAGAGTTGGCTAAAGACGGCACGCTCAATAGTTTTGGAAAGAAAAGAAAGAAGGGATACTGGTCTGTAGTTGTTGACATCAGTGGGATCGAGTGTTGGTTTTTTGAGAAGGGGAGCAACTCTCGCTCTCTTGAAGACGGAAGGGACATGGCCAGCGGTCAAGGATGAGTTGATCAGCGAGGTGAGGTAGGGGAGAAGGTCACCGGAGATGGTCTGGAGAAGAGAGGAGGGGATGGGGTCAAGCGGGCAGGTTGTTGGGCGGCCTGCAGTCACAAGTCGCAGGATTTTATCTGGAGAGAGAGGGAAGAAAGAAGTCAAAGCATAGGGTAGGGCAGTGTGAGTAGGACCAGCAGTGTCATTAGACTTAGCAAACGAGGATCGAATGTCGTCAACCTTCTTTTCAAATTGGTTGACGAAGTCATCCACAGAGAGAGAGGAGGGGGGGGGGGGGGGGAGGATTCAGCAGGGAGGAAAATGTGGCAAAGAGCTTCCTAGGGTTAGAGGCAGATGCTTGGAATTTAGAGTGGTAGAAAGTGGCCTTAGTAGCAGAAACAGATGAAGAAAATGTAGAGAGGAGGGAGTGAAAAGATGCCAGGTCGGCAGGGAGTTGAGTTTTCTTCCATTTCCGCTCCGCTGCCCGGAGCTCTGTTCTGTGAGCTCGCAATGAGTCATCAAGCCACGGAGCTGGAGGGGAGGACCGAGCCGGCCGGGAGGATAGGGGACACAGAGAGTCAAAGGATGCAGAAAGGGAGGAGAGGAGGGTTGAGGAGGCAGAATCAGGAGATTGGAGGGAGAAGGATTGAGCAGAGGGAAGAGATGATAGGATGGAAGAGGAGAGAGTAGTGGGAGAGAGAGAGCGAAGGTTGCGGCGGCGCATTACCATCTGTGTAGGGGCAGAGTGAGTAGTGTGGGAGGAGAGCGAGAGAGAAAAGGAAACAAAGTAGTGGTCAGAGACATGGAGGGGAGTTGCAGTGAGATTAGTAGAAGAGCAGCATCTAGTAAAGATGAGGTCAAGCGTATTGCCTGCCTTGTGAGTAGGGGGGGACGGTGAGAGGGTGAGGTCAAAAGAGGAGAGGAGTGGAAAGAAGGAGGCAGAGAGAAATGAGTCAAATGTGGACATAGGGAGGTTGAAATCCCCCAAAACTGTGAGGTGTGAGCCATCCTCAGGAAAGGAACTTATCAAGGCGTCAAGCTCATTGATGAACTCTCCAAGGGAACCTGGGGGGCGATAGATGACAAGGATATTAAGCTTAAATGGGCTAGTGACTGTGACAGCATGGAATTCAAATGAGGAGATAGACAGATGGGTTAGGGGAAAAATTGAGAATGTCCACTTGGGAGAGATGAGGATTCCTGTGCCACCACCCCTCTGACCAGATGCTCTCGGGGTATGAGAGAACACATGGTCAGACGAGGAGAGAGCAGTAGGAGTTGCAGTGTTTTCAGTGGTAATCCATGTTTCCGTCAGCGCCAGGAAGTCGAGGGACTGGAGATTAGCATAGGCTGGGATGAAGTCAGCTTTGTTGGCAGCAGAACGGCAGTTCCAGAGGCTGCCTGAGACCTGGAACTCCAGGTGTGGGGTGCGTGCAGGGACCACCAGGTTAGAGAGGCAGCAGCCACGCGGTGTGGGGCGTTTGTGTAGCCTGTGCAGAGAGGAGAGAACAGGGATAGGCAGAGGCATAGTTGACAGGCTGTAGCAAATGGCTACAATAATGCAGAGGAGATCGGAATGAAATGAACTAAACATCTGGGAGGGTAGAGAGCAGGGCCTCCCTCTCCAAAAACTTCTACCTCAGAAACTATAATTGTTTCACTGAACCACCCGAACAAAAACTCTACCAACTTCCACCTTTAGAAATCAGAATTGTTGTGAACCACAGCGGTTCAATGTTTAAAGGAATAGACTCAACCCACTTTATTCAGCTAGCTAACTATGACACCATAGCTAACTAGCATGCTAGCATCCAAAAACACACAGTTTAGCACCAACATTTGGTCACAACAAACCACCAATAGTGTGTTAACACACTAAGCAGATGATTCGTGTCCGTGTCTGTTGGCTAGCTAGCAATGGCCACTGTGTTGACCTTGTTTGAAGAACGGCTAGCTAGCTAGCTTCGTGCTACCCTCGGCACCGCCGAAAAACAATGCCAACCCACAGTAACTACCCACAACAACCCACGATGCCTAGCTATGACGCCATAGCTAACTAGCATGCTAGCATCCAATAACACACAGTTTAAACGTTGGCTAGCTAGCACATTAACATTGGAAACAACTCTCCACCGTTGCACTAAACAGATAATTACCAATAAACGTTACCAGTAGCTACCCGCTAGCTAGCTAGCATACCAAGAGTGTGTTAACACACTAAACAGATAATTCATGACCGTGTCTAGTTCCTTTCATAACGCAGCAAAAAAATTAAACGTTGGCTAGCTAGCACATTAGCTAGCACATTAACATTGGAAACCACTCTCCACCATTGCACTAAACAGATAATTACCAATAAACGTTACCAGTAGCTACCCGCTAGCTAGCTAGCCTCGTGCTTCGCCGGGCTCCGCCGTAACAATACTTAAACAATACGTAAACAATACTTACCTACAATAATTGCCTACGGAAACCTACAATAACTACCTAAATAACTACATAAATAAACGACCTACCTACGATCTAAATACATGGAAACCACTCTCCACCATTGCACTAAACAGATAATCACCAATAAACGTTACCAGTAGCTACCCGCTAGCTAGCTAGCCTCGTGCTTCGCCGGGCTCCGCCGTAACAATACTTAAACAATACGTAAACAATACTTACCTACAATAATTGCCTACGGAAACCTACAATAACTACCTAAATAACTACATAAATAAACGACCTACCTACGATCTAAATACATGGTTTAAGCTTTACTCAACACCATATGAGAAGCCAAGCTTACCTCCTGCTAGAGAAAACACAACCTCACCCGACGAAGTCAGCAGCCCACTTTACTATATATACACACCACACTCACTAGACTATATATACAAACCAAATACACACTCACGCACACACCACATTACACACTCACACTTTTACACTCATCATTTGCTGCTGCTGCTCTGTTCCTTAATTTACTCTTATTGTTATCTATCCTGATCCCTAGTCACTTTATCCTGCCTTCATGTACATTTCTACCTCAAATACCTCATACCTCTGCACATTGATCTGGTACTGGTACTTGCTGTATATTGCTCCATTCTTGTGTATTTTATTTTATTCCTCTTGTGATACTATTTTATTTTTAAAACTGCATTGTTGGGAAGGGCTCGCAAGCATTTCACGATAAAGTCTACACCTGTTATTTTTTTGCGCATGTGACAAATAAAAGTTGATTTGATTGGATTTTGATGTACACTACATTTTAGCAGACGCTCTTATCCAGAGCAACTTACAGTTAGTGAATGCATACATGTTTTTATTACATTTTTTTATACTGGCCCCCCGTGGGAAACCAACCCACATCCCTGCCGGCCAAACCCTCCCCTACCTTGGACGACACTGGACCAATTGTGTGCCGCCCATGGGTCTCCTGGTCACGGCCGGCTGCGACAGCCTGGACTTGAACCAGGATCTCTAGTGGCACAGCTAGCACTGCGATTCAGTGCCTTAGACCACTGCGCCACTCGGGAGTCATCTGTTGCTTAGCTCCCGCTGAATCAACTGTTAAAACCGAATAGAAAATATTGACTCTTGAATCACACAGGCTTAAAAAACAGAGTGATGCTATGACAAATTGACTCAGTTCCAGGGTGTAGATATAGATTAGTCAGATGGTACGCATGGTTATAAGTCACAGATGGTGAGGACAGCTTTTCAGCAGTCAGTCTAATGCCCCGTTTGCTGTGTGTGTGCTTCCACCGTCTCTGTGTGAGTGTATGAGAGTGTATACGTGTGTGTGTGTGTGCAGCCTCTGGCTCTGCTTCTTAATGTGAGAGGCTGAATGATAGTGTGATGACAGGATCAGTGAGAGAGGTACGGATGCTCATATAGCTGGCCAGAGTCCCTGCCCATCTTTTGAAAACGTCTGAAAACCTACCTTTTCAAAGAATATCTTAAATAAGACATCTCAGTCAGTCTTATCGCCCACTAATAAAGAAAAAATGACACTTCTCTTTTACTACTAGCACTAACTTTGCTGATAACTTCTTTATTGTGGAAAAATGTACTTACTACGACAGTGATATGTGGTTGTCTCACCTAGCTATCCTAAGATGAATGCACTAATGCTGCATTTAGAGGGTACGAGGTAGACGGCAAACCGGATGTAATTGTTTTCAATGAGAGCACGATGGTACATGCCATTGAGGCTGGCGGTGAATGCCATCAGCTGCCACGATAGACAGGACTTGCCGCCAGAGTTCAAATAGTTCTACTGCCATCTGTATTGTTTTTACACAGACTCAGCTCGTCCTTGGTGTCATGGGAGTGGATGTTGCGATCAACGAAATTAAGAAGAAGACACCAACATACAGGGTAAGTACGTCACACATGCACACAGCACACATGCAGTAGAAATATCTTTACTTTTTTCACTGATTTTAAGTTTCAACTCTGTCCCTACAGCTTGGAGCCAATGGATACACTTATGCAATCGACCAAAATGGCTATTTGCTCCTGCACCCCAACTTGCAACCTAAGGTACAGTAGGACCCAAACTGTCCTCAAGCCCCTCCTACTAACTACTACTGACTCTAGTTCTATACATCATTAGTATTTCTCTGTTCTGGAGGTCTTGGATTTTCTACCCAGATACGGGTATTATTCCTGGTGTCTGATTGGCTGCATGTCTCTCTCTCTCAGATCAGTAACTTCAGAGAGCCTGTCACTCTGGACTTCCTGGATGCTGAGCTGGAGGACAGTAAAAAGGAGGAGGTAAAGACAGTGATCACCTGAACACCCACAGATCTCTAACATCGGAACTACAACTGTATTACAGTGGTCCCATGACCAAACTGTTGAATCAAATCTTACAGTTGGTTTTTGTTAACGTATAAAAGTAACTCTCCTTCTCTATTTTGCCTTTGTCATTTCCTTATAATTGTTTTATTCTCATGTTCTGTCTGTTTCTATCCCCCGCTCTCTCTCAGATCCGTCGTGAAATGATTGATGGAAAATCAGGGCAGAAGAAAATCAAGACACTCATTAAGTCAGTTGATGAGGCAAGTCATCTATATATGAGGCTCAGCCATGATCCGTACTGGTACCATCCAGAATAACTTGAGTTATGACCAACGTTCAACTTGTTGTACTATAGTTCAAGTTGTTTTTGAGGAAGGGATTCTTTATATATACAGTGCCTTCGGAAAGTATTCAGACCCCTTTATTTTTTTCACGTTTTGTTCCATTACAGCTGTCACGTTGTATGATGATTAGAAGGCAGGCGCAGGAATACGTATTAGGGGTTTTATTTACTCCACCCAACGCAAGGTACGTCATGGAAAACGACGAGGTGTAACCTCTATACAATACACGGGACGAGACCCGTAATAACAAGAGCACAATGCACGGTACTCACGAGACCAACGGACATGGGACAATAATCGACAAGGACAATGGGGAACAGAGGGCACATATATACACATACTAATCAGGGGGAATGGGAACCAGTTGTGCGTAATGAGACAAGACAGTCTGGGGTTGGTGGAGGCCAGTGACGTAGACCTCCAGAGCTGGTGAACGGAATGTGCAGCAGTACCGGGGGGATCCGTGACAACAGCTTTTTTTAAAACATTTATTACATTGTTATTTTTCCTCATCAATTTACATGCAAAACCCCATTATGACAAAGCAAAAACAAGTTTTCTGAAATTTTAGCTAATTTATTAAAAATAACATAAGTGAAATATGACATTTACATAAGTATTCAGACCCTTTACTCAGTACTTTGTTGAAGCACCTTTGGCAGCGATTACAGCATCAAGTCTTTTTGGGTATGACGCTACAAGCTTGGCACACCTGTATTTGGTGAGTTTCTCCCATTCTTCTCTCCAGAGATGTTCGATCAGGTTCAAGTCCGGGCTCTGGCTGGGCCACTCAAACTCATTCAGAGACTTGTCCCGAAGCCACTCCAGCGTTGTCTTGGCTGTGTGCTTAGGGTCGTTGTCCTATTGGAAGGTGAACCTTCGCCCCAGTCTGAGGTCCTGAGTGCTCTGGAGCAGGTTTTCATCAAGGATCACTCCATACTTTGCTCTGTTCATCTCTCCCTCGATCCTGACTAGTCTCCTATTCCCTGCCGCTGAAAAATATACCCACAGCATGATGCTGCCACCACCATTCTTCACCGTAGGGATGGTGCCAGGTTTCCTCCAGACGTGACGCTTGGAGTGGCTTCCGTCTGGCCACTCTACAATAAAGGCCTGATTGGTGGAGTGCTGCAGAGATGGTTGTCCTTCCGGAAGGTTCTCCCATCTCCACAGAGGAACTCCAGTGCTTTGTCTGAGTGACCATCGGGTTCTTGGTCACCTCCCTGATCAAGGACCTTCTCCCCCGATTGCTCAGTTTGGCCAGGCGGCCAGCTCTAGGAAGAGTCTTGGTGGTTCCCAACTTCTTCCATTTAAGAATGATGGAGGCCACTGTGTTCTTGGGAACCTTCAATGCTGCAGAAATGTTTTGGTACCCTTCCCCAGATCTGTGCCTCGACACAATCCTGTCTCGGAGCTCTACGGACAATTCCTTCGACCTCATGGCTTGGTTTTTGCTCTGAAATGCACTGTCAACTGTGGGAACGTATATAGACAGGTGTGTGCCTTTCCAAATCATGTCCAATCAATTGAATTTAGCACAGGTGGACTCCAATCAAGTTGTAGAAACATCTCAAGGATGATCAATGGAAACAGGATGCACCTGAGCTCAATTTTGTGTCTCATAGCAAAGGGTCTGAATACTTATGTAAATAAGGTATTTCTGTTTTTTGTTTTAAATACATTTGCAAAAAATTATAAAACCTGTTTTTGCTTTGTCATTATGGGGTATTGTGTGTCGATAGCTGAGGATTTGTATTTATTTAATCCATTTTAGAATAAGGCTGTAACGTGACAAAATGTGGGAAAAAGTCAAGGGGTCTGAATACTTATATACTATATATATATATATATATATATATATATATATATACTTGGATTTTATTCGTCTTTTTCAAAACAATACAGCAAAATTGAGGAAGGGATTCTGATGCTGATCAGGGTGATCTGATGTTGTTGTCTGATTTCAGAGGTACATTGATGAGGCTATGCGGACATACACCTGGACACCGGTGGAAGGCACAGATTACAGGTGGGTGCTAAACTACCAGCCTTCATCTGGATAGTGTTCTCTAGAAACCAAACAGAAGAAAATGGGCCGAAACAGGGAGGAACTATATTAACTTGTCCAATAAGAAACTTGTTTTCCGTTGCAAAATAGTTTGCTACGGTTTCCAACAGTATGCACTAATGAATACGACCTTGGCTGGAAGATTGAGAGCTGAAGATGAGTTCAGACCTGACCCTTTGATTAAGATCTATAACCCATCTATAAATCACAGAAACTTGCTTTCGACGAGTGTCATTCATCAACCACTGGTGTGTATAAATTCAGAGATATGGGCTCCACCTATCAACCATGACTATCCACCAAATCTATTAGTGAATTTGCCTGCTGTCTACGTAGTGGATTATTCACCGGAATCACCAGAAATAAAGACACACACTCCTTTCTCTTGTAAAATAACTGTAATAGGATCCTAAGCACAAAATAACTGCATGCTTTATTCATTTTATTCATCTCCAAGTTGCATTATAACACAATTTCCTCCAGCCAACACTTTGCAAATTACATTTTATGATATTCAATAGTCCTAGATATGTGTTTTTTTTATCTCTGTTGGCTGGGAGCCAGGTGTTGGTTTCTGTGGAGCCGACTTGAACACAGTCCCTCTCTTCAATTCTATTAGCACATCATTAAGCTTGAACAGTTGTTATATTTCTCTGGTCATTTAAACCTCTTGTGTTGTGTGGGTGCAGGTTGTTCACACTTCACGATTACAGAATGCTGTCATTTGTGTCCAAGGTGAAGGCTCTGTATGTGGGGTGTGTGTGTGTGCGTGCGTCCGTGCATGTGTGTATTAGGACATAAATACTATGATCCTGATGTTGTTTTGTGTCTGCCTCACCACTCCAGTCTCGGGCTGGTACTGCCTACATACAGTGAGAACCACATCAAGGCTAACCTGAGTGACCAGATCCTGCAGGTGCAGTGTAAGTACCAGGAGACGCCCAACTCTCTCTCTCTCTCTCTCTCTCTTTCTTTCTCTCTCAAATATGACCTTACGCCCCCCTTACTAAGTCCTGTATCCGGGATCTCCAGTGAACACCATTGTAGGGACGATCAGAGTGGAGCGCTACTCTATACCTCCTTCTCCTCTCCTCTCCTCTCCTCTCCTCTCCTCTCCTCACCCCCCTCTCCTCCCCTGTGACAGTGACAGGGACATTTTGGGTGTGAAACTCTTTCCTCCCCACCCCCCCACTATCTACCCTCCTGTCTTCATACTGTGCTGTATACTATGGTGATTTTTTTTCTTCACAACTGTTGAAGAAAAAATCGGAAATGACAGAAAGGTGAAAGCTATGGTTTTACTGTGTTATTAAGGTGAAAATAATGGTGTCCTTGTGCTATTATTTTTCTTTGCCAAATGCTCTCGCCTCTTCTCCACCAACAAGCAATGATTCTGAAGCGTCTGTGTTTGAAACTTTTTTGATGTTTCCAAACCGGTGAAAACAGGCATGCTTTTCACTCTTTTCTGTTGTACGACTTTTGTTATGATTTCTATTGAGTTTACTTCCTGTTGAGTTCCTAGATGTGTGATTATTTTCTGTTGGACTGTTCCTTGTTGTTGTTTTGTATTTAGCTTTGGAATCATTCAGTCGATAAACTCCCACGGCCCGTGACGAGGGTCTGTCCTTCCTCTGTGGGAGTTTGGGTTTAGTGGGTCTCAATGGGGACACCTGTTGTCTCTCTCATGCTTTCTTTCTCCAGACCCTGTTGCTCTGCTCTTTTCCTGGTTTATTCTGTTCCATTTATTTTGCGATCCTCCATGGTTAACTCTCGCAGTGCCGGTTTTGTCCTTTACTGTTTCTTCTTTCATTCTGTTTCTCGACTTTCTGATTTTCCTTTTCCTCATTCTGTTCAGTTTCTTGTTTGCTCTTGCAAAAAAGGTGTTTGTTCTCCATTTATTTTCTTTATCGTCTGTTTGACTTAATTGGTTTCTTTCTTTTGAAAAAGCAATATTTTTATTCAAATAATAATTGAATAAAATATTGTCTGTGACCCCCCCCCCCCCCCCCTCCCCCTACCCCTACCCCCTGTTTCTTTTCTTGCTCACTACTTCTCTGACGGATCCACACAGTTCCATACACCAAGGGCAAGTATACTCCATATTGGTCCACGTTCCCTACCTTTACCTCCTACTCCCTACTGCTGCCTCCTCCCACACCTCTCGTCCTTAACCTCCTCCCACCCTCGCTGCCCCCCACCCTCACCTGTCCCAGCCTGCTTGCCTCTGTTCCTGCCCGTCTTGCCTCCAAGACCCTCCTCTTCCTCGTCCTCCTCTTCCTCCTCACTCTCCACCCACCCACCCACCCTCCTGCTGCAGCTCAGACCCCATCTCTCTCACGATGGCTCCTCCAGTCTCCAACCTCACCTCCACGTCTCTGGTGCTTCAGTCACACTCAGGCCTCTAACACCCAAAGAAGACAGATAATATCCATGTTCTCTGTTAAAACCTTTGTCTTTTGTCCCCTCTATACCTCCCTCTGTGGATAGCTCTCTGGGGTTGTCTCAGTTTACTATCCATCTCTCTCTCTCTCGCTTTCCTTTTTTTTCTCCTCTCTCTGTCCCTTTCTCTCACTATTTCTCTCCCTCCATCTCTCTATCTCTCTCCCTGTTTTACAATGTCATTGTAGCTGAAAGGATGTCTTAACTCTCACACCAGTGTACAGGAGTTGAGAGAGCCGCCATCGTTTCCCGAAAGCCCAGTGGAGCTAAGAACGTTCTCCATCTTAACTGTCCTCACACTAGAGCAGGCGAAACTCTCCCTGTAATGTTAAAGCATATTTTGTCATTATAATGTAGTTCAACAAACTGAAGTTAACTCCATTGCTTTATATTAGGATAACTAAGTCTGGTCCCATTTGAGTCCCATTTGAGTCCATTGGTCCCCATGGTAGTACATCTAAGAATGTCACCACAGTTTATCAACTATTTACAACATTATCATGATTGCTGCATTTAGGCTATTAATATGTTAGCTTGACTAAGGCCACCGGCATTTTAGCCAAGCTGTTTAAGCCCAGGTGATTTAGTCCCCATGTTTGCCTTACTAAGGTTATTTAGCATGTTAGCTTTACTGAAATTGACTCCATATTAGAACAACAGACTGTGTTAGTTAGCTCAACTGAATTGTTCATTTATGTTAGCTAGTGTCAGTGCTGCTGACTGATCTCTTTAGGGCCACACTGTGGACCACCCTGGTCCTCTCATGTTGTTGGGTACGTGGCAGAGCGCCCCGTGGCGCCTGCCTCGTGTGTCGTCCCTCTGTAACCCCTGTCTCCATCAGCTTGTCTCCCTCCTCCCCCTATCAGCCCTCAGACTGCTGGGGGAACGGCCCTCTACTTCCTCCTCAAAACAACCATGACCCGGATATGCACGGCATTGTGGGCGCAACACTACCTGGGCACTCATAGAACTGCAGTCAGGCCTTCAATTTATTTGTTTTCAAATATCTACGTCTCATCTACTTTCTCATGATTTATAGAGATGATCTGAAATGTAAAGGAAGTCAGATAACAATAGATATATTGCACTACCAATGTTTAATGAGGTGAAGAGACTCATAGATAAAACAAAAACGTTTATATCTGAATAAAAACAAATTAGGTTAGCTTCCTAGAGGTAAAGCAAGTTGCCCATTGATATGCCCTTCACAATGCAATGCATTTCCCCTGATTGTGTGTCTCTCTGAGCCGTGTCCCCTGCCAGTCTGAGGGGTGACCACTTCCATCAGGACCCCTGCGCCACCACCTCTCCCTGCAATAGTTGGCCATGTTGATGCCTGCCTGTGAAATGCACTCATTATGGGTTAATCTGTCTGAGAACTCATTTCCCGTCATGATGTGTGATGGAAGTCAGTTCTCCGACATAAAAAAAGAACAATTAACGTCAAAATCAAATCAAAATGGTTGGATTGATCTGGTGATGATTTCTCAATGGTGATGAACTAAAGTGGAAAATGGGTAAGAAAGTGAGTGCTGGTTGAAACTGTTAAAGGCAGAGTCAGGTTGCATTTGAGGCACCATATTGGCTAATGCTGGTGTATCCCCCATGATTCCTCTTCGGTGTTGCTATGGTAACTCCCTTCCGCTTTCCCTGCACCCCTGAAGAACAGCCGCTGTATACCAAGGGTCCCCCACTGCTCGGCTCATGGCTCTTCCCAGATAATCTTCCCCTTTCTGTTGCAGATTTTGAATCTCTGCTGCCAAACAGTTTTGAGTCTGAAGGACATGTATTCATAGCTCCCAGGTAGCTTTGTGTGAATGCTTGCTCTCTTCCCATTTGTTTTGATGGTCCTCACTGTAGTGTTTATCCACCACCGTCAGCCCACAGCATTACCCTGTTTGTTATCTACCACCACCACCATGCCCAAACCCCAATCCCCAATCCTTCAACACTTCAACATCACACCAATAAGTCTCCTCAGCCACTGGTCATTTGTTATTGTCAGTCACAACTCTCATTTCTTTTCTTGTGGGGTTCAAGCCTGTGCTTTTGGTTATGTTGTTGTTGTTGCTGTTGGTTTTCTCATATCCTGGTTTGACTTTGTGTGTTTTTTGTTGACAAAGTGAGGAGTGTGACGATACTTGTGTTTTTATTTTGCTGTTTCTGAAAACAACAGAATTTATATAGCCCACTTATTTGGAATTTCAGTGCATTCAATCCTTCTCCCTTCCCACCCAAGTAACCCGTCCCATCCCAAAACGGACCCTCCCTGCCCCAAGCACTGTTCCTGTGCTCCCACACACCCTTTGCATGGCGCCTGTTGGTGCTGCATGGTTTTGTGTGTGTTTGCGTATTCCAGAGTGTGTTCAGTATGTAATCTTGAGAAGATAAAGATAAAGTATAAAGTTAATGTGTATAAAAAAGTGAATGAAAATCCCTCCCTTTGCATGTTTTCTTTTTGTCATGATCAAACCTTCATCCAGTAAGCTCCCAGCTCTGTGCTGAAAGACTGACAAGTGCATTCACTCAGTCTGCTGTCAGTGTGTGCTGCGTTCACCAGCCCTCCTCTACGCCATATTTCACTCTGACAGCCTGTCTCGTCAGCATGTTTGAATATCCTGACAACCGCAGGACATGCATGCATATGAGTTCTATGAGTGTGTGTGCTGTGAGAGTGTTTGGGAATGTGCATTTGGGTTCATGCATAGTAAATAAGAGCTGTCCCTATCCCGGCTCAAAGAATATACTGTTAGAGGCAAGTGGGAAGCCAGACACTGTATGTGTGTGTTTGTTCTCAACTGTTGTTGGGGCTAAAAAATGTCACCGCCGACTGTCCTCAGGGAATACTGCAGTGAGCTGGAGCTCTCCAACAACAACACTGACTTCCTGCTCAACTTCATCGCTCTCATGGAGAAGGTGACTCCTGACTCCAAACAATGTGAGTCCCTCCATTTCCCTCGGGAGAGACTACCTCTCTTCTTACTGCAACCTCGCCACGTGGAAATGTAATGGCAGGATCAGAATTCTCATTGTTTACGTTTTACCGCTATACACAGTATTCTAATGCACAATCACAATCAACAATTTGCTGACAATCATAATGCCTCTTAAATCATGTCCCCTTCCTCCTTGTGGTCTAAACCAGGTGACAACCTGCTCCTTCATAACCTCATCCTGGACACTGGCATCATCAGACAGCTGGTGGAGAAGGTGTGGAAGACCAAAGACCTCACCACGTGAGTAGAGGATTGCATGTGTACTATGTGTTATATCCAGAGTCTGTGTACTTCCTGTATTCTCACTCTCCTGTTCTGGTTTGCAGATATGGCTTTTTGGCAGTGTTCGCTGCAACAGATGGAGGGATTACAAGAGTGTTTCCCAACAAGTGAGTATTTTAAGTTGTATGTACAGTACATTGTATGTAAAGCCTCCCAAACATTTGTTTGAAACATTGGACCAATTTCAAGTGCCAAAGTCAAGTGCCTAAAACGTTAAATAAAATTAAACGTATCTAAAGTGTACATTTTGATCATCTTGCTTGTAAACAAACATATAAACCGGTACTAAAAATCCAGGATAGTTGGGACCAAGGTAGCTGCCATTATACATTACACTTTAGTAGCTTCTTGCCCTGGCTCTGAGCTCATGAGTTTTAATGTTGTGCTGATCCTCAGGGCTGCTGAGACCTGGGAGGAGGACCCTGAGCCTTTTAACGCCAGCTATTACCGCCGCAGTCTGGACAACAAGGGCTACATCTTCAGAGCGCCTTATCGTACCTGTGAGTAATCATCTGTCTCACCACCACCCAGGCGCTGTTACTAAAATCCTTATGGGATCTGTTCTATTGACTTGTTTGTTATTCACTCCGTCCCTCCTGTCTCCTCTGTGTCTCCTCCTCCTCCTCTACCCCTCCTGTCTTCTCTGTTTGTCTCATCTTCCTCCTCCCATACAGTGAATGATGAGCTGCTGAACCCAGAGAACGACACCATAGGGATCCTGGTCAGCACTGCAGTGGAGATCACAGTGGGAGGGAAGACCATCAAACCTGCAGGTGGGCCGTCGCCGCAAAACCCCGGGACTCTTGGACTCTGAGAGGGAAGGGTTCATTAGCATTGGTGGAGGCATGATTAGTAGTGTGGTTTGTTTCTCAACTGCAGGCATAGTAGGAATTTGGAGGGAAAGAAATGTCTCACAGTAGGAGGAAAATGTCTCTCTCTCTCTCCCCCTTCTCTTTCATGTCTTTGGGAATATATCAATGTCTCTCACTCTGTGTATGACTAGTGGTTGGAGTAAAGCTGGATCTTGAGGCCTGGGTGGACAAATTCAAGATCCTGGCTAGCAACCAAACAAGTCCAACAAGTGACAACCGCCAAGTCCAACAAACGGTAACAAACACAAGGACAACCAGGAATTGAACCCACACAAACATATGAACTGTGTTTTTTTTTGCTGATCCTTGATGATTATTTGTTTTTGGCAGTGTGGACCAACCAGTGGCTGTGAGATGGACTGTGATGCCAACAGCGAAGTAAGATTAGTAATAATGTTACTATCATGTTTTCAGTGGTAGAATATGCATGAAACTCAGACATAGTGTAGAGTAAAACAGACATCCAGTGGGGGTCGTCATCGTTGTACGTGTGTGCCTCTACCTGCAGGACCTTCTGTGTTACCTGGTGGATGACGGTGGTTTCCTGATCATGTCCAATCAGAAGGACTACTGGAACAAGGTGTCCAGACAGTTAATACAGAGCTTTATTGAACTCAGTCTATCCTTGACATAGCTGCGTGTTGTATAACTCTGTATTCCCTCTCTTCTACAGATTGGCATGTTCTTCAGTGAGGTGGACCCTTACCTGATGCATGCTCTCTACAACAACTCCTTTTACAACCGGAAGCAGTCCTTTGACTACCAGTCTGTGTGTGACCCTGTGCCAAGCAGCAACACCGGGGCTGCACCTAGAGGAGTGTTTGTGGTAAGGACAACAATGAAAGCTTTTGGCTGTAGTCCTAATGAAAATACACATGTTTAATGTGTATTTTATATTGTATTATACAGGGCACATTTGGAAAAGAGACCTAGGTCTCAATATGTCTTCCCTGTCAAAATAAAGGTTAAATCAAAATCTCCCTTTCCACCCATCAGTGGAATGCTTGAAAGCTTGAAGGCTGGCAAATAACAAATTGTGAATACTCAATGTGTTCATGTGTTAATGTTTCCCTCTTCTCCTCTCGGGGTGGTCAGCCCACCATTGCAGACTTTGTGAACCTGGCCTGGTGGACATCAGCAGCTGCCTGGTAAGACCAGAGAATACAAACATACTATAACCTGAAACACACACTGCTAAAACAAAGCCACATATTTGCATCCTTAAAACAATATAAAATACATATGTTTAATGGGTATTTTATATTGTATTATACAGGGAACATTTAGAAAAGAGACCTAGGTCTCAATATGTCTTCCCTGTCCAAATAAAGGTTAAATCAAAATCTCCCTTTCCACCCCAGGTCCTTATTTCAGCAGCTGCTCTGTGGAATGGCTTACCACAGTTGGTTTATCACAGGTGGGTACAAAGCAGATATATTCTGTTTCCTGCACATCAGAGGTGCTCTATGTGTTTACCCTACACTTTTGAAGTGTTATATCACTGTCATATATGTTTCTTTATAATGGAAAGCGATTGCAACACTAGACTGTACTAGTGATATATCTGGTGGGGGCGAGCGCAACCACTGATCAGAGCACCCACTGATGGGAGCAGCCATTTGTATTTAGCAGACGTTTGTATTGTTTTTGTATTGTATTGTTGTTGGTTTAATAAAAAATAAAATACAAATGTATTTGTCTTTGTCCGTGTGTTGTAGATGAGGTGGAGGCTGAGGGGATGGACTCCAGAGAGACCAGCTGTGTGACGATACAGACTCAGTTCTACTTCACTAACATCAGCAGCTCCTATGACATCCTGCAGGACTGTGGGAACTGCTCCAGGTGACTTCACTATACACTAACAACTCATACACAAACATGGTTCATGGAACATGCAGTTCGGTAATAGTCCTTAATTAATCTAAAAGTTGATTCAATGCTATCAGAACTAATGAAATAGTAACATCATTAAGTAAATGAGCCTAGACTATCCTATGGAGCTGATCCAACAGTAAACAAGCTTGTGATATAAGAAGAGTTTGTTGTTGACACGGTCTCTCTCTCTCTGTGTAGGCTGATCCATGCCAAGAGGTTAAACAACACCAACCTGCTGTTTGTGGTAGCAGAGAAGATGCCCTGCAACACCTGCGAGGTGGAGAAACTGTCCCAGGCGGAGACAGAGTGTATCCTTACCAATCAGGGGAGAACGACTGCCCCCTCTCATTGAAGCCACGGATGTTCAAGGCCGACCGCGGTACTGCAGGCATTGTTAGCCGAGAACAGGATCCCACATTATAGTGAATGGAAAAATTGCAATTCGTGGTCAATCTTCGTGTAAATCCAAAAATGTTTTGAAAACAATCACGGTACCAATAATTGCAGATGTAGCAGATTTATGTCCTTGAAACTATTATTTTAAAATCACACACAGAAGAAGTTATAATAATATAACATACTGGAAGAAGTTATAAGGTTAATTTATACTGAACAAGAATATAAATGCAACATGCAACAAATTCAAAGATGTTACAGTTCATATAAGGAAATCACTCAATTGAAATAAATAAATTAGGCCCTAATCTATGGATTTCACATGACTGGGAATACAGATATGCATCTGTTGGTCACAGATACCTTAAAAAAAAAAAGTAGGGGTGTGGATCAGAAAATCAGTCAGTATCTGGTGTGACCACCATTTGCATTATTCAGCGCGACACATCTCCTTCACATAGAGTTGATCAGGCTGTTGATTGTGGCCTGTGGAATTTTGTCTCACTCCTCTTCAATGGCTGTGCGAAGTTGCTGGATATTGGCGGGAACTGGAACACGCTGTCGTACACGTACAGATCCTTGCGACATGGGGCTGTGCATTATCATGCTGAAACATGAGGTGATGACGGCGGATGGATGGCATGGCAATGGGCCTCAGGATCTCGTCACGGTATCTCAGTGCATTCAAATTGCCATCGATAAAATGCAATTGTGTTCGTTGTCCGTAGCTTATGCCTGGCCCATACCATAACCCCACCGCCACCATGGGGCACTCTGTTCACAACGATGGACATCAGTAAACCGCACGCCCACGCGATGCCATACACGTGGTCGGTGGTTGTGAGGCCGGTTGGACGTACTGCCAAATTCTCTAAAACGACGTTGGAGGCGGCTTATGGAAGAGAAATTAACATTACATTCTCTGGCAACAGCTCTGTTAGACATTCCTGCAGTCAGCATGCTAATTGCGTGCTCCCTCAAAACTTGAGACATCTGTGGCATTGTGTTGTGTGACAAAACTGCACATTTTAGAGTGGCCTTTTATTGTCCCCAGCACAAGGTGCACCTGTGTAATGATCATGTTGTTTATCAGCTTCTTGATATGCCACACCTGTCAGGTGGATGGACTATCTTGGCAAAGGAGAAATTCTCACTAACAGGGATGTAAACAAATTTGTGCACTAAATTTGAGATAAATAAGCATTTTGTGCGTATGGAAATTTTCTGGGATCTTTTATTTCCAGCTCATGAGACATGGGACCAACACTTTATATTTTTGTTCAGTGTAGATCAATGGTTTTGTCCATCCATGTATACAGTCATTGTTACCAACACATGCACACCTGCTGTTGGAAATCTTCTCCTTTCACTTGTCTCTCTTTATAGACTTATTTATTTTTCACATTCAACTCACTGGTGTTATTGTCAAACCATGTGAATTTGGGCTTGGTCCAGTTCAGCCCTTGCTGCCTATTCTAACCAAAGCTGTATGTTGTGATAATCTTTGTGTTAAATGTTTTTTTTTATGGCATAAACCTGTGTAAGTGGTAGCGGAAGCTATAGGGCAGGTGTGTAAACACATAGAGACTTTGAGAGTGACTATACAGTATGCATGTAGGTAGTGTGTGTCATTCCTTAACCACACGTCTTCCAGTCAAGGAGGATAACCCATCATGTGAGGATATGAGTGCAGCGCGGTATCGAAGAGGGCCCACTGTGTGCTACGACTACAATCTCGCTGTAAGACTTACAACTGAGTGGACAACTCAGCACTCGTGTACACAGACACTAGAATAAACATACTGTAAATATGCTCATGCGCACAGACCCTATTTTCACTTAGACACACACCATAGATATACATTTTTTTTTTATTTTAAATGATACTGTATCACTTTATAAATGTCTCCTTTCCTCTCCAGGAGAACACATCAGACTGTGGGCGGGGCCACTCCTTCCGCCCCTCCCTTCAGACCCTGGTCATGATTCAGCTCGTCCTGCTCTATCCAATCGCCAGCCCCCATATTCTACCCCTCCTACTTTAATTTTCCTCCTGTCTGCTCCCACCAGCTTTGTCCATCCTAAAGCCCCCGCCCTCTCCCCTCTATGCCCCGCCCCTTCTCTAGTCATAGGTAATAATGGGACTTCCTGTCACTGCAACTCGGAAGCCCTGAGTACCGCACTACTGTACCCAGCTAGCTTCTGTTGTTGTTTCTTAGTGACGGTTGCAGGACCTTTATGTTCTCAGCGAGTTACCTACCTTCATCCATGTGAAGAGATTTAGGTGGTGTTCCAACAACTACAATCATCAGAGGCTGTCAGAAAAGAAAAAAGACCCCACCCACATCAACAGGACAAGTTACAAGTGAAAAGTTAAAGACAAGTTGGATGCCATGTCACAGAGCTCCAGCCGTCATGGATACAGCAGAGTTTAGGTTGTCTGTTTCTGTCTCTGTTAGTCAGACGGGATGAGGAGACATTGCCTCCATCGCTCTCATTCATCTCTGATCTGCTCAGAATCTCACCACTCTGTCATGTGCCTCTAATAGGGGGCTACTGTGCATACCATTCAGCCATTTATAGTTACTGTAACAAGAAAATTAAGGAAAAAAAGAACTTTCAAGTATACAAAAACATACAATTATAAACTGTTGAAGTGATGAGTATTCAAACCATATATTAGAGTATCATTTGCAATGGAAGTTGTTAGGTGTTACATTAATTTATTTATGCACTATATCTACTTCTTGCCAAAATGAGATACACTTTTCATGTGGTCTTATTTGTATAGCCAAATTAGTGAGTCGAAAAAGAAAACCCCAGAAACGGAAGCTACAGAAAAAGTGTTAGGAATTACTGAGTTTTTAACTGACAGCGGCTGAATACCGATTCTTCTTGTGCACATCTACTGTTCTTCACTTGAAGTTAGAACTTTTTCTGCCCCAGGAAGCACGGTACTGTGTATATATAATCATTGTAACAAATGGTAATATGGAACTACTCTATCAAGTAGTAGTCTTACAAGGAATAACATCTGACATCTTTGATCATCATAGTTGACTAATGTTAGGTAATGAATTGGTAAGTATGTGTCCGAATCAGACAGAGTGAATTATAACTTTTCCCTTGCAAAAAACAAGAAATACTAGGCTACTACTGTTTATTAGGGATCGGTATTTAGCCTCTGAAAATTCAGACCTTTTGGGCTTCATTGCTGTAGGTGGTGTATAATACAGTACTATCCTTTCTGATCAATGGACATTCTGACCTCTGCTACAGATGGATGACGCAGGACCCCAGTGAAAGCTAACCCCTCTACCAATCCTCATACAGCCGCTCCACCAGGTCCGCTAATATTCCTAGGACTGTATTTGTATGCGCTTATAATCTGTTGCCACCACAGCAGATAAACAAATATCTATTCCGACCGGCCCATAAGCATCTCATTTTAGATGCAGGTGGGTTTTGGCAGACCTTAGCTTGTATTACCTTTGACAGATGCTGTATAACTTCAGACCATTTGCTGCTGGGAGATTGGGGCTTAACACTTCCCACATAAAGAAATGCAGCAAAGGTCACTACTGCTTATGGTGACAACTGAGCTGCAGTCTGGGTGTGTAATCCGTTACGTGTCATTGTGATCAATTTGAAGTGAAACGTCATTAGACTCCCATGTTTAGGAGCCACGCTCTGTTGTCATTGTGCCTTGGTGCACTTCGTTTTGGAAAGCATTGGCTATAGAGCTACTGTACAGTATCTTTATAGAACAGCCACCCTAATGGCTATGGAGCTACAAGATCTTTATAGAGTCAGTCTATTGGCTATATATCTACGGTAGCTTTATACACCATATTGACTAAGAGGATATTGTAGCTTAATGTAGACATCAAATTGGCTGTGGCTATTAGCTGCTGTACCATACCAGGGCTACCTGACTGCCACCATATAGAGTTGCTGTACAGTACCTTTACATGGCGATCTATAGAGCTACACTATCAGTATAAAGCGAATTAACTGGCCATAGCGCTACCTGACTGCTATCGTTGCATTTCTGCCTGAACCATATGTGCGTTTGTGTTTGTGTATGGGTGTATGTTTGTTTGTGTTAACCCTCAAAGGGAATGTATTTAAAACTGGGTTGAGAGGATGAGGAATGACAGTTGTGGTAGTGTAGCTGTTTGTTGTTCCAATTCCAATGGATGAAGTGTTATATCAGATTTAGTAATGGAGATAAAAATGAGCTAATCCATTTTTTTTTCTGACCGGTTTGCTCAATATGTTGTCATGAGGGGGCTGCATACTGTATGTGGCCCCTGCATTCACAGAGGTGTTCAAAAGAATGTTTAATATGTCAGTGTGTTTCTGTTTCTAAGGCAACATAGTGACGAAGCCTCTCTTAATGCCTTAGTGTTCTATCAAGCGCTAATTCAGTGTTCTCTCTCTTACACACACACACACACAACATACACACACAATGAGCCTCCCAAATATTTACTTTTCTCCGAAGACTTTCCCAACCCAGAATGTTGAGCTCTGAATTTGAAGGGGTTTAGATTTTGATATGTCCGTTCGTCTATATAAAATGATGTGAGTTTCTTGTACACATGCCGCCCTTTGATTCCTGCTTGGAGTGGAGGACTTTCATAGTTTATATCTAAGTCTGAATTTGTGTTGACTCTGAAATCCCTCCACTCCTCCTCGCTGTCTCAGTTTGTTAACGTGAACACATCATAATCTAAACCCCAAAACCTCCTTTACTGTGTAACCATGAATACACACATAATGTACAGTGAACAATATCATTTTTGCCAAGACAAAATGTTAGGTAACTGCATCATTATCTCAATGAAAGACTGGGCCAAAATGAAATTCTGAATCTGCAATTGGCTCCTTTCAATGTATGGGTCCACCATTTTAGAAATGACTCTTGTAGTTCTATTGTATTCTATCACAGCAATTGTTTGTCCCTCTGTAGATCGCTACATTCACATGTAACACTAACAGTTATACCTACACATGCACAGATGGGGGGATGTTCAGCTCTAGACTGAAGTAAGCCAAGGATGTCTATTCCCCTGTGTGGGATGTCAGAGGCTAGCTCAGGGAGTGGGTCTCCACAGATCAGCATGGGACTGTGTCAAACAGAAAGTCAAAGAATCATGGGTATGTCTGTGTGTCCCAGAAGTGGACCCAAGAGTGTGCTGAGGGACACAGGTCTGTTTTCTGTGGTTTGCGAAATTTACTTTTTGCCCCCCCCCCAAAAAAATAGGAATAGCTTGGGGTGAGAGGAAGGGGTCTGCTTTATGGCCATCCCCAAAGGGAGGGTCTTTATGTGGCTCCTCCCCTGCCCCGCCCTACCCTTGCCGTGTCCGTGTAGGTGCGTCTCTGTGGGAAAGACACGTGTATGTGATTCTGTAGTCTGTAGTCTGGTGCTATGTGACCATGTTTGCCAAATGTGTTTAAAAATAATAATAAGTAACAAAAAAATAGTAAAATCTGTCAAATTTTAAGTGAAGTAAAAAATAGGAATAAAGTAAAGATAAGTTTGAGATCTGAAATCAACAGTATTCTTTTTTTTTTTTTTTTTACTTTTTTGTGGGTGTGTGAGTGTATGTATGTGCGCGGAAGATTTAGCTCCCTCTCTCTGGGCATTGGTCCATGTCGCTCCATTCTTTTGTACTGATCAAGCTAAAAAAGAAGAGGGCAAGATTTGTAAAATATTGTGTCTGTGACTCCTTGTAAAATATTTTCAAATTGTTTATTACAGAGAATCAGTTATTAAATAATGTTCATATTTTTCACTTCATTTCATTTTGTGGTGTTTGTTTTTGCATCTCTGAAATACCAGGACTCATGTCAGGTACATACATCCAGAATGGGGGCGGCAGGTAGCTTAGTGGTTAAGAGCGTTGTGCCAGTAACCGAAAGGTCGCTGGTTCTAATCCCCGAGCCGACTAGGTGAAAAACCTGTCGATGTGCCCTTAAGCAAGGCACTTAACCCTAATTGCTCCTGTAAGTCGCTCTGGATAAGAGTGTCTGCTAAATGACCAATTTTATTAGAATAGGCCACAAACACACAGTACAGGTACAGTATGTCATCAGTGCATAATGGGTTGTACTGAACCACAGTTACATGTCCCCAAAACATCACAAGTTAGTCTTTGATATAAAAACTTCTATACTAGCTTTTGACAAATAACAAACAACATACAGTATAGATTTTTTATATAATGAAATGTTGGAATGTTTGAATAGGTATTGTTGGTCGTATAGTGTTGCATCCATGGACCGATATCTCAATGACACTGAACAACATCACAACGCATTGAGAAAGTCAATGAGAGCTCTGTGCCACGTTGCTGGGTCGTCCAGATAGCACGGATGTCCTGCTCCTTTCATCACCACAACCTTGTGATTGGCCAGGCTTCTCAGGTTGTTCAGAGAAACCTCTCCAAGCTGAGCATCCTGGTCTCCATAGACAATCAGAGATGGAGTCTGGAATGAAAGTGGAGGTGGCTAGTTCAAATGTTACCCAATATCACATACAATGCCGGGATTCAATCTGAGCACAGGTTGTAGACAATGCAGATTTTACAGGCAATGTTTCCGCGTTCGCAGATATCGCATGCACGGTAAACGCTGCATATGTCAGCTCAATCGGATATTGCCTTTAAAAGCTGCATTGTCTACAACCCGCGTTCGGATTGAATCCTGACCAAAGTCAAACAGAGCACCCAAACACAAGGCATGTTTCATAGGTGCAAAATCAGTGTTTGCAACCAACCACAGAAGAGAAACCAACCACAGAGGAGAAACCAACCACAGAATAGAAACCAACCACAGAGGAGAAACCAACCACAGAATAGAAACCAACCACAGAAGAGAAACCAACCACAGAAGAGAAACCAACCACAGAAGAGAAACCAACCACAGAGGAGAAACCAACCACAGAGGAGAAAAGAAAGAGCAGAGAGCTAAAATCCCTCAACACACACACCTGTATGCTGCTATACTGCTCTGCTGTGAACTTCTCAGTGCAGATGGGAGCCACAGGGATGTAAGCCCGTACCAGAGCCTCGTGCTGGAAGAGAAAGGGCAGGGAGTACATGCCACTCAGGGAGGGACTGACCACCACCACTGGCCCCATCCCCAGTGCCTCACACACCTGCTTCAGGAACCCACCAGGGGCCAGCTCTCCAACAGCAGAGGGGGCCACTGCTGACTTAGACTGGCCAAGACCTGGGGGTGGGGAGAGGAAGAGAGAGGTGGAGTTACAGGTCAGAGATGAATTAAGTAATACATTCTCACTTACTACTATTCACAACTGAAGCTCACCTGGTAGGTCGATGGCCACTGCACGATAGCCAGCTTTGGCCAATGTCTCCAGTGTTCCTATATTGAGCCAGTTCTCAGATGAGAAACGGATGCCGTGCAGAAGTAGGACAGACAGATGGACTTCACCTGTAGCCGGTTCAGCTTGTCTGTAAAACATAGGGGCCTTGCAGGATTCCACATGCAAGCTCCCTTCTGTCATTTTAGCAGCACACATCCTATGAAGGAGGTTTGAAATAAAAATATATATATCATTACCAAATATCAGAAGAAAGAAGGTGAAAAAGTTTATTAAAGCCACAGTCTGTAAGAATTATATAATAATAATTATAACTAATGAACAACTAACTATACTTTAGAATTGGCTTTAGTAACAAGGAAATTCTTGCTCTTTTAGCACGTAATAACCATATTATTGTAAGTATTAGGACCATGAAGAGGTTTTGTCACAGACTGGGTCTTTTCAGAAGGAAGAACCACACGGATCTGGATGTGATATTGGCGTTTGTGCAAAGTGAAATCAACAGTAATAGATAAATGCAAGGCTACAGATGGTTGCATCTTCATGCAATTCAGAGAGGTTTTGTAGTAACACAAGACACTATACAAAAGATCTATAATCAAGCTGATCACTCAAACCTCAAGGTGTGAAGCTTAGGCGCGCACGACGCCGACGGCAGTACACGACCAAAGGTCCCAACACGATATGGCATATGGACTCATTTGACAAACTGAAACCATATGGTATTGCAATAAATGGCTGCATAGATGCTTTAGCCATTACTGTATGTTTTGTCAGCCTGGTTTCATAGACTAGATGTAACATAGCTCATAGAAATCCGGGACACTCAAAATAGTATGATATGTTACGTTTGGTATAGTCACATAAGACAGAAGGTTACTTAAGGCAAAATTGGTCAGGATGGATTGGCGTTCGAATCTCATCACGGACAACTAACATTTTAGCTAATTAGCAACTTACTACTTTTGAGCTATTTTGCAACTACTTAGCATGTTAGCTAACCCTTCCCCTAAACCTTTAACCTAATTCCTAACATTCCTAACCCTAATCCCTAGCCACAACAAATTGAAATTCGTAACATATCATACGAATTGCAATTTGTAACATATCATACCAAATGGATGATGGAGATTCACAAATGAATACATACCATACGAAACATAACATATCAAACTAATTGGTGTGGGCTGGATTTACATTTAGTATGTTACGTCTACCCCTGAGTACAGGTTGGTTTTGTCGGTGGAAACCTTGTTACTAAATGCCATGTAAATAATATGATGTTCCTGCATGATGAAAGGGGGCCATGACAAAAAAAAGTTTAGAAAGCACGGATCTAGCGAATGATTACCACAAATACAGATGGGCAACCCCATGCTTCAGCCTATTTATTTATAGCCACTATGCTGCATTAGTTTGGCTACAGGTGATAATGCTTATTGCTAAATAATGTTGTTAGGCACATTTTTGGAGGGGAAAATTCCCCTCATTTTATTTTCATACATTTTGGAGTAGAAAAGTCACCAGAGCTGCGTTCAGTAAAAAAAAAAGATATGTAATGTAACGTTAAATTAAACAGAAACAGTGCCGTTCTGAACGACCAGTTGAAAAAAAAAAACAGGTTGGGTTGTGGGTTCAAAACACACGGCTGCCCTTCAAATACGTCACTCATTGCTTCAAGCCACACCGCCACACCACCAAACGGAGCAAACATAGGCTACCTGTTCAAGAAAGTTGAAGAATATTTTGAGGAAACGTGGTTCAGTACACCCGTTATGCAACGTAGCAAACGTTCAATCGAACTGAAGCACCCCAGAACTGACTTTCTCATAGTCGTTCTACAAAAAAATTGCCAAGCCTGGTTACTTTCTGAACTGATAGAGTTAGACCAACAGTTTAAAGTAATACTGAAATTATTGGTACTTTAGTTGTGGTTGGAATATATTGACCAAATTATCAGGAAAGTTGTGGATGTATTTCCCCTTCAAAATTCACCAGAAATAACCATTTCACAGCAATTATTATTATTATTTTTATCTCCCAGGGTGACATGTCCCTGGACCCCCCTAGAAGTGTGTTGACCCTGGATCCCATCGACCTGGAACCCCCCAATATGCAACACAAAGTTACGCCCTTGACCACCACCTTCTATTAATCTTTTCTCTTCACTTGGCCCTAATACTCCTCCGTACTTATCATAAAGTCCTGTTTAAGGTTTATGTAATAGGAGACTCTGTAAACAAATGTAGAGTACTACAGATATTACATCATAAAAAAACATTTGATAAACGCATGTGTAAATGACATTCATCTGCTACATTAAGCCTGTTAGTGGCCGATTGATTGTAGCCTATGCAGTTCATCTAGTGTCGGTATGCAATTGGTTGCGTGTGTGTTGTGCTGTAGAGAAAGCTATACTGTTACATTCCATGTTTGCTCGGCCGAGCCACACAAAATGAAATGTAGCCTATGGAGGATTCCTGGCAAGATTTCTGTAATCGACCTCCTGTGAACGTTACAGCTTAAAGCGTGTATTGCCCACACAGTGATCAAAGTTAACGTTTTCTCTTTTAAATGTATTCACAATGATTTGATTAGCCTAAATTGTAATGCATACAAGATAAATATATATTTACCTTCACGCCGTCTGAGTGGTTCTGTCTGAACTAAAAGTTGTCTCAGTAGTTTCACTTTTCCACGGAAAAACAGTCTACTGTAGTTGCAACCTGGATTCTACCGACGTCCAGTGGTGATCACGCGTATTGCCGGGGATCATAAATAGAGTAGCACCCTGAGTTGAGTTCATCTACGCTACATTTCATTAATGATTAATGAACTTACCGATTGGTTGTCTTTTTGGGGTAGGCGCCTCTGTTTGATTAAGCTTTTCAATATTAACGTGTGGGTGGACGGGATAAAGTCATTACATTCACACTGATTTCGTAACTCTGGCTTTTCCCGTCCAACAAACAACACAATACATATTGTTTATAGGCTTCTTAATTTGACACCTTGCTCTAGCCTAATCAATTTCGTAAAAACATGCCAGCCTGAGGAACTCCAGAATTGTCAGAAAAATTTAGTCCTTGGATCTGCTTCCATCCAGCACTGCTCTCAGTCTTATTCTCTTCTGTAACCATGAAACTCATTCTTTCCTGTGTTCTCCTGGCATTTTGGAGGGGATTGGTCAGTGGTAAGAAAAATAACTTATATATTTATTTTTTATTTTGGGGGGTTATTCTATTTGTTATTCTATTTCAGATTAATGTGCCAATTGGGTACCTAATTCAATAATGCAACTGGGATTAGTTTAATGATTTGATGTTGTTGAATTGATGTGCTTTTTTGTTGGTGTACACTGTATTCCTGGGTCAGCTCAGTTTACACTGCATAAGTGACTGCAGCAAAAAAGATTAGGTGGCAGTATAGTTTTGCTATTAATGGGTGCAATACATATAATATATAAATCTGTAATTTTACTGATTACAGTCTGTCAAAAGTGTGATTCTGTCAGTTGAAGTGTTTTGATAGAGTCACTTGTCCATTCATGTAAGCTTCACAAAAAATTGTGTGGTGGTCCAAAGGTCTTATTATGCTCAGTCAGACCCATGCGCAAATGTTGTTCAGCAGATAGCTGACACACAGACAGCTGGGTGCCCAACATGTACTGTTTGTTAATTCAGTAGATAGGCCTACCAAAGGACGTATTACATGTGATTTTAAGTTAGAACTTCTAACCAAAACCCTTCTGAAACAACCCCTTATTTTAACACTCCAGTAAGATAGTGGTTAGCTATAATGATACACTACATGAGCAAAAGTGTGTGGACACCTGCTCGTCAAACATTTCATTAATATTGAGTTGGTCCCCCCTTTGCTGCTATAACAGCCGGCTTTCCACTAGATGTTGGAACATTGCTGCGGGGACTTGCTTCCATTCAGCCACAAGAGCATTAGTGAGGTCGGGCACTGATGTTGGGCGATTAGGCCTGCCTCGCAGTCGGCGTTCCAATTCATCCCAAAGGTGTTCGATGGAGTTGAGGTCAGGGCTCTGTGCAGGCCAGTCAAGATTTTCCACACCGATCTCAACAAACCATTTCTGTATGGACCTCGCTTTGTGCATGGGGGCATTGTCATGCTGAAACAGAAAATGGCCTTCCCCAAACTGTTGCCACAAAGTTTGAAGCACAGAATCATCTATAATCTCATTGTATGCTGTAGCGTTAAGATTTCCCTTCACTGGAACTAAAGGGCCTAGCCCGAACCATGAAAAACAGCTCCAGACCATTATTCCTCCTCCACCAAACTTTACAGTTGGCACTATGCATTGGGGCAGGTAGCGTTCGCCAAACCCAGAGTCCAATAGCGGCGAGCTTTACACCACTCCAGCCAACGCTTGGTATTGCGTATGGTGATCTTAGGTTTGTGTGCGGCTGGTCGGCCGTGGAAACCCATTTCATGAAGCTCCCGACTAATAGTTATTGTGCTGACGTTGCTTCCAGAGGCAGTTTGGAACTCTGTAGTGAGTGTTGCAACCGAGGACAGACGATTTTTACGTAATGCATGCTTCAGCTCTCGGCGGTCCCGTTCTGTGAGCTTGTGTGGCCTACCACTTTGCGGCTGAGCCGTTGTTGCTCCTAGACTTTTCCACTTCACAATAACAGCACTTACAGTTGACCGGGGCAGCTCTAGCAGGGCAGAAATTTGACAAACTGACTTGTTGGAAAGGTGGCATCCTATGACGGTGTCACGTTGAAAGCCACTGAGCTCTTCAGTAAGGCCATTCTACTGCCAATGTTTGTCTATGGAGATTGCATGGATTTGTGCTCGATTTGATACACCTGTCAGCAACGGGTGTTGCTGAAATAGCCTAATCCATTAATTTGAAGGGGTGTCCACATACTTTTGTATATCCAGTACCAGTCAAAAGTTTGGACACACCTACTCATTCAAGGGTTTTTCTTAATTTTTATTATTTTCTACATTGTATAATAATAGTGAAGACATCAAAACTATGAAATAACACATATGGAATCATGTAGTAACCAAAAAAGTGTTAAACAAATCAAAATATATTTGAGATTTGAGATTCTTCAAAGTAGCCACCATTTGCCTTGATGACAGCTTTGCACACTCTTGGCATTCTCTCAACCAGCTTCATGAGGCAGTCACCGGGAATGCATTTGAATTAACAGGTGTGCCTTGTTAAAAGTTAATTTGTGGAATTTCTTTCCTTCGTAATGCGTTTGAGCCAATCAGTTGTGTTGTGACAAGGTAGGGGTGGTATACAGAAGATAGCCCTATTTGGTAAAAGACCAAGTCCATATTATGGCAAGAACAGCTCAAATAAGCAAAGAGAAATGACAGTCCATCATTTAATTTTAATATTTAATATGCCATTTAGCAGACGCTTTTATCCAAAGCGACTTACAGTCATGCGTGCATACATTTTTTTTTGTGTATGGGTGGTCCCGGGGATCGAACCCACTACCTTGGCGTTACAAGCGCCGTGCTCTACCAGCTGAGCTACAGAGGACCACATGAAGGTCAGTCAATCCGGAAAATTTCAAGAACTTCAAAAGTTTCTTCAAGTGCAGTCGCAAAAACCATCAAGCGCTATGATGAAACTGGCTCTCATGAGGACCGCCACAGGAAAGGAAGACCCAGAGTTACCTCTGCAGCAGAGGATAAGTTCATTAGAGTTACCAGCCTCAGAAATTGCAGGCCAAATAAATGCTTCACAGAGTTCAAGTAACAGACACATCTCAACATTAACTGTTCAGAGGAGATTGCGTGAATCAGGCCTTCATGGTCGAATTGCTGCAAAGAAACCACTACTAAAGGACACCAATAAGAAGAAGAGACTTGCTTGAGCCAAGAAACACGAGCAATGGACATTAGACCGGTGGAAACTATCTTCTGGTTTGATGAGTCCAAATTTGAGACTTTTGGTTCCAACCGCTGTGTCTTTGTGAGATGCAGAGTAGGTGAACGGATGATCTCCGCATGTGTGGTTCCCACCGTGAAGCATGGAGGAGGAGGTGTGATGGTGTGGGGGTGCTTTGCTGGTGACACTGTAGGTGATTTATTTAGAATTCAAGGCACACTTAACCAGCATGGCTACCACAGCATTCTGCAGCGATACGCCATCCCATCTGGTTTGCGCTTAGTGGGACTATCATTTGTTTTTCAACAGGACAATGACCCAACATACCTCCAGGCTGTGTAAGAGCTATTTGACCAAGAAGGAGAGTGATGGAGTGCTGCATCAGATGACATGGCCTCCACAATCACCCGACCTCAACCCAATTGAGATGGTTTGGGATGAGTTGGACCGCAGACTGAAGGAAGTAGCCAACAAGTGCTCAGCATATGTGGGAACTCCTTCAAGACTGTTGGAAAAGCATTCCTCATGAAGTTGGTTGACATAATGCCAAGTGTGTGCAAAGCTGTCATCAAGGCAAAGGGTGGCTACTTTGAAGACTCTCAAATCTCAGATATATATTTTGATTTGTTTAACACTTTTTTGGTTACTACATGATTCCATATGTGTTATTTCATAGTTTTGATGTCTTCACTATTATTACACAATGTAGAAAATAGTAAAAATAAAGAAAAACCCTTGAATGAGTAAGTGTGTCCAAACGTTTGACTGGTACTGTATAGTGTAAGTTCCCAGACATTAGGACTGTATTTGGCCATAGGGTCCCGCAGTCCTCTGAATGACTTCCAGCGTTCTGAGGGAAGGGAGCTGGTTCCTACCTCCTGGAACTCTGCACGGGTGCTGATACTGCCTGGTCTGACGCTGGAGGACTGTGCTAGACGCTGCTCACACACACTGGACTGCAGGTACCCGGAGTGTTGTATGACCTTAGTACATCACCTAGCAATCTTAGCAGATAAGGTGTTGGACTTACAGGTTTGAGTGCCAGTTAGTCTACCCCCAAATTCGTAAAAAAATATAACACAAGCTAACATGAAAACTCCTTTCATTAGAGCCTTCAACTACGAAACGCGCCGCTCCATCACCTGTAAACAGCTGCCATGGGTGGAGGATGGCAGCAACGCAGAGGTCAAGAGGAACGTCAACTGTGATCTGTATGAGAAGAAGGGTAAGCTTTGGGGTCAAAGTGAGGTCATGTTCTCTGTCATTTATGTTCTCAGTGAATTGATGTCATTTTGTATAATGCTACAAAATGAGTTGTGTTGTGTCAGTAGCACGCTGTGATTTTAGTTTGAAAATACAGATTTTTTTCTTCCATGTGCAGTCTACGTAAGGAAGTGCATTGTGGGTAAAGGGGAAGACTATCGAGGCAAGGTGTTCACGACGAAAAATGGCCATACTTGTCAACAGTGGTGGTCAAAGTTCCCACACGATCACAGGTAAGATCATCCCGTTGATTTATTGGAGTAATAGTTTGGAAACCATGACCCAAAGCAAAATATGATAACATATGTCTCTGTCTCTCACACATATTTTGTTTCTATACCTGTCATAGATGGACACCCACAGCCACTAATGGCTTGGAGCTGAACTACTGCAGGAACCCAGATAGGGACCGCATCGGGCCGTGGTGCTACACCACTGATCCAGAACGCCGCTATGAGAGCTGCAATATCCCCCACTGCAAAGATGGTACATCCCATTCTGTTCAACATTCCAGTGGTTGAAGGATTGCAATTCCAAATGTTTCTAAAGATACTGCAATAACACTATGTGTAAATGATTGACTGTGGTGTGTGTATTGTCTTCGATCTAATTATCTGTTTGGCATGTCTGTTTTGATCATAGAGAACATCATTGTAGAAAAGTGTTGCTATAGACTGTGTGTGTTTGGGTTTGTGCACAGAGGTGTGTATAACATGTAATGGGGAAGACTACAGGGGCCAGGTTGACCACACAGTGAGTGGCAGAGAGTGTCAACGTTGGGACCAGCAGTACCCACAACAACACATCTACCAGCCTGAGAAGTATGTCTGTCTGCCAACCACTGTTATCACTACCACTCCACTCTTTTACATGCTTTTTGTTGTAGGCCTACATGCCTTCGTATCCTGTCAGCATTACTTGTCTCTAATCAATATGTTGTACTGTAATAGAGTAGAGAACGATCAATATTTCCAATGTAATGAGAAGTTCCTAACATGGAATACTGTGCGTTCCAGGTATCCAGATAAGAGCTTGGATGATAACTACTGCCGTAACCCAGATGCCTCCCCTGTTCCCTGGTGTTACACCACAGACCCTGATATGGAGAGAGAGAGCTGCCAGATCAGCAAGTGCTGTACGTCTGTCCCTCATACACCCTCCCTGTCCATTCATTCACACTATTCCATTTTTATAACAATGTAATAACAATATAATACAATCTATATCACCCCTCATATGTCACGTCTCTCTTTTCGCTCTAGCTGTGGTTCCAAAGAGACGCCTCCGATCCAGCTACACCACAAACTGTTTCCGTGGTCGCGGGGAGGATTACCGCGGTAAAGTGAACGAGACGACCGGCGGCATTGCCTGTCAGCGGTGGGACGCCCAGTACCCTCATGAGCACCCCTTCTACCCAAACACCTACGAATGCAAGTAAGCCAGAGGAATGGGCGATAGAGGGATGGATGGGCAGCGGGATGATGGTTAGTGAGTGGTGGTGATGATGAGGATGGTGGTGGAGTAAGGAGTGAAATGAAGGGTCTTGAGATGAGGATCTACATGAATGGCGGATCTTGGGTTTATGTTCCTAGACACATTTACATTTTAGTCATAGCAGACGCTTATCCAGAATCAGTAGCATACATCCAACATATACCCATGAATAGTGATCCCTGTGTTATTTTGACCTACAGTGAGGGAAAAAAGTATTTGATCCCCTGCTGATTTTGTACGTTTGCCCACTGACAAAGACATGATCAGTCTACAATTTTAATGGTAGGTTTATTTGAACAGTGAGAGACAGAATAACAACAAAAACATCAAGAAAAACGCATGTCAAAAATGTTATAAATTGATTTGCATTTTAATGAGGGAAATAAGTATTTGACCCCCTCTCAATCAGAAAGATTTCTGGCTCCCAGGTGTCTTTTATACAGGTAACGAGCTGAGATTAGGAGCACACTCTTAAAGGGAGTGCTCCTAATCTCAGTTTGTTACCTGTATAAAAGACACCTGTCCACAGAAGCAATCAATCAATCAGATTCCAAACTCTCCACCATGGCCAAGACCAAAGAGCTCTCCAAGGATGTCAGGGACAAGATTGTAGACCTACACAAGGCTGGAATGGGCTACAAGACCATCGGCAAGCAGCTTGGTGAGAAGGTGACAACAGTTGGTGCGATTATTCGCAAATGGAAGAAACACAAAATAACGGGGACCATAGTCACCAAGAAAACAATTGGTAACACACTACGCAGTGAAGGACTGAAATCCTGCAGCGCCCGCAAGGTCCCCCTGCTCAAGAAAGCACATATACAGGCCCGTCTGAAGTTTGCCAATGAACATCTGAATGATTCAGAGGAGAACTGGGTGAAAGTGTTGTGGTCAGATGAGACCAAAATCTAGCTCTTTGGCATCAACTCAACTCGCTGTGTTTGGAGGAGGAGGAATGCTGCCTATGACCCCAAGAACACCATCCCCACCGTCAAACATGGAGGTGGAAACATTATGCTTTGGGGGTGTTTTTCTGCTAAGGGGACAGGACAACTTCACCGCATCAAAGGGACGATGGACGGGGCCATGTTTTGCAGAGGGGTCAAATACTTATTTCCGTCATTAAAATGCAAATAAATGTATAACATTTTTGACATGCGTTTTTCTGGATTTCTTTGTTGTTATTCTGTCTCTCACTGTTCAAATAAACCTACCATTACATGTAGACTGATCATGTCTTTGTCAGTGGGCAAACGTACAAAATCAGCAGGGGATCAAATACTTTTTTTTCCCTCACTGTATAGTATTAGCTGTTTTATCCATATGTCCCTGTGTTATTGTGTGCTATACTTATTGGTTATACTAATTGCTATACCATTGCTCCCAGGGGCTTGGAGGAGAACTACTGTCGTAACCCAGATGGATCCGAGGCTCCCTGGTGCTTCACGTCTGTGCCTGAGATGAGGACGGCTCTCTGCTTGCATATCAAACGCTGTGCAGACGACATTGAAGCCGAGGGTACACTGCCCTCTGCTGTTTATGGGACCAATGCACTCGCCATGCAATCTAGGGTCCTCAAACAGAAATCTATTTGATAACTCATAGAAGGGGTTTCTGTCATCATGTTTTCATGTCCTTTTTCCCCACACCCCAGATTGTTACCAGGAAAATGGTAAAAACTACAGGGGTGTAGTCCGAAAGACGCGGAAGGGTGTCACCTGCCAAAAGTGGAGTGTCAACATGCCTCACAAAACAAAGTATGATAAATAACCAGTAGATTATAAAATGAAATTTAACAAGAATTTGGCAGGTATGTTTGGTGGTGTCAATGGTGTCAAAGATTGAATATATATGTATATATTTGTATTTATTTATTTTTATTTCAATGTATGTATGTATGGGATAGTAGCATGTGTGTGTAGGAGTGTCTGCTGTGGCATGCGTAGGTAGGTTTAGTGCTTGTACTGTACTGTGGTTTTCCAGGATAAACCCAGGGACCCACCCTGAGGGCAACCTGACAGAGAACTACTGCCGGAACCCAGATGGGGACCAACACGGACCCTGGTGCTACACCACTGACCCCAAAACAGAGTTTGACTACTGCGCCATCAAGCAATGCGGTAAAGATTACCATCCCCCCATACCTCTGTGCCCTCAGGCATTACATTCCTCTCTCAATATCTTTCTCTTGCTACTTCATCACTCATTGGCCGTATCCGAATACCCATACTTTCTTTCTACATAGTAGGCATTTTATAGTATGTGAAAATAAAAAAATCGAGTAGGCCTATGCTTTAAATGCCAGGATGTTATACTCATTTCGGCTTTTCATCTAGTAGAATTTGCTGCACACTTTTGAGGAAGAGAATAATCTTTCCAGACTTGCGTGTGTTTGACAAAGCTGATAATAAGCTGATAATGAGATAAGGGGACACGCTGTACCCAAATGAACGAATGGCGGGAATCAACGCACTTGCACATTAGATGACACATTCTCAGGATGGGTGAGCCTAGTATGTTGATATTTGTTGCTTACTGCATTCATTTTTACTAAACAGTACATTCTAAATAGTATGTAGTATGATTAGTACACATGATGTAGTTTTAGCCAGTGTCTCTTATCTCTGTACACTGCAATAGTAGGCCTAATGTTAACTTACTAACACTATAAAGCTCTTTTTCATCCATTTTGCTCAAAGCATTAATCCCTCCATGGCTCTGTGTTATTTCAAAGTGATTAAAAGATTATTCTGCTTATTGTTGTTTGAACAGCTGGGGAGAAAGTGTCCATCATTGAGCCAGCAGGTACGTTCCTAATGGGATATGCAACTAGAATGAAAAATAAGTATTTCCTGAAAGTGGACATATGTACACTACTTTACTCATTAACTGAAGTGTGTGTGTGTGTGTGTGTGTGTGTGTGTGTGTGTGTGTGTGTGTGTGTGTGTGTGTGTGTGTGTGTGCGTGTGTGTGTGTGTGTGTGCGTGTGCGTGTGCGTGTGCGTGTGCGTGCGTGTGTGTGTGTGTGCGTGTGTGTGTGCGTGCGTGTGTGCGTGTGTGTGTGTGTGTGTGCGTGCATGTGTGCACACAGAGAAGGTGGAGTTTAATGAGTGTGGGAAGAGAGATGATCGTTTCGTCAAGAGCATGCTGCGTATTGTTGGTGGGGGTCCTGGAAACTCTCCCTGGACGGTCAGCCTCAGAGACAGGTCAGTCTGAGAGGGGCAGTGTTAGCGCATTGAGATTTACTCAGCAATAGAGACCCCAGCCCCAGTCTTCATAACCTCTCTGTCTCCCCTGTTAGAGACCAGTGTTCATGGCCTCTCTCTCTCTCTCCCTGTTAGAGCCCAGTCTCTCCTATATCTCTCTCTCTCAATTCAATTCAATTCAATAAATGCTTTATTGGTATGAATGGGTTGTTGCCACTGTTGCCAAAACAATGTATATGAAGTATTACATAAATTAACAATATGTTTGACCAACAATAATAATATACAGTATACTGTATATATACAAAAACAATTATACATAGAAAATAAGAAGAATACGTTTTTTTAAAAGCAATTTGAAATTCTATCTAGAAAGGTTCATGTGTATGACATCTCTTATATTATGACAGCCCAGAACATCATCTGCAGCAAGATCTACTGTCTCGACGTTTTCTCCTAACAAAATGCAGATTTTCTCCTCAACAGCCAGTTCAAGAAATCCTGCAATTCTTTCTTAAAATTTCAGGAGATAATATTTGGAGCAATGGAGTAGGAAGTGCTGTTCATGCTCTACTTCACCCGACCCACAGTGCTTACATAGTCTTTCCTCTCTGACCTTCCATGTTTTTCTATGGCATCCTGTCTCTATTGCCAGGCTATGGTCATTGAATCTGTATATTGTTAATGTCTTCTGTTGTTTGAATTCTTTGATTTTGAAAAGGTGTTATGCTACTTTCATATCTTTTTTTAGAATTTGGTAACATTGAAGCTTGTGATTCAATTGAATTTCATTTTGCCAATAGTCTATGTATTTTGGTTAGAGATTTCTATTTGTTAGAATTTTGTTATTTGTGGTCAAATGGTTGAATTTAGCTGGTGCTTTTGGGCCAGTTGTTCTAAAGGGTCACTCTTTGTGTTGCAGTGTTTGCATAAGAAAGCCTTGTGATGATAATATTCTGGATCACAGTGTGTTAGGTGAGTCCAGAATTTGGTGTCTCTTTTCTCAATTACTAGTGCTAGGGGAAATCTCCAAGTTCTGCCCTACAGGCTAGGTTTCGGGCATTTCTGTGCACACCTAGAATATTTGTACAAAATTCCAGGTAAAACATTTCAGTGGGGCTTTTATCCCATGATGTACTGTATATTTTAAATTGGGAAGGGGGTCCCCAAATTTTCCTGCCACATACAGTAGAAGGATTGGAGTTATGACAGAGTAAAATAGTTTAAGCCAAATTCTTATTGGTTGGTTACATTTATACAGGGTCTCTCTGATTGCAAAATATGATCTGCATGCTTTATCTGTTAGAGACTATATGGCCATGTCAAACCACCAAGGTAAATATAGTTGGTGGTGTGTTTCAGGGTTGGTGGTGTGTTTCTAGGGTGAAATGGTATCTACTTTCCTGAGATCAGGACTTTTTCAGAAAGATCATTACTTAGTTTTTTTTCCCATATTAATAGATAGTGTCCAGTCCTTACAATACTGTTCTAGCAAGGACCAGCTTTGTTGTACCCCCTGTTCTGTTGGTGACAAGATTACTAAGTCATTGGCATATAAAATACACTTTATTTATTTGTCTTCTAGGGTGAGTCCCAGAGATGTTGATTGTTCTGTAGCCAGTTCATTTATATAAATATTGAATAAGGTTGGACTAATATTGCAACCTTCTCTTACACCTCTGTCCTGACTAAAGAATTGTGTTATTTTGGTGTCAACTTTTATACAACATTTGTTTTCCTTATAGATCACATTAATAATATCATAGACCTTGCCTCCTACACCACTTTGATGCGGTTTTAAGAACAGTGCTTCATCCCATAAGGAATCAAAGGCTTTTTGAAAGTCGATAAAACAAGGCAAATATGTTTCCTTTGTGAGTTTGGTGAACATGTTTTTTGACCAAGGTATGGAGGATATACAGTATATGTGATCTGTTGTTCAGTGTTTAGTGAGGAATCCAATTAGACTTTTTCGTAAAATGTTGTGTTCACTTAAGAAGGCCTGAATTCTGGCATTCATTATGCTACAGAAAACCTTTCCTAAATTACTACTAACAGAGATGCCTCTACACTGAGTGTACAAAACATTAAGAACTCTTTCCATGACATAGATTAACCAGGTGAATCCAGGTGAAAGCTATGATCCCTTATTGATATCACTTGTTAAATCCACTTCAATCAGTGTAGATGAAGGGGGGGAGATGGGTTAAAGAAGGATCTTTAAGCCTTGAGACAATTGAAACATGGATTGTGTATGTGTGCCATTCAAAAACAAAAGATTTAAGTGCCTTTGAACGGGGTATGGTAGTAGGTGCCAGGCGCACCAGTTTGTGTCAAGAAATACAACGCTGCTGGGTTTTTCACGCTTAACAGTTTCCCGTGTGTATCAAGAATGGTCCACCACCCAAAGGACATCCAGGCAACTTGACACAACTGTGGGAAGCATTGGAGTCAACATTGGTCAGCATCCCTGCGGAATGCTTTAGACACCTTGTAGAGTCAATACCCCAATGATTTGAGGCTGTTCTGAGAGGGGGGGGGGGGGGGATCTCAGGAAAGTAGCCTACCCTCATCGCTAGGATAAACACCTTGAGAATAGCCTCTCTCAACTTAGTGATGCTGTGTTTCAGCATCTCTGTTCGAATGCTGTCTGGCCCAGAGGCTTTACCGCTCTTGAGGGCCTTTATTTTATAAATTAGTTTAGACAATGTAATAGGATTGTCCAGCTGGTTTCATTGGGTTTTTACTGTTAATTCTAATTATTTTAATTGTTCTATTACTGATCTTTGGATGGAGTTAAGTTCTTTTTTAATTGGGAATTTATAGAGGTTTGCAAAATGCTGTTTCCAGATAATCCAATCTTTGATTGGGAAGTCTTTCTTTTTAACAGTGTTATCTAATTTCCTTCATAATTCCCACAATTGATTTTGATTGATTGCCACTCTATTTTGTCAAGCTCAATGGTCATATAGAGGGATTTTCTTATGTTGATTTAGGGCCTATTGGTATATGAGACTTGTCTCCTGGTGTTTTTAGTTTGACAAAAGTCTTAGTTGTTTTCTCGCAGTTGAACATTCTTTGTCAAACCATTTATCCTTTGGTCGTTCTTTCTTTTTTAATGTTCAATTTTTCACATTTTTCTTATTTATTTATTTTTGCCAGATTTATGAATATATACATACGTTTATCAGTGGCTTAATGCCATCTTTGTCATGTTTAGATTTGGTTAAAAAAAAATGTAAATCAAGTTTTCAATATCAATGCTATTTAATGCTGCCTCATATTCAACATGGCTAGTTTTTTCCACTTCTATGTGGACAGGCGGGGGTAGAGTTCTGGTTTTAAATGTAATGGTGGTTTATCTGATTTTTTCACATAAATTCTAATTTGGCAGTGGTCTGACAAGGGGAGTTGTGGCATGACCATAAAGGCATTGATTTTTTCTTGCTCCATATCTGTTATGACCTAGTGGACTGCACTGTTTCCTAGTTCAGATCAATAAGTAAACCTACCCAGAAAGTCACCCTTCCTCCTGCCGTTAACAATGTACAGACCCAGGCTTTTACAGAGCTGGAGCCATAGCTGCTGCAGCACCCCCTGAAAAATCAGGAATTAAAAAAATACTAATTATTATTATTATTATTACATTTTTTATTCATAAAAGTAGTGCACTGGGCCTTTACTAGTCCTGTATTAGTGGACCAATATAGATCTGTAGCAAGGGCAAAAAAATCATCGCAGCACCCCCAGCCCCAAACCTCTTCCCACATCTATGGCTGGAGCACTTGTTTCCCATTTTTGTTGACAGAACTGTCATAGCTCTCTCTCTCTGTAGTCAGTTGTGATTCATACACAGACGTACATTGGTGTTTCCCTCTAAATCTATGTAGTCTGGTTCTTTACCAGTTCTAGCATTTAAATCCCCCATTCACAGAACTTTGCCTACTGACTCAAAATGAATTATATCAGAATACGGAGTCAGAAAAAAATATTTGTTAAAATATTGAAATTCAGATGAGGGCATACACATTGCACACATGTAAATGCCTCTATCTGAGTTAACAATAAAAAATATATCTTTAGCCAAAATGCATGTTTTTCCTTTTCTCTCTTTAAACCAGATTATAATCCCTCCTGAGTCTCTGCCACATTTTCCATGTGGATGTTTCACTGACGGTAGGCCTACAGTAAACTCCCTGTAATTTTTGGGAGAGGATGTTTGTAAATCTTCGACTCCATGTCACTAGAAGCATAATAACGTCTGAACTATGTACAGTATCTATGATGTCTGAGTCTGTGCTTTTCACAACCAAAAGTTGAAGAGCACAAACCGCTGAATGTTATATAAACAGTGCATTCAGAAAGTATTCAGACCCCTTCCCTTTTTCCACATTTTGTTACGTTACAGCCTTATTCTAAAATGGATTAAAGAAAACATTTTCCTCATCAATCTACACAAAATACCCCATAATGACAAAGCAAAAACAGGTTTTTAGAAATGTTTGCATGTGTATTAACAATAAAAAACAGACCCTTTGCTATGAGACTCGAAATTGAGCTCAGGTGCATTCTGTTTCCATTGATCATCCTTGAGATGTTTCTACAACTTGATTGGAGTCCACCTGTGGTAAATTCAATTGATTGGACATGATTTGGAAAGGAACACACCTGTCTATATAAGGTCCCACAGTTGACAGTGCATGTCAGAGCAAAAACCAAGCCATGAGGTTGAAGGAATTGTCCGTAGAGCTCCGAGACAGGATTGTGTCGAGGCACAGGTCTGGAAACGGTACCAAAAAATGTCTGCAGCATTGAAGGTCCCCAAGAACACAGTGGCCTCCATCATTCTAAAATGTAAGAAGTTTGGATCCACAAAGACTGTTCCTAGAGCTGGCCGCCTGGCTAAACTGAGCAATCGAGGGAGAAGGGCCTTCGTCAGGGAGGTGACCAAGAACCCAATGGTAACTCTGACAGAGCTACAGAGTTCCTCTTTGGAGATGGGAGAACCTTCCAGAAGGACAACTATCTCTGCAGCACTCCATCAATCAGGCCTTTATGGTAGAGTGGCCAGACGGAAGCCACTCCTCAGTAAAAGGCACATGACAGGGGATGAGGACCACTCGTGGGGCGGCAGCGTGGTGACTGGGACAGTGGGGATGTGGGCTATTTGTGGCTTGGGGCTCCTTGGATGTTGAGGAGGGGCCCTGGGACTATGTAGTGTCTGTGGTGGGGCAACAACGGAGCTTGATTACTATTTTCCCAGGGACGAGACCAGTGGCGGTTGGTGCCATTTAAGATGAGGGAGGATTATTAATTTTTTTATGAGCATGGCCTGATTTCTATTACAGCATATTGGATGACTGTCATTCATATTCCATTCACCCAGCTCAATGGAACATCGATAGGTTTAGGCTACTACATGATACTCAAATGTTCACTGTACCCATCATGAGGTTGCTACAACCTAGCCTATGAAAGAAAGTTTACAACGTAGGTGCACAGGTCGAGAGAATTTTGAGTAATCAAGGTGACAGACAGTGACACATTCAAAACCGCCTTTCAAATACTTGCCTGCGTCGAGCTGATCTAGGGTGTAGTCATTAGTCCAACAGTTGCAAATGAGAGTTTCCATTGGACAAATTCAGGTATGTTTATCCCCGTTTCATTCTGTTTCCTTCCGTTTAAGAAAACCTTTTCAACAGATTCGGCGGAATGAATACACCCCTGATCACACGCAAACAGTTCGCTTTCATAGCAGCCACATAAAAACAGCATGATCACTTTGCTCGTTGTATATGTAATTCATTCTCGCATCTACATGCTCTCCTCCTCTCATCTTTTCCCTTCGCTTGTGGACTTCAGTGCACAACACATCAGCTGTCTGTGACCAGGCGAAAAAACTTTTCCAAGCCAAACCTTCATATCATGACCGCTAACCGCTACACACAGCCTACATCGTTGTCACGTCATAGTCAACTAGAACTACTAGAACTAATGCGTTAGTCTATCTGCTACAATCATCCGGTCAGAAAGCAGTTTAGCAGCTACACCGGTGGGCCCTGGAGACAATAAATTAATAAAACCAAAAGCTTACCTTGACTTAGAAGAGTTCCGGTGTTGGTTAGCCATAGCTAGCTAGCTAACATAGCATCCCTCTCTGTTTTGAGCCGGGTGTTTGAGTAGGGTAAACTAGCTAGCTGCATTTGCTAGCTAAGTGAAAGTGAACGTTTAAAAAAAAAAATACAACCAAATATAGCTATCTCTCTCTCTCTTGCTTCTCCTTAATTCTGGAAGAAATTAATTTGTTCAAAACTGTTCAACTATTGTCTTTCTCTCTCTTTGAGTCAACTACTCACCACATTTTATGCAGTGCTAGCTAGCTGTAGCTTATGCTTTCAGTACTAGATTCATTCTCTGACCCTTTATTTGGGTGGACAACATGTCAGTTCATGCTGCATGAGCTCTGATAGGTTGGAGGACATCCTACGGAAGTTTTCATATTTACTGTGTAAGTCTATGGAAGGGGGTGAGAACCATGAGCCTCCTAGGTTTTGTATTGAAGTCAATGTACCCAGAGGAGGACAGAAGCTAGCTGTCCTCTGGCTACACCATGGTGCTACCCTACAGAGTGCTGCTGAGGCTACTGTAGTCCTTCATTGCAAAACAATGTGTTTTAATCAATTATTTGGTGACATGAATATATTTAGTGTAGTTTTATCTAAAAATGTTTTTTTTATTTTTATGTTTCACTATTATTTTTTAAATTAAATTCACTGAGGAGGAGGTCCTTCACTGGAAGAGACGCATCAGTGCAATCTCTGGGTTGTTCCGGTCTCTGTTACCCGGGCCAGTGCTGGGCAGGGGTGTGTGTGTGTCAGTGTGAGTGGGAGAAGGTGTTGTGTGTGTGATGGGGAGTGGGAGGGGGCGGTGTCAGTGTGGCTGGGCTGGTGGCTGAGGACCTCTTCCTTCAGCTCATGTAGCTCTCTCTGTAGGTCTTGCAGGTGGCTGTGGTAGACAGTGGTGGCCAGCATCTCTCTTAGGCGACACACTTCTGTTCTGAGGGCCTGGTTGTCCTCCTCTAGTTCTGTAGTGGTAGACTGTAGCTCCCTGTTCTCACTGCGCTGCTGTTTCACCTGAGTCACCAGGCTGGTCTCCTCCTCTGTCGGCTGTTGAATGCCTCTGCTCTGGCAGGTCAAGGATTTCTCCCTGAACTCAGCAAAGTCTCTTTCTAGAATAGATAGACTGTCTCTGAGAGAGTTGATGTAGGAGCAGATTCTTGGAGAGATGTGGCTGTTTTCAGGGCTTGGAGGGGTCATCTTCTCCTGGATTTTGGTCTGTGGAGAGCCTTCTTGCAGTTGACTGGGGACTGGAAGTCTTCTTGGAACTTCCTCAGGCTGCTTTCCGACCACTGAACCATGATGGTGTCATTATGGTAGACGTTAACGGTGAGGCAGGGGCAGTTTTCATCGTTGTCCTCATTGATTGTTATCTGTCTGTCACGATCGTCGTATCGAGTAGACCAAGGCGCAGCGTGTTGAGCGAACATACTTTATTTAATTAAAGTGCACACACGAATAACAAAACAGCTCCGTTGTGGAGCAGTTGACCGGTACCTGATTAGGCACCGGTGACCCAGGCACGGGTTGTGCCGGACTGACGACGCGCACCCCTGGCTTGGTGCGTGAGGCAGGAACGGACCGGACCGGGCTGATGATGCGCACCCCTGGCTTGGTGCGTGGAGCAGCAACGGGCCGGACCGGGCTGACGATACGCACCCCTGGCTTGGTGCGTGGAGCAGGAACGGACCGGACCGGGCTGACGATACGCACCCCTGGCTTGGTGCGTAGAGCAGGAACGGGCCTTACCAGGCTGACGACTCGCACCACTGGCTTGGTGCGTGGAGCAGCAACGGGCCGGACCGGGCTGACGATGCGCACCCCTGGCTTGGTGCGTGGAGCCGGAACGGGCCTCACCGGACTGACGACTCGCACCCCTGGCTTGGTGCGTGGAGCAGCAACGGGCTTTACCAGGCTGACGACTCGCACCCCTGGCTTGGTGCAAGTAGCAGGAACGGGCTTTACCAGGCTGACGACTCGCACCCCTGGCTTGGTGCAAGTAGCAGGAACGGGCTGGACCAGGCTGACGACTCGCACCCCTGGCTTGGTGCGAGTAGCAGGAACGTTCTGGACCAGGCTGACGACTCGCACCCCTGGCTTGGTGCGAGTGGCAGGAACAGGCCGGGCCGGGCTGGCGACGCGCACCGTAGGCTTGGTGCGAGTGGCAGAAACAGGCCGGGCCGGGCTGGCGACGCGCACCGTAGGCTTGGTGCGAGTGGCAGGAACAGGCCGGGCCGGGCTGGCGACGCACACCGTAGGCTTGGTGCGAGTGGCAGGAACAGGCCGGGCCGGGCTGGCGATGCGCACCGTAGGCTTGGTGCGAGGGGCAGGAACAGGCCGGGCCGGGCTGGCGACGCACACCGTAGGCTTGGTGCGAGGGGCAGGAACAGGCCGGGCCGGGCTGGCGATGCACACCGTAGGCTTGGTGCGAGGGGCAGGAACAGGCCGGGCCGGGCTGGCGATGCGCACCATAGGCTTGGTGCGAGGAGCAGGAACAGGCCGGACCGGGCTGTGGAGACGGACAGGAGACCTGGAGTGAAGAGCGGCCACAACCCGTCCTGGCTGAATGCCTACCTTCACACACTCGGTGTGAGTCATCCGCACAGGACGCACAGGGCTGTGTACCCGTACTGGCATAACAGCACGTGACACGGGCGCAGGATATCCGGGACCGCGGAGAGGCATTGGAGACCACGAGCGTTGAGCCGGCACACTCCGTCCTGGCTGCATACCCACCTTCGCACGACACGTGCGGGGTGCTCGCACAGGACGTACCGGACTATGCCGGACCACTCGTGGCACAGTACGCCGCTTCGCATACCGCGGAACCTGCCCCGTCCCATGCTGCCATGCCTGAGTACGGGAAGTTGGTTCCGCTCTCCATCCAGGCTCCGCCAACCTGCCTTCTGGCCCCCCAAACCCGGTGGCCTCCTCTCCAAATCGCCCTGTGGCAGCCTCCTGCTGCCCAGTCGCCCATGCCGTGTGCCCCCCCCTAAAAAATATTTGGGGTTGCCTCTCGTCCGTCCGACGACGACACTGTTGACGCCGTTGCTCCTCTCTCGCCAGGGCCTTAATCCTAGCCCATGGCCCTTTGCCCCCGAGCATGTCCTCCCAGGACCACGATTTGCCCACCTGGGCCATCGCCAACCTCTCCATCTCCTTTCCCGGTGCTTCCTCCCATGTCCAGGCCGCCTGCTCCTGGACACGCTGCTTGGTCCTGTGTTGGTGGGATCTTCTGTCACGATCGTCGTATCGAGTAGACCAAGGCGCAGCGTGTTGAGCGAACATACTTTATTTAATTAAAGTGCACACACGAATAACAAAACAACAAACGATACCGTGACGTCCTAAGTCGAAACACAACCAACTGGAACAAGATCCCACAAACACTAAGGGAAAACCGACAGTTTAAATATGGCTCCCAATCAGAGACAACCAGCCACAGCTGACACTCGTTGCCTCTGATTGGGAGTCACTCAGGCCAACATAGAAATAAACAAACTAGAACTCCCAACATAGAAACAGAACACATAGAATGAACACACCCTGGCTCAACATATAGAGTCCCAGAGCCAGGGTGTGACACTGTCTGCCTTTTCCAGTAACATTCTTTCTATGTTTTGGGTATTTCGTGGACAGGGCAGTGTGCCAGGCTTAGGGGCTCTCAGTATGAAATATGAGATTCGTTGTTGTTTTCTTCCCCACTAGTGTTGTGAGGTCTGCCACCAAGGTCTCAGGTGACTCACTCATTACTTTACTTATAACGTTTTTCTTTGCCTTGGAAGAGCAGACATCTGTAGGGTACATAATGTCTGTTTAGATTTTCTCTTGGTCATTTATTTTCTAGCTCTTTTCCAAGTTTTTTCAGCTTTTTCCGGCTTGTCTTTTTGCTGCAACAGCATCCCAGAAAACTTCTGCAAAAATCAACAGCTCATTTTCTTCTTCTTCAATTAAAAAGAAAAGTAGTACAAGTAGCAAAATACAACGTTTTTCTCAGCTATTTAATAGCCTTTTATTTTTTAGCTATTAGCTCTAGCTAGCTTGAAAACAAACAATTTATTGTTTGCTCTCTCTCCCTCCCTGTTATTCTCCAGTATTTCTAACCTCTCTCTCTTTCCCTGTTAGAGCCCAGTCTTCATAATCTCTCTCTCTCACTTTCTCTCTCTCTCTCTCTCTCTCTGTTATTATCCAGTCTTTATAACCTCTCTCTATCTCTCTCCCTGTTAGAGCCCAGTCTTCATAACCTCTCTCTCTCTCTCTCTCTCTCTCTCTCTCTCTCTCTCTCTCTCTCTCTCTCTCTCTCTCTCTCTCTCTCTCTCTCTCTCTCTCCCTCCCTGTTTGACCATAGTCTTCATAACCCTTCTCTCCATGTGTGCAGGAAAGGTAACCATTTCTGTGGAGGTTCCCTGGTTAGCTCCAAATGGGTGATCAGCACTAAGCAGTGTTTCTCCTCTTGGTATGCTTTATGATTTATTATTTCTCATGACTTAATTACCAAGTATTTATATCATGATTGTTTTTTAAAAAGAGTAAAAGGAAAAACTTTCAAACACAAAAGACCCAGATCTAGACCATAAAACAACAAAAATTGTGTCAATCCCTTGAATAGGATGGAGATTGTTGGTCAGTGTGTGTTCTCTATGTGCAGTTATGTGGACCTTCCGGGATACTCCGCCATGATGGGGACATTGTTCCGTAACCCTAGTGAAGGAGAGCCCGACCGACAGACTATCCCTCTCACCAAGATCGTCTGTGGACCCTCTGAGTCCCAGCTGGTCATGCTACAACTGGAATAGTGCGTACACACGAACACACGCACCCAGGGACGTACACACACACACATGCACAAACCACATATTTCACTGCACATATCCGGTGTATGTGACAATAAAACATATTTTTCACAGACAGTACCCAAATAATAGTATCCTACCCTACCTTATCCAACTAGTCCACACCATATGATTTAACAGCAAACCCATTCTGCTCAGGCTGATGCTCTTCCTCATCCTCTTCCTCAGCCCAGCCCAGTTTAACGAGCGTGTGTCTCAGATCTGCCTGCCCCCTGAACGCTACATAGTTCCAAACGGAACCTACTGCGAGATCGCAGGCTGGGGGGAAACTAAAGGTAAAGGAGAGCTATGCTCATAATTGTAACACCACAATATAATTTAGTCACATTCCTCCATATTCATCTTTATCCTTTCTTTTACAGATGTAGGATCTTAATTTGATCACCCTGTTGGAGGAGAACCTTCCTGCAATGCAGGAGATCTCAAATGTGTAGTGTATTTGAGGTTTAAAAAGGCTTCTGAAGTTTGTAATTTCCCAATTTCAGACTTGATTTTCCCTTACGAAAAATGTATCAACCCATACAAAAATTTCCATTAATTATAATCCACATAATAATTCATATTTCCTGTGGCTGCAGGATTATTCTCCTGCTGTAGCAAACTGGCTCAAATTAAGAACCAACATCTGTATTACCCTCATCTGCATATTTCTCCTGTTGTACTCTTTATACCTTTCCTTCATAATGTCCTTTATATATCACCATCCTATGGCTGAATTACGACCAGGGCCCTGGGTTGTTCCAGGCCAGATGATTCGTTCAGGAAAAACCTAGGACCCTAATTTATGACATAATGTTTCTTTAGGTAACTTTTTCTGCCCTTGAAGTAACATTTCACTAATGTGTCATGTAAATGAAACAGCTTTTCAGATCCTGGACCAACAGATGGTGTTGTTATTTCCAGTACCACTCAGCATATGCCCACCTCTCTCTCATTATCTCGTTCTCTCCACACCCCCCCCCCCCCCCCCCCCCCCCCCTTTCAATGTTTCTCTCACTTTCTCAGGCACTTCTACAGATGACTCTGTGCTCAATGTGGCTCAAATACCAGTTATAAGCAACAAGGACTGTAACAAATACTTTCGGGGTCGTGTTCGTGAGAACGAGATGTGCACCAACTCCTTCCAGGGTGGGGTGGGTGCCTGTGAGGTAGGTTTGGGTCGGGTGTGTTTGTGAGGTGGAGGATTTGTCTATGGGGTGTGTGGTTTGCTTCTATGAGAGAGATTGAGGTTTATGGTGTGTGAGAATGATAAGATGAAGACTATTTTATCCTTTAGGAAATTCATTCTGTGACATACAGCCCGGCACACACACACGTTAAGTTACGATATGTCCTGTCACTGTGTGAGAATGATCTGACAGTGATATGTTCTTTCCATCTGACCCCCAGAGAGACTACGGGGGTCCTCTGGCCTGTCAGAACAGTGAATGCTGGGTGCTGGAGGGAGTGATCATCCCCATGAGGCGCTGTGGACACCCAGGCCAGCCCAGCATCTTCATCCGTGTCTCTGTCTATGTGGACTGGATTAAGAAGGTCATGGAGATGGCTTAGTAAGAGATACAGTATGTCACCAACCAGTGACTGGCCCTATGTTCTACTGGACAACTTTCACCCCTCTCCCCATAGCTCACAATCCACAACCGCCTAATTGTTATCCGTGACCATCTACATAATATTTTGTAATATCCGTCATTATGACCATAATACTCTGTTGTTGTGTATTATTCTACATTCTTATGACAAAAATATAATATGTAAATAACCCTGTTTTCCCTTGTCTTTTGTCTCTGTGTAATCAAACACATTATGAACCATTTGGATCAGAACTAAATATCCATAATAACCCTGATCTTTTGTGGTTATTAGATTATTAGACATTACATATTGAACCTTGGCAGTGACCTACGAATGTCCTTGTAAAGCACATGCCTTCTTAACCTCATGCTTCCCAAAAGCACTCCCACACCCTTCACTAAACCTGCTGACCACCAAACCCTCCACCCCCCCTCCCCTCATCCAAAATACCTTCTTTGCCCCCTAGCCTCTAAAGAAATCCCTCCACTGCCTGTGTTTTGATGCCTGCCCCCATGTCCAAAGACATGCCTTTGTGCCTTATACAGAACTGAATGCGCTGCACATTCTTTCTGGTTCTATAGGAGGATTTTTGTAACTCGGTCCTGATGAGCCCACGGAATTCAGCTTAAATAAACCTCAAGATCAGAGTCCAACGGAATCTCAGACACACCAGCCTGCAGAGAGGCAGTAAACTAACTCTTTCTCTCTTTCTCTCTCTCTCTCTCGGTCTCTCTTCCTCTCTCTAACTCTCACTCTCTCTCTCACACACATTCACACACACTTTAGCTTTCTTCTCATTACATGCAAACAAATGTAGATACTCACAAATCCACATATCCACGTACAGTATTCACAGATACACACATACCCATTTACACAAACAACCAAGATAATTAAACAGACTACTTGTGTACTCTGGTTCAACAAATTAGTACAACAAATGAGTGCCGATTTTACTGGCTTTGGTCAGTTTCAGTGGCAGTTTGGCAATTCATGCTGCTCACTTTTATGAAATTATGTTTATAATAGATGACTAATCAAATACTTATATGACTGATGGTTCTCATTTATACTGCAGATAAGGGTTGACTAAATTGTTTATAAATTAGTAACGAAGTAGTGCAACAAATCTCCAGTCATGCCTTCTGACTACATTTTATTCCATGGTGCAGAGAACTTTTAATTTCAATTGATCCTATAAATGTGAATAGGCCTACATCAGGTTGTTTTGAACAAGGTGACTCATTAAGCTTAAAGCCTTTTTTGGTCATATGGGTTTTTATTTTCTCTCAATGTGTTTTGTCTTCATAACTGGAGGAGATGGGGATGGGGAAATGTTAAAAATTGTCTATTAACATGTTTGAGTAATTCATTGTTTTTCTCAATAACCCATACACCTTAGCCAAAAGTTTACATACACCTTAGCCAAATACATATAAACTCAGTTATTCACAATTCCTGACATTTAAACCTAGTAAAAATTCCCTGTCTTAGGTCAGTTAGGATCCCCATTTTATTTTAAGAATGTGAAATGTCAGAATAATAGTAGAGAAAATGATTTATTTCAGCTTTTATTTCTTTCATCACATTCCCAGTGGGTCAGAAGTTTACATACACTCAATTAGTATTTAGTAGCATTGCCTTTAAATTGTTTAACTTGGGTCAAACGTTTCGGGTAGCCTTCCACAAGCTTCCCACAATAAGTTGGGTGAATTTTGGCCCATTCCTCCTGACAGAGCTGGTGTAACTGAGTCAGGTTTGTAGGCCTCCTTGCTCGCACATGCTTTTTCAGTTCTGCCCACACATTTTCTATAGGATTGAGGTCAGGGCTTTGTGATGGCCACTCCAATACCTTGACTTTGTTGTCCTTAAGACATTTTGCCACAACTTTGGAAGTATGCTTGGGGTCATTGTCCATTTGGAAGACCCATTTGCGACCAAGCTTTAACTTCCTGACTGATGTTTTGAGATGTTGCTTCAATATATCCACATAATTTTCCTTCCTCATGATGCCATCTATTTTGTGAAGTGCACCAGTCCCTCCTGCAGCAAAGCACCCCCACAGCATGATGCTACCACCCCTGTGCTTCACGGTTGGGATGGTGTTCTTTGGCTTGCAAGCAACCCCGTGGTACCTTCAGGCGTTTGGAAATTGCTCCCAAGGATGAACCAGACTTGTGTAGGTCTACAATTTTTTTCTGAGGTCTTGGCTGATTTCTTTTGATTTTCCCATGATGTCAAGCAATAAGGCACTGAGTTTGAAGGCAGGACTTGAAATACATCCACAGGTACACCTCCAATTGACTCAAATGATGTCAATTAGCCTATCAGAAGCTTCTAAAGTCATGACATCATTTTCTTGAATTTTCCAAGCTGTTTAAAGGCACAGTCAACTTAGTGTATGTAAACTTCTGACCCACTGGAATTGTGATACAGTGAATTATAAGTGAAATAATCTGTCTGTAAACAATTGTTGGAAAAATTACTTGTGTCATGCACAAAGTAGATGTCCTAACCGACTTGCCAAAACTATAGTTTGTTAACATGAAATGTGTGTAGTGGTTGAAAAACAAGTTTTAATGACTCCAACCTAAGTGTATGTAAACTTCCGACTTCAACTGTATAAAGTACTATATTTTCATTATGCATATGAGTGTTTTCAGGAAGTATTGAATATTTGCCATTTGTTTTAAATGTAGGCCTTTTGTAGAGAATTCTAGGACCTACTATATGTTCATGCTACTGTAAATGTATGATCTGCAGTATCTAGAACTAGAGTAGCCTATATGATGCCTACCACTCACATGTGGGTGGTCCACTGATCAAGGGGCGTGTTCGACTGTTTCACCCCTCTTACCCCCACCGCTCTCCTGGAGCATGCTTTAATAGAGAAAGTATGCAATGTTCATATATGCTCCAGCTCCAACCCCCATCATACTTCAACTGGGGTATTCGTGACCAAACGAGGATACTGCAGACAAAACGTAAGGGATCACCCACAAACAGACTGTGAGATAGAGGAAAGGAGGGAGGGGAAGAAAGAAAGAAAGAAAGAAAGAAAGAAAGAAAGAAAGAAAGAAAGAAAGAAAGAAAGAAAGAAAGAAAGAAAGAAAGAAAGAAAGAAAGAAAGAAAGGAGACAGTGTGTCAGTTTATTCCAAGGTCAACTTTATTCAAGGCGACTATCTGTAAGATAAATACATTTTAAGAATAATATACAGACTGAATAGTAGGCTAAACTTTTCTACAATTCCATTGCGGTTTTTATTAGGTATGCTAACAACAAAACCAACTGGTGGGAGCAAGGTAGGTGAAACATTTATTTTACCTTTATTTTACCTTTCCCATTGTTTAATTTTCTACAATAACATTGTTGCTATTTTGTTGCTCTTCACTCTGATGAATGGGTTACAATCGTGTATTCAGATCATTGAGATCAGATCAAGTAAAATGGTTACCAGCAAACAAACTGCTGTCATTCGATCTGATTCGATATGATTTGCTCTCTCCCTGCATCATCTGTTGCTTGCTTTAAACACATGGCTTTCGCCTTTCGCACCGGTTGTAAGGTAAAATCAACGACTACATACAGACTATGTAGGCCTAATAATTATGTAGAATTAATTAAATATCGTAATTAAACATTTATTGACGATGCAGTGTTGGACTACGAGGCTAGCTAGGCTATAACAGATGAAAATGAACTAATAGTTGACTTTTGTCTGGCGTGATCTACCGTGCTTAATAGTCCTGCTCCATTGGACACCATACCACTGCTCTAACCTATAGGCTATGTTATGGCGGTAAGTGGCGCCTTTTCGATCAACTAGACCTAATTTGTTTAATATCCAAAGTGAAAGTTTAAAAGTCTTACATAAGGGGATGTGACAACTTGAATGTAGTCTGCTGCGACACATTTTGGTAGTTTTAAAAGAATGCACAGAATGTGGTTTTATGGTTGCAATTACCGCCCATATGGAAGAAATACACTCAGTCCTTGTTCACCGCCAAAAACATAGTTAAACGAATCGTCTCCTGCTATGCAAAACTATTTGTTCATATAGCCTACTTCACGTGTGTTTAGAAACATTGTAGCCTACTCCTACGGATAGACACAATTCCAGCTCCCAACATCCTGCTTTGATGCAGCTGTTGGTAAAGAAAGTTATATCGTATCAATGCAACACAGAGGATAGGTCTCATTTTTGTTGCATTTTTTATTGGTCTGTGCATGACCTTGACCTTGAAATGTTGATTCTGCTCTACACTTTTCCATGGGATAATCAGCCAAAATTAACAACAAAATGAATGAATTAAGGAATGAAGAACAGAATTACTATTATTATTCAAATCAATTTTGTGTGTCATTTACTCTCTCTACTCTGCATTTAGAGTATAAATTAGTTTTTAGTTATTAGGGAAATGAACAAAAGTAGCTACTCTGTGTAGCAGCAAATTGTTTAGCACAGAATTTTTGCCTCCAGTATAAGTATGCAAAGTGCAGAGAAGACTTGATTTGATTTGGAAGGTGATATTTGATTCGAGGCCTATCTGAGCTCAAGTGATGAGTACAAAGTAGCTGAGGAGCCCATGCTGATAGCACTGTATACTCACATCCTCTTAACAAATTTGCATATAGTATAAATATACAGCTACACGGACATGGACAACCAATAGTAACCAGTAGTAACAGGTAGGGACTGGATATAGGATGGGTCAGATCTCAACATTGGATGTGATATTGAGTTGTGAATATCTGTGCTACTTATGGTTACTGCAGGCTGAGCTCACGTTTCCCCATGTATGCCAAACCCCTGTCTGTGTCCAGTGAACCTGTAATGGCCGTTGCCAAGGTTTATATTAAGCAGTTCTCAGGCTTGTTGGTGACTGACTGCAAGACGAAAGCAGTGTGGTCTTTCATTATAATTTTATGAGGTGCATAGAGAAAGGGGGGAAAGTGTGTTTGTATTAACTTGTC